ATACTATTATATAGTGTAGGATATTCACCTAACCTCTTTAGTACCACCATCCCTTACGCTTAAATTACTAAATACCCATAAGGTCTAAACCTACGGTTAGGTACGTGGAAACCCCTTATAACATAAGTAAGATGTCTAAGGCCTAGGTAGGCTAGATTAATATACTACATTCGGTATCTACGTGTAGGTATAAGACATTAGATAAGGAGAAAAGGTCCTCTCCCCCCTATCCAGCATGGATCTATCTTCTCACTTCGTCGCAGCCCTCGCCAAGGGTGGCTAGCGCCATGCTTTGACCAATTAGCTAGTAGACGGGCCACCCATCTAATAATCTATTGGCTGGCTACCAGTGCGCGATATCTCTAAGATATACTACTACCAGCAGTATATCCATGCTTGTTAGGTAGCCTCTAAGGTTACCGTGACACTACCCTGGTTAGTACCCTTAGCTAAATCGACTTCTAAATTTAGCTAGTACTGTGAGGTGAGGTCTAGCTATAGGCAATAGTATTTACTTCACGCTAGGATCAATAGTGAAAGGATGACTTGATGGCATTGAGTGAATAATACTTGACTTCCCTGAAGCCTGTGCGCGGCGCAGGTTATGCGCAGCCAACTCACTTGGCACGCTAGGACCTTATTGGGCCTTAGCGCAATATGCTACAACACCACAACGAACTTCGTGATCTGCTCGTTACAAGTACACAATCTAAATAAGCTGAACGCAACAGAATATGTGTAATTTACTCAGGGTGACTTCCGTGAGGTGTAAATACGTGCGAAGGACGCGCAGTACATAAATGACTATGAATGAACACGTAATTACATTAACAGACGTGCGACATAGTGGCGAAGTTGTAGAATGCATAAAAAACCGTTGTGTACAAGTCTGGCATACTGTTCAGCAGACATCAATGCTTTGTGCTACTGGGAGCTAATGACCGATCCAACAAAAACGACCTGAACAGCGGCGATTCTAATTGGCATTAATAGGTTAGCCGGGAAGGTGTGAAGCAATGCATAAGCTCAGTACTTAGACTTACCCAATCATATAAGCAAGTACATTACCATCGGCTAACTTTCGTGCTAGGATGGCGATCATGATTGCAGACTCTCCAACGATAAAGCCCAATCGGCCCCAAACGGATGGTACCGCGTACAACACAATGATTGTCCCTGTGGGAATCATAGAAAGGAGCACTAGATACAGTAGTGCGAGGGCATTTCCAGGAACGTTAGCCAGAGTCCAAGATCCGATATTTGCAAGTCCAGCAAAGCCTGTTGGGCAAGTTTCGGAGCAAGTGCAAGGGTCCAGAGAGACGTACTCTCCCGTTCCCCACTTGTCCTTATGCACCAATTCATGAGTTTCAAAGAGGTCCCTATCAGCATATCGAAACCTTTTAGGCAAGGCCTTCTCATCGAAGTGCCGGAAATATTTGTCCTTTTTTCGGCGCCCCAATGGAACGACATCATAAGCTGGGAGGCTAAGGATTTGCCGTTGTTGAAGAATGGCCTTGTCTGCTCAGCGCATTAGATATATTCTGAGTTATCTAGTTGACATAGCTTGTTAAGAAAACTGAGGCTAACTATAGTATTGGACCCGAGACATCAGTTCTTGAACTTGACCTTCCAACCTAGGGTCACGGCTAGGCTGGGAGGAACGGACGGCGACCCACTTAACAAAGTCAAGGATAGCCGAGTCATTAGTCGCCGCAATTCCAGTCCGGTTTCCGGGGTAATCAGAGGTGTTCTGTATCGTAGCGATAAGGTCCGCTTTTGCCTGTTGTATTTCTACTTGGAGGAAGAGTAGATTCGCAATACCTAGAATCTCGAACTTCTGCACTAATCCCCCTCTTAAAGCCTGCTGTAGGGGTATTTCGTTAGAATCTGAGGGGCCAGACTCTTGAGCTGTCCCTGAAGAGTAGGTTTGTTTCGCCATCCCTAAAGAGCCGCACAGATACTATGTTTTGGAAAACCAAGAACTCTGGCCCCAACACAGTCTCTTTTCAACAGTTTAGAAATTAAAGCTCGGTTAAGATGACAAGAAAAGTAGACATGCCGTGGTCCCGGATCTTATAAATTCTGGATTGCTAATGCAAATACTGAAGTAGTAATATATTCATCAACCGCAAATCCGCCTGTTAACATCTATGCAATATGTGGCAGAGAATAATTGGTGATTCCTACTAGGCTGGTTGATAGGCTGAATCCGCCTGCCAAGCTCTATGCAACATGTGGCAGAGAATGATTGGTGATTGTTTCTCTTCACCCGAGTAGTACTTAGTCTGCTGCACAGCCCACCAAGGCCTCAAGTACACCGTACCACCGTTGAGGTATAGACTTGGCTACTCTGCGGATCTGCAGGCGACAATGACGCGCATTCCAGGAGCCGTCCTCGTTGGCTAGGACTTGTAGTAGAGAGTGCATCAGGAATCAAGGCGCGAAGGGAAGCAAAGGTCATACAACATGCAGGAGACGAATGTTAAATGAGCTCAAGGACAGAGTGTTGGCCGATGGGGTGGAGTTTACGGTCGGGGGTGGAGTTTACGGTCGTGTGTAGAATGTAAGTGTAATTTCATGCTTCCCTCCACCTCTGATATTGCAGGCTACTAAGATTAGTGAAAAACTGCACAGCAGTCAAACGTCTTACGTGAAACGCAAGGTTCGTATCTTATTGCTCTATCTCCTGATCGAAAACTCTTGCTATGGCTATCTGGACAGTTGTATCAAGGAACGTCTTTCTTGGTATTGAGATTGGTCCACTTGGTGCTTAAGCTGGTAACGGCAGTAATGCCACAGGCCGCGATAGTTATTGCAAATGGAATTTTAATGCCCCATGCGTACGCACGGATAATACCGTCCAGTTCCGCCCCAGAAAACACCTGGCGCAAGGATGTAGGACCAGTAGCCGTTATTAAGTGGGGATCGACGCTCGGTGCGGTGCTGGCAAGCTCGTGCACGAGCTGGTTGTCGAAGCCGGACTGGGCGACTGCGATCAAGAATGTTGCGCCAATGGATCGAAAAACTGATTACAGCGTACACAATCAGCTCAAGTACGTTGTAGGGGGGGAGGAAGATCGAGAATATCCTCGGGCAGGGTGAAAATCAACGTACAAATGATTATCGCGGTTACAGGAGCTATGTCGCTTGGCGCAGCAAAAGCCTGCGCAATAATGACTGGGACTTGGAGGCCCATGCCATATCCGAAGCCAGCCAAGATCTGATAGCCAACCCATTTGCCTGTCGGAGTGCCAATATCGAGAGTATAGAGCAGACCAGCAGCGATCGTAACGATCACAGAGCTAGCTACCAGATAGGGAGCGGCGATTCCCGTCTTCGTGATTGCTCTACCGGTGCCGAATGTAGTCACGCTGAACAAGGCGATCAGAGGAATTTGACGAACGCCCGAGCTAGTAGGACTACGGTTGTCGATGCTTTGAAAGTAGATGGGTAGGTAGTAGAGCGTAATGAAATACGATCCTGCGAAGAAAAAGCCCCACAAAGCATTGACCCAAACAGATCTTTGGCGTAAAAGGCGTGGTGTCAGCATGGCGCGTTCGTCTTGCCATAATTCCAGGACGATAAGGGCAAGAACCATAAGACCAAAGCCGACGAGTAAGCCGATGACAGTGCTAGAATTCCACGGATGTGTTATACCGCCATACTGAAGAGCCAGAAGCAATGCGAGGGATGCCCCCATTGTAAGCGCCGTCCCTGGAAAGTCCATTTGCAAAAACTTCTCCTTGAGCGTAGCATCGACCTGCTTAAAGGCTGCAGGGGTCTTGAATGTGAGCAGGATCACAAAAGCGGCCAACCCTCCGACTGGGAGATTGAAATAAAAACACCTAAAGTTTCCGTGTCAGCTCAGATCTGATCATAGAAGATGTGTCTAACTGGAGATAGCCTCTTGTTCTCAAGCGAAGACTAAACAATGCAACAAGTTAACTCACCACCTCCAAGTCGCCGCGTCTGTAAGTGCTCCACCGATGAGCGGTCCAGCAACGGCGGCGACGCCATATGTGAGACCAATGATCCCTGTGTAGGTGGCTCTTTTCGCGGGCTCAGCGGAAAAGGCGGAAATCGTGTAGACTCCAGGCGCGACACCCGAGGCCCCGAGGCCGGCGATAGCACGCCCGACGATTACGGTCGTTGAGTTCTGAGCCACCGCGCTAATCAAACTCCCAATCTCGAAGATGAGTATCGACACCATAAAACTGGTTTTCAGAGGGAAGTATTTGAAAACTTTGCCCCACATGGACTGGAATGCTCCGAGCGTCAGGAAGTAAGCCGAACCGTACCATGAGATATCTTGAAGTCTGCCGAATTGGTCGGTGATCTTTGGGACAGCGGTTGCAACAATGGTCTATATTGTGAAGATTAGCGTACTAGTATTTGTAACAAACGACTCTGCGATAAACTCGTAGCGATAGGACTGACCTGATCCAAGGACATCAGGGTGATACTGAGCACGAGTGCTAGCATGATGAAGAACAGTTCGATTCCCTTAGGGTATTGGACAGGCTTTTGCGGCTCCTTGGCGCCTCTCGGCGTAGTGACAGTATCACCATCTTCAGAAGTATCCGCCTTCTCTGTGCCATTAGTGGTCGAGTTTGCCACAATGGGCGGTCCCTTAGACCCGAAGGTCTGCTTATCCTCCTCGTCCTCAGCCAAATACGGTTTCTCTTTGTTTGCTTCGAGTTTGCTGTCCGCTGATAAGGAAGGGGGAGGTGTGGATCGAGACATGTGTCTGTCGTATGGTCGAAACGATTTGGCTTGATATGAACTTCTGAAGCCCTTGGAACGCGATCTCGAAGCAGTTGGTGTCTGCTCAGCTTCCAATATCGATGAGCGAACGTATGGAGGCAATGTTCGGAGGCGGCCTTCGAATGTTCAGAGTGCAACAAAACCAAATATTATTTATTTTCTTTTAGCGCTCGCTCACCACTATGTCGAGACCCTTGCCAGTGGTTGTACATCGGAGCTAGCCTTGTTAAACGCCGTGAGCGTTGATTAAACGCCGTGAAGTCCGCAAACCCGTTAAAGCCGCTTGTGGGGGTAGGGCAAAGAACTCATTTTCAACGTGTTTGGCAATTTGGTGGGTCATAAATCCCTTCAAGATCGCTGCATGTCGTACGGTAACAGGTCGACTTGGTACGTTCTCTCGCACGATTGCGCCTGTCCTTGTAGTTTCGGACCCGAGAATGGATTGGAACATCTGAACCATCGGTGATAAGCTTCTGCTGGCCGGCTGGTAAGCTTCTATGGTCGGGTACTCTCCTAAAGCACATCTGGCTGGCGGGTACTACCTTGAATGGACTCTTGGACCAATGACTCCTGCTCCGGTCGGCACGTATTAGTATGGGTGACTGAGGTATTGTTGAAAAGTAATTTGTCCCCAACATTCTCAGTGCGCCACGCATGATCGCTCGCAATTTCAAAGACTGGTGAAATGTTTGCTACCCTGACTAGGCGTTTGTCTAGGCCGGTAACCATCTCGTATTCATTGTATCCAACTATTGAAGCGAGGAAGGGACTCCGTGTTGAGCATCATCTTCGAAGGTGAAATTGCCTCCACATTGTCAGCCCCATACTTCGCGGTCTCGAAGTCATGTTGCCCAGCCCTTTTTAATAGCATTGGAAATGTCGTCTGCTGCTGTGGAGAGTGAAGCTAGATTGTCAATGAGCTTTGCAGACGGCTCTGCACAAGTTCGAGTAACATGTCTTGTAAATTGTGATCTATGTATAATGAAGGCCTTGTCAATCTGAATACGCTCTCCAGATCATTGTTTGGATGTTGAAAAAGAACGGATAACGTACAAAGACGCCAGATCGAGAACGGAGTTTGACTTGCGAAATGCAGGCAAAAAAACAGGTGAACGGACCAGTCTGAGTGAGACGATTATGAATGAGCTGGTGAAGTGGTTAAAGCATGCGCCGCAGACTCAGCGCTTGTCTGGGCACATTGTCTTATGCGGAAGGCTAGGCGCTAGATACGACGTAGCGGTGCATGGACCTCGAGGGCGAAAGGCAACCGCAAACGACGGATATAGGAACTGCCGAATTGGGAAAATCTGCTTCTCATGCTTCGTGTGAGATTTTTTGTATGAAATTTGATCACTAGTACCCATGGTATCTCTGAAAGTTTCATGCCGAAAGGCTGTTTGCACGTTTATGAAATATTAGGCTGTTCTGCATCGTCTCCTACACGCAGTTTCTTTAGTGCCTTGGAACAGTCGCAGCGTTGCCCTCCCACCGACACCGTTCACATCTATCAGGTTGTTATCTTTTAAGCGCTGTCCAGTCGAACATATGAACAAATTTGGAAGGGAGGTATCTATGACAGCGTTGTTGCGGGTCGTGTGCGGGGTCGACAGACGCCCTCCAGATGTCAGGCAAGGCTCCGCCAGCTCCACCGACATCAACAAGATCGTACGCGCAGATTACACCACGCCGTTTTACATGGACGTCGCATACGAGGCCATGGATGCATGGAAGACTTGGCTCGTTCTTCGGAACCCGAATGGACAGTGGTTCTTCCATCAGAGCGGCTGGGTCATGCTCAGCGATGAGGGGAGCGATCTTGCGGAGCGGATACGGACGGATTTGAGAGCGCGGGGGAGCGATGGGACGAGCGACCTGGTAATCGATGGTAGTGTGAGGGAGAGGTGGGGCGGGTTGCTGAAGAATACTAGGTTCGATGATCCGAAGATTGAGAAGGGGTATTGGAACCCTGAAGCTAAGCTGGATGGGCTGACGCTGGAGACGCCGTGGCCAGAATGATGGAGGAGGCCGTGAGTAGGGGTGTGAAGTACGAGTGCAGCGGTGTGCAGACTTTGGTAATGGGTGAGAACGGCGTCATGGGCTTGCAGAGGACGGCAGGGTCTATGAGGCAGACAGCGTATTGCTTGCCACCGGCGCCTGAACTTTTCAGCTGCTGTCCGAAGTCGAGGGCATCCTGAACATCAAAGACGGCGATACACTCGAGAAGCAGGTCACAGCTGCTGGAGTCTGCGTCGTGCACTACAAGCTGAGTGACGAAGAGTATGAGACACTGAAGGACAGGCCCGCGATTGTGTAGGGAGACAGAGGAGAGGTCCTGCCACCACCAAGCGGCAACCGCTTGTTCAAATTCACGAATGCGCGGTCTTTCACAAACACAACGAGAACTGCTGACCGCCATTGGATTTCCGTTCCTCCACAAGCAAAGCAGATAGTGGTCTCGTCACCTCTCCAGGCCGAAACACTTGATGGCATCGTGTCGAAAACCATGCCGAGCTTTGCTGCGCGAGATGCCGCACACTGGCGCCTGTGCTGGGATGCTATCACTCCGACGCAGGACCAACTCATCACACGGCATCCGCACCCGCGGCTCATCAATCTCTATCTAGCCGTAGGTGGCAGCTTCCATCGTAGTTCTGGCCTGTCATGGGAAAGTATGTAGTGAATGTGCTCAATGGCGTCAGTAACGGAGAGGAGAAGGACAGGCAGTGGGCTTGGAAGCATGGGAGGACGCAAGCGCGTGGCGCGCATGAAAAGGTTGTGCCCAAGCGCGAGCTGAACGAGCACAAGAGTTGATGAATCGGAGCTCCATTTTTCATCGGCCTTTCCAATTTGAGTTGTTGCAATGACGTCAATGGTGGGGTCTCGGCCAGTACACCGACTGCGTCTACTCTGCATCTACCGATGCACTCGTGGACCCGGCGGATATCACGATTGGAGCCCAGAAGCAGCGTACGTCTCTAGCTGCTCATCTCGTACGGCAAATGCTTGGGTGCGGGCCAACTGATGTTTTGCAACAGCCGCAACTCACCTGCACTACGCTCCTTTCCGCTTCAGCCTCGGCCTCAACATCCATACAATGGCATCCCTGCCCCTGACCTCACATCTCCTCTCCCTCAACCGCGACCAATTCACGCGCGCCACACAATCCCACTTTCTCGCCCGCGCCGCCTCTGGCACCCTCTCCAAACATGTCATCTCCCACTGGCTCGCAAACGACCGCCTCTACATGCAAGGCTACATCCGGCTCACCGGAGAACTCCTCCGCATTACCAAGGTGCCAACCAGGCCCACGCCAAGCAAGGAGGCAGGCCCCCTGGAGCTTCGCTTGGTCGACTGGCTTGTCAGTGCCTTGGTCAACATTCGGCGGGAGGAGCGATTCTTCATGGACGTCGCGGAGCGCTACGGATTGGATGTTGATTTGACGGGACCTGACGGCGTGACCATTGCCGAGGAGAAGAAAATTGAAGGGCTCAAAAGGTTCGAGAAGTTATTTGACAGCTTGACCACGGGGCAATCGACCGAGGCGACTCTGCCATGGCTGGAAGGCGTGGTCTTGTTTTGGGCGACTGAAAAGGTGTATTTTGAGGCGTGGAGCTGGGCGAAGAGGCAGGCGGAGGGGATGACGGAGAAGGAGTATGGGTCGGATGCAGATGGTGGCGCGGTGAGGAAAGAGTTTATTGAAAATTGGACGAATGATGAGTTCATTGAGTTCGTGAATACGTTGGAAGGGATACTGAATGAGGGTGTGCAGGGGGTGGTGGATGGCGACAAGGGGTTGAGAAAGCAAATCGAGGACCGGGCGGAGAAGGTGTGGCAGCAGTTGCTGGATGCTGAAGAAGCCTTCTGGCCGGACGTGGACTAGCTTTGCTGCTTTCCGGGTAAACTATCTCTGTTGTTCGTTCTTGAGCGCTGAAAAATCCTGAGCCAAAAGACTCTCGTGCCAACATGAAGACAGGAGATGAAGCGAAGCTTGATCATCGTCTGAACCGTCAGGCCTAGCATAACTAAGGCTACTGTATGTCTCTGGAAGTTTCATCTTTAACAGCATCTCCGGTCTTCACGTTTGCATCAAAGTGAAGAGCTCAAAAACATGACTGGTACCCCGCCTCATTACATCCTCGTGATCTGGAAGAAGTGGCCCAGGATCGTTCCGGGGCACTCAGTCTCTCAGGCTGATCAACTTCGCGGTTGGTGTTGATTGGAAGCTGTGGTGATTTGAGCCCTGATGCCAAGCAGACGCGCCCCTTGGATACTTTCAGCTCGAGTGAACACAAGCATGTGCGCTTGACCAATAAAGCCACCTATAAGAATTCGAAGGACCGAAGCGGCAGGAGATGCCTAAGGAGGCTCCCTACGCATCATCAACTGTGTTGAGACGCGCTGGACATTATACGGAAGCACATTCTCGTTTGGCACACTGGACGGGATAGAAGCTCTCGATTGGAGACTTGCCAGGATACCTAGCAAAACTCATAAGGTTCCTGTATGAGCCCAGCTGAGGCAAGGTTGACAGTGTTACTGATATGGTACTTTTGGTAGAGGTATGGTACGACCTTTCATCAGGACTTCAATATCAACTTCTCCTTCGCCCCCAAGTCATCCCAGGGTCAACTTTCGGATCCTTGTTCTGCCTTTCCACCTCCGGTCGCGAGCCTTCTCGTTGTTGCACGCTCAAAGCATGCGATGCCTACCTCCATTCATCCATAGATCCCAGGTTGTGGGACGCGCTCTCCAATGCCTCCTGCGTTTCTCCGTAGGCTCTCCATTTGGAAGGTAGTCCAAGAACTGCTTAAGGAATCGTCCGATGCGGGACGCGAAGGTCACAGCTCCTTCTTTCTGAGTCTCGACGGTATCCGCCAATGCTTCTTCCATCTTTCGCATGATTGCTCTGTAGATCTCCCTCTCTTGCTTCCTCCGAACGACTTTTTTGCTCATACGTCTCGATCCTGTCATCTAGTTGCTGCACGTGCTCTTGCATGAGCGTAAGCTTATTCTACACGGCTTTCTCAGCGCGCTCTGCAGCTTCCATGATAGCAAAAAAGCTCGGAGCTAACTAGTTGACGTGACGTAGGTAGAGGCTGCTAGAAGAAGTCGGAGGAGTTTACTGAGAGCAGATTATCAGTGCTTACATTTCCGGGGTCCGTGAAGATGTGTTCACAAGTGTTAGAGTAGCGTTTGGTACAAGTCCTCATAGCCCCTTTCGCGATGCTTAGTGGCGGGAAAGCAAGGACGGACAGGAAAGGAACGCGCTCAATCAAAGGCGGTGAGTGAGGGACTGGCGTCACGCCAACGCCAGTCGAAGTAAGTGAAGATGGCAGATATCACCGCTATGGAGAAGCGTGAGCGATAGCAATAGATGTGATTGCACAAAGGAGTCCTTTGCGAGGGTTATCACTGCTTGCGCAGTTAGTCCATGTTTGTGGCGGTAAACACTCTCGTGGGACTACTTGCAGCAAGCACCATAGCACGAATCTGACCACCATAAGTAGCTTTGGACGAAGAAAAGCTGTCAAAGATTGAGCTGAAGCTCAAACAATGGTATTTCACTCGAATGATCCCCGGATCATCCTACGATTCGCCTTCTTTGATTACAGAACCATCCACACAATCTAAGAAGCTACCAGAGAACATCTCCGCTGGCGTCTGAAATCCTGGAAGGAAAGACCCAGCTGCAACTCGCCTTGCCGCCTCGACAGAAGTAATCGCAGTGAATGTGTACCCATTGACAGTCTGGAGAACCGCACGCTCAACACTTCCATTCCGGGCCTGAATCTCCACAACCGCATGGTATGGGTGCCTTTCTCTTTCCTCAAGCTCTGGACCGAGCGGTAGCTCACCAAGATCACCGACTGGGAACGAATTTCCAGAGACATGAACATACGCGTAGACTGTGGAAGCTCCTGTTGATTTTCTGATAGTGATGAGATCTGGCAGCGTCGCTGGGAAACATTCTACTAAGCCTCTGCCGTCGCCGAAGTCAAAATTCTTATTGCCCTCGGCATTTCGCACCGTACGTCTTCGGTTAGAAGGTGGGTAATTTTCGCCCGCAATAGCTCCTTCCTGTGCACTTATGGCCGATCCGCGCGACATGGGACCAGATACGTGCAAAGCGACAGTGGCATGGACAGGCGACTCCATCCGCTCCGAAGCACGCTGGGCAAGACACCCCAGCATGGCCACGCTGCCGCCACAACCGGGCAGAAGCATTATCCCCGCTCGCTTTGCTTCTTGATCCAGCTCCTCGGCTTGAAAATAGCTGTCCAACTCGGCAGCGATGTCGAGGTAGTGAACGCGATTGCGAAGACAGGCTTTCATTAAAGGTAGAGCAGTGCGATGAAATGGTCCAGCGCAGTTCAGGATGACCGAGACGCCGCTCAAAACCGAGTCTATGACCTCAGCACTGTCAGATACGTTGAAGGTACGGTATGGTAGGTTGAGACTTGATGCGAGATCCTGCAGTCTTTTACGTGTTCGGCCAGCAAGGACGACATCAAGACCAGTTTGTATTGCGTGCTCGGTTGCAAGGAGACCAGTGTAGCCGTAGGCACCATAGAGAAGTACCGCGCCCATTTCTCGCGGGTGCCCGTCAAGCCTGGAGGATGAGATCGATGGGCTGAGAGTTTTGGCTTGATATATAACCTGTTTACAGCGAACAGGCGATTAAACCAGATCTCCAAGTATTGGTATTACCTCCTGGTGCTACCGGTGTACTTAGAAATCGTCGCTTCACAGAAAATACCAGTCAGGAACTCGGAACTCCGGAGCCAGGGCATCGCTCGCATCTCGGAGTTCATCAGGAGAAGTTTTATCGAGTTATTCCGGGCTTGACTGCAGCCATTTTCGAATTTGTTAGAGTTGTGAGGCGCATATGATGAATTCATCGAGGTCGGTTGTCTCCGGCTGGACGAGCTAAACCCGGAACTCCGGGCTCCGGCACCACAGGAAATCGCCTACTCAACTCCACGATTCCAAGATTGCAGCCAAGATCACTGGATACTTCCACAACCATGTTCATCCCTCCAAAATAAGCAAACAATGAGCTAGCAAAGTTTGACAGCCCCACCAACTCCCACTCTCCCATTCATGGAGTCGCGAGTTCCAGCATGCCCATCGAACCTGCGGAACTGCTGTGCACTCGCTGCTCCAGAACGTTCAAGCATAGTCAGTCCACCACTTGGGATAATAGTATCACTAACTAGTTCGCTGCACAGCATCATCACTGGTCCGACATACTCGCCGATGTGTCCAGAACCTGAAAGCACCTTCGAGGCAGAAGTCCTGCAAGCAATGTGTCGTTGCGAAAGCCAGATGTGACCTGCAGCGGCCGCGATGCGGAAGGTGCCAGTCCCGCGAGGTCCAATGCGATTCTGAGCCTGTGAGCGGAGCGCAAGGCTCTCGCCTAGATAGCGAGGACAAAACTCCAACAGAGCATCGACAGCTGCACGAAGGTGACGAGGTGTCGGCATGTTTACCGCGTAATAGCTCTACTACGTTTGTTCCGACGTCTTTGCTCGAAGGCGCTTCAAACAGAACCGGCCCCATATTTAGTTCATTCTGCGACGAGAGCGGCCTTTACACCCCACCGAGCTGGTTTTATGCGCAAGATTACATTGCGCCCGAGGCAATAGCATCGAAACAGCGGAGCCAGATTCTGCTGGGAACGCCGCACGGTACGCTCAGCACTGGTGCGGTCGCTCAGCAAGCCATGTTCCACGTTATACGGGTTTTGCGATCATGGCCTCGTATGATGTCGAGATATGGACTTGGCTCGTTCCAGTTACCTCCGATGATTCATCATATTCAGCTGAAAGAAGGACTTCCCATATCATTTCTTTCTGGAATTAGTCTATCGAAGATGTGGCTCGCAAGCGAGGGACGTAATAGAGAGGTGGCATATGATCTCACACTTAAAGAGGTCAGGACGTGGCTTTGTGAGGTCAGCTCATTCTATTTTGTTACGACATAAAACATGAGCTGACTTATTTTGCAGTATCAATCATACTCTGAACTGGATCTCCTCGCTGCCACACAATCTCTTCTCCTCCTCATGATTATACTCTTTCTTGGCGATGTCCAGAATCCAGTAATCCCGCATCCTACCGACGCCGAACTCATCGTAAGTATGTGGAATGTCAAACACCATCTCGCCAGCACCGGTCTCTTTCTCGACGAAGAGATCAAGCATAGCTTACCTGTCTGGAAGAAATGGGCAATCGTATCAGCCAAGCGCCGCACTATCCTTGCTCTACACCACCTCGAGTGGGCGTGGTCACTGCTCCACGGATACCCTCCCCTGGCCTGCTTTGAGCTGGGGCCCCTGCCAGCACCTGCAGCGGGGTACCTCTGGCGAGAGCGATGCGAGAAGGAGTGGAAGCGGCAGTATTATGAATGGTTGTCTCGATGGGAAGAAGGAGGTGGTTACAAGCTTGGTGAGCTTTTCCATATCAAGCCGGGTGGTGAGATGGATATGAGGAGCGAGACGTGGCTGGCGGAAGTTGATGAGTTTGGCATGATGGTTATGTCGGAAGGTACGCAGCTTAGCCTAGCGATTGTTCTATCCACTAATCTCCACAGTCAACGCAGTCAATGAAGTAAAGTAAACAGCTTCAACCTTACGTCATCACAATCCACCTGCGATATTTTTCAGGCCTTTTACACCATTTACTCGCCCTTGCGAATCGTCTGCTATGCCTCTCCCCGACCTTGCTGTCCCCGATCGTCTGCTCTATTCCCTCTCCGACCTTCCCGTCCTCAACGTCTTCCCCGCCATCTTCCGAATTTTCCGGAAACTTCGCACAAACAAAGATGTTATCTCCCGCCTTAACACTCTTTTCTTCGAGCGCCTTACTCTCGTTAAACCATCTCGTTCCCTCGTCCTTCTTTTGGCCCAATCTATCCACTGGCTGGCCCCGCAGACCTTGAAATAAGATGGGTCCGCTTTGGATGTATTTGTCAAGCGCGAGCTTGAGATCGCGGATGGGGGCGTCCGGGTGGTCTTGGATTGTGATTCCATGGTGCGGTACTGTTCGGTTGTGATCTAGGGGCTGGGGAGTGATGCTATGAAAGCTGTAAGATGTATGCCGGGGGCTACTTATAACTACCTGTGTTGAGCAAGCGAAATGAGCGGAAACTATTTTCCAGCAAGCAGGAAATTTATCTAGGCCATTTTTAAGAGTTTGTAATAAGACCTGACAGTTGCAATAGTTACTTGAGATATCACAATGATCTTATTGTCGCCGATGCTTCGGTGAATGAATGACCCAAATAGGTGCTCGTAGATCGCAGGGAGGTCTTGGACGTCAGTATTTATTGCATGAAGTAAGGAGGGGAATAGATGTATCCACGATAACTGTTTCTGCAGGGTCAACGCCTCATCTACGAACATTCCACTTAGCAACAAACTGTATATCCAACAATCAATCTAAGGCTTTCCCACACCCCAAGTTCCCACTTCTCCAAACCTAGGATCCCACCTGACTAAATCCTCTGGATTTCTGCAACGTCTGCTCATCGTCATCGTCATCGTCATCCCACCAAACACACTCATCACCACTTCTCGATCATCGTCATCGTCTTCATTATCCTCTCAATCTGCTGTATCCGGCGAACTTTGAATGCGCCTTTCTGGAGAACTTTTCGAACTCCCCTTACAACTCTCCTCATACGTTACCAAGCTAACACACACACAACAAACCCTCCCTCCGCATCGCCTCCTCCAACATCGTCGTGCCATCAAACCAGCTGACCTTACTTACCAATACCTAAGTAATTGATCGGCTGGCTCCTTAGACAATTATGTGTCGAAGGCTGGCCCTGGATATACCTCATGATCTTGGGGAAGTTCTCGCGGAGTGGATCGGTGAAAGGATAGGGTGGGAAGCATTTATCGACGAGGATTTGGATGACACAGGATTGGTAGGCTTCGATGAGATGGATCTTGGAGAAAACGGTGGGTTTGGTGAATGGATGTGCTTTGGAAATTGTGTAGGTGTGGCAAGGTGGGTGAGGTTAGCGCAGAATGGTGGTGTACATTCAGGACTGTATATGGCTAGAAGGGAAGTGAGATGTGCAGTAGGGGCTGAATATATTCGTGTGACGCCGACACGAGAAATGAACGGACAGATTTTGTCTGACAAATAACGTAGGTCTAAAGACATTGGCTTGACTTGCTCATGTCATAAATTTAATGCGTGCGGAAAACCGCCAGTGGCCCATCCTTTGTTTTGACAATCCTGGTGGTACTCCCTTTCCAAGAAAAGTCATGATCATTGAAGGCAACTACTTGAGGAAATAAAAAGAGGCTATGAGGAGAGAGAGTTCGTAATAAAATTCAAGCATGCGCTCACAAATCCCAAAAGATCCTATCTCAATGCGCCGAGCAAATGACCAGCCATATGCAAGTAATTGCATCCGCTATTCCAGAGCGTTTATGCCGCTGAATATGCAAGAAAAAAAGGTATCGTGAAATTTTTCGACACCGATTGACAAATGCTCAAGCAAAGAGGCTCTGTCGGCCTGACCAACTCAACTCTTCCCTCCTAGCCTCCGATCCTCCCACACATCCCGTTCTCGTGCCACATCGAAATCCGCAGTCGATGATACTTCTCTGGTCCGCTTCCCACACCCGGATGTACTTCTGCCTTCTTCATCGGCTCGGTTTTCCAATCGCCCCGCTTGCCGTCGTCAACAGGAAGAACCCAGTTTTTGAGCTCTTGCTTCTCGCGCCAAGTCTTGAGCAGCTGTCAGATATTAAGTATTGTATCGAAGCTTGGAGCCTGATAATGTTCTGCATTTACGTACCTCGTTCTGTAGCTGGATCTTCTTCTGGAACGTTCCATCGTTGTCGCCCTCTGCCACAACAAGAAGAGGGTCCAGATCCACGCTATCATTCGCACAGTATATCTCGCTATGATGCCGCTTGCGCTGAGCCAAACAGAGGTCGGCGTGTCCATGGCGTATGCAGCGGGAGCAGGCGGGCAGCGTGCGGGAGCAAGGGAGGCCTGAGAGGACGCATTGGAGGCAGGAGGTGAGGAGTATGAGGTGGTTCGCGTGTGGGTCGAAGCCTTTAAGAGCTGGTGTACCAGTAGTGGGGATCAACTTTGGTGAGGACTCCGAGGACCCGGATTCGAGGGGCGAATCGTCAAGGAGTGTGGCCGACGTTGCGGCCTCGAAACCGCTGTCGTCGAAAAGCTCCACGCTGTAGAGGAGCTCCTTACGTGCGCGTAGCTCATCCTCGTCGTTGAGGCTCGAAATTTCTGTTTCGGGGTATCGGTGGCGGCGGGCAGAGACACAATTTGAGTCTGTCGGGCCGCATGGAGAGTCGAATATCGAATCGGACGAGAAACTTGTATCGGTCGGCGAGATTTCCTCGCAAAGCTGTGCCCCATACTGCTGGATACTTAGAGGCCTCAGCGCAGGTGTGCCAGGCGATGCGGTTGTCGTCGTTTGCTGTGCCTTCTCAAGGTCGATTTTGATCTCTACGGCGGCCAGCCATGACTCCACGCCATTCACGTTGTCCCCACCGTGCGCTCCCTTGACGTCGTGGATACCCATATCGCACTTTGTAGTCGAGATCTTGACGTTGACTATGTCGTTGAGCGGTGCGATCTCTTTCTTCGAGGGCATGTCGCGTCTCATAGGTGCCGGGGTGTGACTTCGAAGTCGGGGTGAAGCGGACTCTGTCGAGGATATGCAGGCGATAAAATATCTCACCTGCGTGAGATAGCGACCAGATTCCCAAAGAAGCAAGCGAAGGGAGCTCTGGGCGGCGCATGGTGTCAGTCACGTAAATGGAGCATACCGAGGCGATGGGCCTATGTACGCATGGTGGATAAGCCGGTAAGCAGAAATAAAGAAGGTAAGTATAGAGGCCAGTCTCCAAGGTCGAGAAGAGAGAAGCACCGATGTCGGAAGTCTAATTGTAATGGCTCAAACCGATTGTAAGGAAGGTACCACCCAGACATTCGTTTGCTCAACAACTAAGCAGAAGGCGGCTACGGCTTCACACTCGACACATTACATATCTATTTCCCGCCGAACTACTGATAGGTTGCTCCCCGGGTATCAAGGGCTGCTAAATGGATACACGTGCTCTATATAAAGCAAAAAAGCTACAGCACAAACCCACCCAAAGTCACATTCCTCCAGCTTCTCGTCGGATGTGTATCTTCCAGTTCTACACACCACCAAAGTACCTCCTTCGTCTTGTCTATTTGACCGCTTTCTTCGTACGCGCGGGCCAGCGCATACCACGCTTCGGAATAGTCCCACCCAGCACCGCGTTTTGTCAAGATTGAAAGGAGACCAAAGGCACGATCTCGAGCAGCAAGGCGACTGAGCTCGGGTGGCGAAAGCTGGTTCTCAGCCGAGGGTGTGTGTGCAGTCATATGTGGCGTTGGCGAATCCTTTGAGTTTGCGATCGAAGGGATAGGTGGTGGCGCGGGGCCATCTAGACTGGATGTCCGCTCCATTGGGATGACTTTGCAGTATATGTCAAGCAGAATATTAGAGAGTCCGACAATGGCTTGCGGATGATCTGGGAAATGCTGAACCGCTCTTTCAAACTCGTCACGCGCATCGTGTTTTCGGTCTTGGGCTGAAAACAATTCTCCGCGCTACAAACTTGTTAGAAAACATTCCAAAGTAACTTAGAAGATTCGCTTACCGCAGCGTAGACATCACCCCAAAGCTCTTCTACACTCTTGCCACCGCCCCATCCTCTTTCTGCAAAACCTTTACTGGACGAGGTTTCCTGGGCTACCTCGGCCTCAAAGATTTCTACGAGCTTTTGAGCTTCGTTCACAGCATCATTGGCATCTTCGTGCATGTCCGCTCGCGTATAGAGGCCACAAATGAACAACCATATTGAAGCCAATAATGAAACTTTCTGCCGGCGTTCCTGAATCTTGGAGAAGTGGGGCTCCGGCGGGATATAGCCCGGGTTGGGAAATGGCGCAGGTAGCCGTGTGTCTTGCTTGGGTGGCTGACTGGTGTGACCGGAAGGCGGCGGCTCTGCTGTGGGCGACATGTTGTGTGGTATAGGTCGCAGCGAGCGCTCATTGCTGACAGACCTACGGTTTGAGCTCGAGATTGAAGAGCGCCGGGCCGATCTACTGCGCACAGTGCTGTTTCGAGCCGGTGTACTGTCAGCAGCCCCGTCTAGCAATTGGGGTACTTCGGGTTCTTGTTGTCCATCCATCTCAGATCGCCTATTCAAGCTACTGACACTTTTTTTCCGCAATTTACTGGGACTTCTTTGTACACTAGAGTGATCATCGCGATGCCTGTGAGGCAGTAGGTGATGGTGATGATGTTCTTTTGCATTGCCGTTTGTGTTTTCATCAGTGACTTGAATGGTAGGTGCTTGAGACGTTTGCGTGACCGCTGCTAACGCGTCAGAACTTGAGAGGGAAGAGTGCTGTGCAGTGTGATTCTTCAACGGGCTTTTGACAGAGCCTTTTGATCGAAATATGCTGCCTCGAATCGTGCCTGCTGAACTTTTCGGCGGTGCCATCGTGACCGGCTTCGGTGGAATCTTTTCGGCAGCGGGATCGCCAAAGAGTCGTGCGTATAGAGCGAGGAGCTCATCGCATCCATCTACTGCAAGATGAGAGCCATCTACAATTTCCACCAGAGCTAGCTGCGTCATCTTGATTTCAAGGACTGCGGTCTTCTCGAAACGTTCCATTCGGTCAACAATACCAAAACTCCGCTCGCTCTTGCCATTGGCTTCGTTAAGATGTTCGCTGCGGTACCCTTCGGCGTCATCCTTGCCGAATAGGATGAAAGGATCTCCAAATTGTTCAAAGGCTGCTTCGCAGGCTTGCTCTGCAGCAGGGAAATCGGACCGCGCAGTCAACAGGAGCGCCAGCAGATGCCAAAACGGTATCAGTTTTCGCTCTCGTCCAAACTCTATCGCGGATCCGGGGTTTATTACGCCATCAGCACTGGTGGACGCCTTACTCTTCGTTGCAGGGGAAAGAGCCACCTTAACGGCTTTGACAGATCCAGGTATGTCCCTTGTCTCGGCCAATACCAGGGCCAGGGCATACAGCGCCTCCAGGTTGTTCGACTCTCCTAGTTTCGGCGCGAGTGATTTTCGGAGATAGGACACAGCTTTCGCTTGGATGCCAGCACGAGCGTCTGCTTCGTAGGTGAAACGCGCCCATTGAGCCAAGCTGATGCCAATTGCACAGTATGCAATAGCAAGGGAACGTGGCTCTACGATCGTCTCGATTGATCGTGTGGAACCTGCTTCAGACGCGGTCAGACCAGTATGCTCGCTTTGTTCAAGCCATTTCTCGATAGTTTCGCCGATCTCCAAGGCTTTCTTAGATTCTGCGTGGGAGCCAAAGCGGCATAAGACTCTGATCGCTTCCGCAGACGTCCTAAGAACGGTGCTGTCGTCGTCAACTCCGGCGTCCCGTTCTCCAGACTTCTCCGCTCGGTCCTTCCCACGCGTTATAATGTCTACATATGAATCATAGGCTTTAAAAGCGAGGTCAAAATCTGCAAGAGCCGCGTGAACGGCAAAGAGGTGGCGCAGAATCTGTGTGGAGTGGAAAGTCTTCGTGGCCGCCCTGTAGAGGACGTCTAACATGCATCTGCCGACAGCTTCCTTACCGCCAGCGCCTAGGTCTGCATCAGTCCAAGAGGGTCCGCAAAAGACTCGCCAGTTGTCGATGGCGGAGTCGACCCATTGTTCGATTTCAGTGTTACTGTCGCTAGCTCTGGGGAAATGAGTCTCCTTCAACAGCAAGCTTTCGTAAATCGTCTCGACCTTCTTCAGCTCGGCACGCTGCTGGAGCCTGGAGTGTGGTAGCGCGGGTGCCTTTTCCGTCGCATGATCTGCGTATTCCGACCCAGAATCGTAGGGGACGTCTTGGCGCAGGATGGCTGAGAGGGTGTCGTAGTATGCTTTCCATGCCTGGCGTCGGTACGTGGCCGCGTTCGCACCCTCGCTCCCACCGCCTTTTGCTGTAGTTTCCCAGTATTTGGCCCAGAAGCGGAACGCCTGAAGAGCATCTGCGAGATCCGTGTAGTTTGAACCACCCAAAGACTGATTGGACAAGTGGCAGAGACGCACGAGAAGATGCTCGGTCCACATCCTGAACTGTGGCGTCTCGTGGGCAGCGGAGTTGGTGGACAGCCACGGCAGAACTGATGCGAAAGAGGTGACGGCTTCTTCTGGCGAGTCAGTCTTTTCGTGTGACGAGCCTTTGAGGAAGGCGCCCTTGACAACGCACACGCGTGTCCAATTGGTGGGGGTTGTTTCCTGCATCTTGGTCGCAACTGCCGCCATGTCCTTGGGCAGACGCGCGACGGCCAGGCCGGGTTCGTCGAGTACATAGTGTAGCCATGCTAAGCAGACGGTGGCCTGAAATGCATCCTGAACGTGGTCGCCCTCGTCGTCTATGGCGGTGAGCAGCGTGGGTATGACGGTGGACAGGCCCGAGGAAGCGGTCGACGACGCGGTCGAGGGTCTCTGGGTGCTGTACTTGACTATCTGCGCTTCGGCGCGTGCTGTTTTGGTGAGGCCTATCACTGGTTAGTTTCGATCCAAGAGATGGACGGGGTTGCTGACATTGGCGGTGCGGCGCATGTTTCTCGACCTTCCTGCACAGCTCAGGAACATCGCTCCACCGCGCGGCACAGCGCGCATCGTCGAGCTGGGCAATGTAGCGCAGCGCCTTGTCGCTCTCGGGGTGATTCTGCTGCAGCGTGAGCTAGAATGCGGAGATGACGTCGCCCGAGGGGTCTCGAGTCGCGGTCGCAAGAAGGGCTACGTACACCCATTGTGGTACGGGGAGGCCTATCGCTACAGGCAGGGCAGGAAGACGCGCAAATTCATGTTCGAGGGAGATGTACTAGTGGGAGAAGACTGCAACAGTGCAAGTACTCCAGACACTCCACGCACGTCGTCCCACGCGGCAATGTGAACGTAGGCGACGCACCCCTGCCGCTTGGCGGCTCACTAGCGCCCGCCATCCAAAAAAGTTCACCGTTCGCTGAAGATGCGCTTCCAGCAATTCGCACCGCCCAAGGTTGCAAAGCCAGAAAAAGACAGAATGGCGCCAATGGCTACTGAGCTGGCGACTTTGCGCGCCCTGACGTTCCGCATTTCGTCTACCACCACGTCGCAGCTTCCTCAACACGTGCCTGCCATAGCTGCTTCCCTGGCTAGCTGCAGGACACTGCTTTCTTCCGCTCAGGCCTCCACCTCCAAGAATGCATCCGAAGCCTCGGTGGCAGTCCACAAGTTCCGAACGCTCCTATCTACGCTGCTCCAGGATCGGACCATCCAAGGAAGATGGGCTGCCATTGTCCTCATCAAATCCACCATCGAGATTGGAGGCTGGGAAACCCTTCAAAAGAGCTTGCCATGGGTACGCGGACTCCTGGGAATCCTGACCAAGCCGGACCCGTACTCTTCCAAGCAGTTGTGCATCATCACCCTGACGCGTATTTTCTTTCTCACGCGAGAATATCCTTCGCTCGTCCGCGAGATCACCACGCCCTCGTTGTCACCATTCATACAGTCGTCCCTCCAAGTTGCAGCATCGAAAAGCTCGCCAGCCCTTCTAGAGACCATCCTTGAAAGCTTCAATCAGCTGCTTCCACGACACCCAACTACGTTCCGGACCCACCTCAAGCACATCCACCAGCTTCTTAGTCAAACAGTCGCTCCAACCCCGTCCAGTAAGCTTAGCCGAGAGCAGACAGTAGGAGCCAGGCCCGACGTCACGCCAGCCGTTTCTGATGCTGCTCGGCGTCTTTACACGCAATTGCCATGCAGCGCGCCGAAGGGTGCCGCAGCTGACGAATGGCAAAAGAACTTCAAGAAGGCCATCGAGAATGCGCATTCTCTTGGAGACAAGGTTTTCCGAGCGGTGGTGGAAGATTGGAAGTCATCGGAACGTGAGCCCGCGGCGGTGAATGGACACACTCTAGACGATGAGGTTCAAGATCTGAATGCCGATCTCATGTCTCTACCGCCTTGGGCAGGCATATTCGCGGGTGGTGAACGATTGCTCGGTCTTCTCAGCTTGATCAAGACCTACATTCTCTGTCCAACTACCATGCCAGTCAATCTGCCCATCGGAACAGTGGTGGACCTGCTCACTAGGTTGCTTTCGCTTACGATATCGTCAGCAAAGGGCCAAGGATTCCAAAATGCTCTTAAGTTGAACAATCAAGTCAGCAAGGAGGAGCGCGAAAACCTTTGGCTCATACTTCCTGAGATCCATGTGGCTGCCATTGATCTACTCCTGGCTCTGACGCAACGAAGCGACGCTAGCACTACCGCGATCGATGCTGCGATGCTCGATCAGATCGTTTGGGTGTTTGCGTCCGAGAAAGACTCCTCTGAGATTCGCACGGCTTGCTATCTAGCTGTCGCCGAACTACTGCTGCGGTCGGGCATTGCCCTCCCAAAGTCTTCGATTGACCCGCTGGTTGATATGATTCGTCGATGCTGCGACGACATCCTCCCGCTGGATACGAATGGCACTCAGCAAAAACAATCTTCAGCGCCAAAGACAAACGGAGCGCCGCAAGCCACCACAAACGCTGACGCATTTTTGAAGGCCCCGAAGGCTACGAATGTGTCGTGCAATTTTATCGGACTACAAACCGCCGCTCGTGCCCTACTGCCGGTTCTATTCACTTACGTTCGGCCACAGTATCTATCGGACTCTCTCAGGGCTCGTCTAGATCGTACCGCTATCCTTGTGCGAGACAAGGATGCGATGATTGCCAGCGTGCTGAACCCACCTCCCAGCAGGAAATTTGGAAAGCCAGCCGCGAGCATTCTGCCATTCCTGGCTCGAAACCAACCCGGCGAGCAAGACGTGGAGGCTCTATTGAGACCTCGGATGCCAGTCATACGCACAGGCACGCATGAACTTGAAGAAGGTGCTGAAGAGGATGAAGAGGCAGAGATGTCAGAGGAAGCTGGAGGTGACGACGAGTTTGTGGGAAATGAGCTGGACTCCTTGTTAGGAACAGCGCCCACGGCAGACGTTAGAGACGACGTTCCCATGGCAGAGGAAATTGACATACCCGCGACCGCCCCTGCTCCACTCATGTCAAACGATCGTCCGGCAAGCACTCTCGAAGGCGGAAACGCGATTGGCAAACGACCCCAGGAAGATTCATCTTCTCTCTCCCCACCGAAGCGTGTGAAGGTGAGCGAGGAACAAGAGCATCTGAATATTACAACCCTACCCGTACAGACTTCACCGGTGCTACCAACCAAAATCGTGGCACCAAAGCTGGAGGCACCTGCAGTCGTGCCAGACCTGCCGGCCACCTCTCAAAATATGGCTTCTCCCACAGTCACCACGCTGGCAGCGCCATCAGCGCAAGGAGACAGTGACGACGACGATGACAAAATATCGCTAGTTTTGGGGCAGGACACAGATTCGGAGTCTGAATAGACGACCGAGTTAGGTAGAATCCCTTCAATACTATTGTCTCTAGCGCACAATAGGTGAATAGGCACGGACCCTGGTACGGTGAATGCACGGGCCCAGTGAAGCCTACGTACCTGCCCACACCTCGCGCCTAGCTCTTCCGCCGCAAATAAATATCACTGCTCACCTGTGCTTGAAACTTTCTTCACCTTCTTGAACTTTCGCACGTCAACAGTTTACTCCCATTGTTTCCACAATCAAGCGGCCTGCCGTCGACCTCGATCCCGCCGAGGGTCCATCCAAGCGCGCTCGGCCGCTACCTCTTCCTGATCCTCTTTTTCACTTGCAGCGTCCATCCCACCGACGACCTGCTCAAGTCAGCGGTTTGCGCCCTGTACAGCGCTCCGCAAACCACGAAGCCATCTACATCTCGTCCACTTCACCCGATGACACTGACGACGTGTATCCTCGCCCACATATGAGACCTAGCGGCGGGATCGCACCCAGCGACAGCCTGCAAGATGATATCGTCAACTCTATCGAGTCCACTCCTCGAAGCCGAAATTCGCGCACTGGACTTGAGCATTATCTCCACATCATAAAGAAAAAGGCCACGGCCTCTTCGGTCGTCACTAGTGACTTTGAGGCCTACCGGCGCGCCGCGCCCCCCAACGACTCGGTTGGCGATCTACTCCCTGAGGTCCGGCCACAGACCCTCGACCTAGGGCCACCAGACCCTAAATATGACTACGGTGTGCTGCCAACCCACGAGCTACGGTACGCGGAGGCCATCTACAAAGCGCAGACGTGGAACCCGCTCATCCCGCTCGCCATCATCCGCATCGCAGAAAAGAACCTCGCGTTCCTGAACTTCGACTCGATGCTCACGTACCTGCCCAACGTCGAGCCGCAGAGGTTTACTCCTGAGTTTCCGCAAGTGGAGGATGGTCAGTCCATGCCGTTCCTGGATCCGCAACGATGTGAATACACAAGGAGGACGACCAGCCGATCATCATTGTCTTTCTGCCGGAGTACTATCAAGACGGACGCCACGCATTGGCATTCTGGACACGCAAACAGCCCTCTGGCCGCCTGTGCTCGATCGTGTGCACGCCATGCACGACACAGGAACTCCGCGCCGCAGGTCTCCTCGCCCCCACGCCCGCCGAACACGGACTGCCCGGGCTGGGCGGCCCGTATCAAGACTATGTAGAAATCCAGCAGTGGAGCAACTTCAGAATCGGCGCCAGTGGAGGGGAGTGGCTGTTTCCGTGCCTGGAGCGGGATATCATCACGTGGGAGAGGGCGGAGCATCTGGTGGGATTTGAGTGGAAGCTAAGGGTGGCTATCACAACGTACCCGCGAGTTTGTATCTCTGAAGACAGTTTTATCGCGCGGGAGAGGGATCACGGGTGGTGGTATGATACCAGGTGGGAGTGAGGGGTGTGGCACGGAGGTCGGTACTGGTGTTGGTTTTGACGCGTCATGTTCAAACCGCGAAGGCTACTAGGGAGACTTTGCGACAGCCTGGGATGACTTGAGTTAGTGGAGCATGAGCGATAGAAGTAGTATTGATGTGTATATCCATTGGTCGATGATGTGCATATGGAGACCTTTGTCTGGGAAATGTATAGTAGCAAATTGCGTGAGGGAATTCTCTGCTCTTAACGTCAAGGGAGTGAGTCGAATCTGTAACCACAGTCAGCCATGCTTTAGTCGCTATGCTAGTGCTTAAAAGGAATATTTTCGTTCTCGATAACATATTTTATGTGCAAAGTCGTGAGTTTTCTTACAGTGCTCGTGCACCCGGCTCTGAGCCCAGGCACTGGGTCGGTCATCTCGGCGACCAGAAGAACTCTAGTATTGTCATTCCTATGGAAGCCCGTTGGTGGGAATCAGTTGTACGAGGGATTAAGATGAGGGCAGGACCTGGGCATGTGATGTCAGTATAGCCATCAGGGGTCATGCTTGCGTCAACTCGCGTGTATGAGTCGCTCCGCTCGCTCTAGAGCTACTGAAAGGGAGACTGAGTGTTGGGCCGGCGTCTCGCTGGTCCTGCCCTGTCGGGAAGCTACGTTTCTGGTTCGAGCATGTACATGCGTGTGTGGCCTTGCGGCATGGTTGAATATGAGGAGGATCAAGTGGAATGGCAAAGCAAGACGTTCACAAGGGATGTAATAGTTTTAATGATTTCTGATTGTTCCATGCTGCAGTCATCCGGAAAGGCTTGTGTACAGACGCTTAAGTTTGTCAACAAAACCAATTTGCTATCGGGGCACTAGTATACATACAACACTTGCAGCTCAATTGATACTGTCACGAAGAAGTCCAGGCGTTTTTTGACTGGGAAACAACCTATAATCAAAGTCAAGTGTAGTCAATTGGATTATGCAATACACGGCTGCTCCAAACTAACACATGTAGGATGAACGAATTTGACTCAAGGCTTGAGATTCGATCCAAAAGATCTGCGTCGAAGATCTCTTAACCAGTGCGACCATATATCTATATTCAGATCTGAATACGTGATCGGCGAGGCGAAACCTCGGTACTTGTTCTACAGAACTGTTGGCCGCTCGATACGATGCGGCTGAGGCTAAAACATACTAGTACCTGGCTTCTCGTAATCACCCTTGGCTCGCATACGACCGTCAACGATCTACCGGCTGTAACGTTATTTGGACGCTTTCGAAAACATATACCCGTATTTCCAGAAAGTCCGTTCCGCTGGCCCTTTGCGCTCATGTAATGGTCCCTTTCCAAGCTCGTAATATCCTGGAATCATCGAACTATTATAAGCATTCGCCCCACCCCGATCGCCGACATTGTGCTACCTCGCCGACGCTCTGTTCCACATTCTGGGAATCGGACTTCTATTTCGTCGGTTTAGATCACGTGCATGAGCAATTATATGGTTTCCTTAAGGAGAAAGTAACGCGAATCACGAGACGGACTTGGGCGAGCTCACTACAACCCCCGCCAAGAATTCTGCTCCGCCTTTGAGTGATGGCAATGCGACAAGCAGGGCCTGAAACTGTATGCTAGATGTAGTGGCTTGTCTTCGGTAGCAGTCAAAATGCTCAACAAGTATCCTGTTACGTAAGCCTGAGTAACGTTCACCAGCAAATCAGGCATCTTTCACATCGAGTCGTGAAGCTATGCTGTGACGAAGTGATCAATTTGATGCCAGCCACCTGCACAGTTCGACCAAAGATACACGGCGAAACAGTCCCTCGTTGCTAGTTCCTGTACTCTGCCTAGTTCTGGGCATACACCTTGGCGACCGTCTATGGCTTCCGAATGTGCATCTGATCGTCAAACAGGCACTTCTACACCGTGATGGATCCCACAAACATGTTAGACAGACCGTGATGCATACACGAGACAATTAGCCTCGTTTTACTCTCTTTGATTCGAGACGACCCATCCTTTCGAGTATGGTCCATCGCTAATTTTACTTGGTCAAAGGTATAAAGGGCGAGCAAGTTGAAGGGGTTTCTCTCCACCAAGCTCATCAGCACTCAGAATCAGATCCACTCCTACTTCTCTCAACTACTTTTGCAATCTGCATCCTTCAATATGAAGTTCACTGTCGTCGCTATCGTCTCTGTGCTCATTGCGCCCCTCGCATACGCTGCTGCGTTGTCTCCTGCCAACATCAACGCTCTTGCAGCCCGCGACACCAACGCCCAGAGCGGTTTTGAAGATGTTGTTGGATACGCTCTTCCTGATGGTACCCGAAAGATCGACTTCTATCTGAACGGTGCCCTCGAAGGCAGCGCTGTAGAGACCAAGGACGGAGGTATGTTGGGCACACGCCTCACTGGCACCTCCCGTTTCTAACCGAATACCAGTTGAGTTCCTTGATGCATCTGGCGCAGTCGTCAGTCTCGGCGACCTTGACCAGGCCGGTGGCTTGGCCAAGCGCGTTTCCAAGTTCGACTTTGCCATTAAATTCGCAAAGCTTCTTGCCAAGTATGGCAAGAGGGCCTGGGACTTCTTTTACTGCGTTGGCTTGAACGCTGCCTGGAAGTGCAGCGATGATGTGAGTGGCCTTTCTGATGGGTCTTGAGACCTGGACTAACACTTGCTGTAGTTCATTGACTGCGCCGGTTCGGGCATCCCTCCGTGGAGCTGCATCGAGGGAATTGTTTGTGTGGGCGTTGCAGGCTCGAAGTGCAAGTAAAGTGGTTCAGAATGATCAGAGCTTTATTCATGAGCCATGGGGTATGGATATGGAGAACGATTTTCAATTCCATGGGATGGATATGACATTTGGAACTCGCCTTAAGCTTGAAGTATAGTACTAGTCACTCACTGAATCTATGTATTGCGTTGTAAAAAAGCTAAAGCTGTGATTGAGAGGCACCTGACCTTGTATGATAGTCTATGTGGAGAAGAAGGAGCAAGTTCCGGATCCTCATCAAGGAGGGCTACAGCATAACCATTTCTGTAAGACGTTTTGCATACTATATTCACTCAATCCATACGCCAGACTGCCAACATATGTCCCGAGAACGGCGAAAACATCGCCATCGTGGATCTGTTCCTCGCAGGAGATAAAATTGCGACGTCTGAATTCGATTTGTTTCAGCTTGCTCTACGATGGTGTCAGCGTAACGGCAACGACGTCCTAGAATATAGCCATATTCTCGGTCTTAGTGCTCTCACAGATGAGCAGCAGGTCTGGCCTGGCAAGTAGTTCAAGAATCAGCTTCTGGAGCCATTGCTGAATCTGGTTCACCCGTCCGTCCAGAGGACATGTTCGCTAACCTGTACGATGTCTGCTATGACAGGAGAATGGGCATTCTCAGCAACGGCAGCGTAGCTGTAATTCCAGCTGCTGCGAAGCTAAACAATAAAATCGCAGCTTTCCGCGGTGGAGATTGTCTATACCTTGTTGAGCCTGCGGGAAAAGAAAGTCAGCGCAAATACAAGTTTGTTGGTGAATGCTATGTAGATGGTTGGATGGACGGGGAGCTAGTGAACGAAACGCAGCAGGCAGTGGAGACATTGGTGCTAGTCTACCGGTAATTGGTGCTTTGAGCCATCGCCACATTCACACCCCAGCTTCGGTAGCTTCAGTCACTGCGCTCTCCTCAATTGCTTTCAGTGCACTCTGGACTATCCCGAGCACAACTCGCCAACAGCAAATTGTCCGCACGCGTACCCATCGATTGACTCGACTCAGGAAGGGTTTCGTTTATTGAATGTCAAGTCAGAGGGATGCGATGAAGAAGACATCAGCATCAACCTTAGCCATGCTCGCCTTTTCCTACATGTGGGGCGTCAAAATAGAGCACGCACATGTTTACTAAACGAAACTCGCGTAAAGATCACCGAAAATCTTAATGAGCGCTGAGCGCTCCGCCAGTTTCAAGGTGGGAGCAAGTGCCCTACTCTGTGGGTTGATGTCTTGTGCATCTAGCAAAATGAGGCGGACGAACGTTCAGCATTAGATGATTGGGGACAGGAGTACGATGACGGGTATAGGTGCTGGTGTGGATGCGGATGCGAACAGATTGGTCTGGTGGAGGGTGGTCGGGTGGTCGGGTGGTGCAATGTTGTGGAGCTGGAGACTCTTGTGGAGGGATGAGACTAATGTCGTCACGGCGGAGCGATTTGTGTCACAGCTCGACATATGTACTTTTGTTGGGCTTCATTGGAAGGTTTGGTTATCGTACACGCACCACATGCCAATACGCCCCGAGCTGACTACAACTTCGCCCCGGCTTTTTCCTGCATCAAGTCCTCCAGACCCACCTCGCTCGTCATCAAAATAGCCGTATCCCGCAGCGCCGGCACGCGAAACTCGTGGTTAACGCTCTGGTACTTCGCATCCCCCAGCATCTCCGCAAAGTGCAATACACTCGGATAATGCGCGAGCGCGACCTCATCCCAGCCCTCCCCATCTCCGACCTCTTTACCTCTTGGCACGCCATCGACGTGCGTGACACCCCCCACGAGCTTCGCATTACCTCCGTGCGAGGAACCAATGGATGATGCAAACGCCTTGCCGTACTCGAGGTAGCTCGCTTTCTTCCCAGGGCGAAAGGACAGCAAATTGAACATGGACACCGCACCCTTGGCTTCTTTCGTCCCATTCCTAGAGAACCCCCGGATCCACTCCTTCAGTTCATCCGACAACTCCAGATTCTGCGCTGACTCCGCCGTGCGCCCTCCTTCCAGCGCATCGCCGCTAACTTCCGGTACGGTGCCCTTCGCCGGCCGTAACAATTCTGCATTCTTCCGCGCAAAATCCTGGGTCAAACGGGACGGGACGCCCGCAGTGATGCGCCAGGTGTGCTGGATCAGCGGTGTGAGGGAGGAAGGAAGGGCGTCGGTGCCGGGCAAGATGAGCAGGAAGTCCCAGTGGATGTTGCGGGCGAGGAGGGGCGCGGTGGAGAAGGTCGACGGGAGGATGATCCACCGGATTACGCGGGAAATGACGAGGGGGGTTAGGTTTGCGGATTTGAGAGCGTGGAGGAAAGATGGTTGGGGATTGGGGCTCGAGGCCGTGGGGGCGAGGGCGATGAGGTGGAGGGTGCAGAGTGGCATAGTGAGGGTTTGGTGGGCGGTATAGTAAGGAGACTTTGATTGTATTTCGCGTGAGGTTGGTATATGGAATATGTGGTTGGGATGAATGGCATAACTTAGAGTAAGAGAGTATGATGTAAGGTGGTGTTGGGGTAAATGCCGAGGTCCAGCGCGCATACGCTAGTCACTCATTCTCCTGGTCTTCCTGCTCCATCTCATCCCCGCCTCTTTCTCTTTCCTCTTCTGTTGGCCCAACCACAGGGAAAGAAAGGTGTTTCCAATCCTCAATCTACGATTCAATCAGCTTTGTCCGTCAAATTGACGCTTTCGACTCACCTCCTCAATAATGCTCCTCAATCTGTCCCTAACGCTCTCCACCGCATAGCTCCCAAGCAGCAAGCGCAACGGCGGATAACTGCAATGTCCTAGCTGCCACACTAACTCGGCGCTCTTGACTGCGCTGACAGGCTGCCGATCGTTCAGCCACTGTATCATCCGTTTTGCATGGCCCGCTGGGCTCGTCGCCGTGTTATATGGCTCGCTCAATTTCTCCTTGACGAAGAAATGCCCGTAGCGCTTGGGTTTGGGAGGGCCGTCTGGACCAGGATTTTCGCTGCCCACTACGATGTCGTCTGGCTCGTCTAAGCGCACGTGCCCGGGCTCAACCAAGGTAGCTTTTATGTTGAAGCAGTCGATTTCGTAGAGCATGGATTCGATGAGACCTTCGACGGCGTACTTGGTGGCGCAGTAGGGCCCGAGACCCGGGACGCCGAGAGCGCCAGCAGTGGACGAGAAAATGAGATAGCGGCCGGAATTCTGTGCGCGGAAGTGTGGGAGGGAGAGCTGGATGATGTGCAGGGTGCCGAGGAAGTTGGTGTTGAATTGGTTGCGGAGGTCGTAGTCGTCTTGGTCCTCGCATGCGCCGATCACGCCTGGAAGATTGTAAGCATGCCATGGCGAACGGAAAGAGGTTACCTACCATAGCCAGTGCAACTGCGACACCGTGATCAGCTTGATTGCCAGGAGCAGATGTGGAGGAAGGAAACGTACTTTGCGATGACATCAATATGTCCCCAGTGCTCAATGCTCTTTTTGATTACGTTGTCTACCGTCTCTCTGACCCGGACATCACACAGCATCCCCACGCAGTTCTTTTCTTGCTCCCACTTCTTCATCTGCTCCATGGTGTTTTCCTGCGTCCATCCGACGGCAGTGCACTTGTCGCCGTGCGACAGCAACGCGCGCACAAGCGAACGGCCCATGTGGCCCGTTGCGCCAAAGACCTACATTGGCGCCATCAGCGACATGCACAGGCAGCAGAAACGGCAGACACACGATCCATGATGCCTGCTTTGGGGGGCTGTGCTCGGACGGCGGGTCGCAAGTTGCAGGGAGCTTGAGGTTGGGGTTGTGCGAGGCAGCAGCTGGCGACAGGCTTTGGCTGGCCGTGTCGAAGTCCATTGCGGGAGGAAGCCAGAACTGGGGGCAGGGCAGGCCGGAGGCGTTGCTGCTCGAGGCGGGGTGTGGGGAGCTTGCGGGGCCAATCGGAGCCGTGGGACGGGGCAGCATCGCCGTCCCGCAGAGCCTCAGCCCAGCCTCGGATGCTGCTGCAAGGGCAAGACAGCGGACATGAGCTCCGCGGGGCAACTGCTGGGGCGACGGGATGCTGGATACCAGACAGATGGATTCGTCTTCCACTGGGCTCGATACGCTCGTAGGCGCTCGTCTCAGAAGAGCAGCTCTCTCCGATTGCTGGCGAGGAAACGCATGCCCTGGACAAGGAGCTGGCTGGGGACGGTGTTCTGGCGGTTCATGAAGTTGCTGACGAGGATGAACAAGACTACGAAGATGTCGAGCAGCAGCGGCGACTGCAGGAAGAAGTGGTGGCCGAGGATCAGAAAGGCCTGTACGCGGTACCTGCTCCGAATGGACCGGATGGCCCTGGCGGTGCCTGGGTCGCGAGCCATGGCGCGTTCTTGCACGCGGGACTGCACGAAACGAGCGGGCCGGGCGTTGGTGAAGAAGCTGGCAGGAGATGGCCTTTGATGCGCTGTTGACTGACGGGCAGGGCGCAGGGCGCAGGGCGCAGGTAGAGGCGTTATCGATATCGGCTGTCCGCACCCCTGCCGCTTCCCGTTGCGCATCATTCTAGCATCCAAGCCATTGACTACTCACGCTCAGTTCCACACGAGCACACCATGAAGACATAGCCACAGGCACACCGATTGCCCAGCCGCGAACATGGCGCAACTGCCCTCCCCAGTTGCGCAGCCCGTGTCCCCGGGCTCGACGTGCGTCCCGCCCCAGCTACCCCTCCACCACCGAGGCACATGTACTGACGACGGCAGCCTCTCCTTCACGCAGGGCTTCCTCCTGGGCCAGCTCTCCATCGCGCTCATCCTCTTCGTCTTCATCAAGTTCTTCATCTTCGGCGAGCTCCCCTCGGCCGACGACCGCGCCGTGCACCTCAACAGCCTCCGCCGCGCCCGCACCCTCGCCCACCAGTCGTCGCTCCACCAGCGCACCCGCTCCAACAGCACCACCAACCCGCTCCGCCCCAAGTCCTCGCGCGCCGTCATCCGCGAGGCCGCCGGCGCAGGCGGGCCCAGCGTCGCCGCCATCCTCGCAAAGACGTACTACAATGTCAAGGGCCACCAGCCCGAGAGCCTCGACTGGTTCAACGTGCTGATTGCGCAGACCATTGCGCAGCTGCGCGCGGACGCGCGGCAGGACGGCGCCGTGCTGACGAGCCTGACCGAGGTGCTGAACACGGGGTCCAAGCCAGCGTTCCTCGGGGAGATCAAAGTGACGGAGATCGCGCTGGGCGACGAGTTCCCCATCTTCAGCAACTGCCGCGTGATGCCCGCCGAGGAAGGCTTTCTCTCGGGCGGCGGCAGCGGCGGGATATCTGGGACCGAGGAAGGACGGCTGCAAGCCCGCATGGACGTCGATCTCAGCGACATCATCACGCTCGGCATCGAGACGACACTCGTGCTCAACTGGCCCACGGACCGCGTCGCCGTCCTGCCCGTCGCGCTGGCCGTCAGCGTCGTCCGCTTCTCCGGCACCCTCGCGGTATCCTTCATCCCGTCCTCCTCACCCCCATCAACATCCTCAAACACACCCGCCCCAGACGACGCAGAGCGCCCGGGCTCGTCGGACGACCCAGGCCTGGGCGAGCGCAGCACCCCGCGCCGCCCGACCACCCTCGCCTTCACCTTCCTCGATGACTATCGGCTCGACCTCTCCGTGCGCTCCCTCGTCGGCAGCCGCTCGCGCCTGCAGGACGTGCCCAAGATCGCGCAGCTCATCGAGTCGCGCGTGCACGCATGGTTCGACGAGCGCGCCGTCGAGCCGCGCTTCCAGCAGATTGTTTTGCCGTCGCTCTGGCCGCGGAAGAAGAACACGCGCGGTGGCGAGGAGGGCGATGCCGAGGACGAGGGCATCCAAGTCACCAGCCCGACGCCGGAAGCGCCGCGGGAGAGGGAGAGCTTGCCCCAGACGCTCGAGGCGCGGATAGAGGCCGAGGGCGCGAAGCTGCGGGAGGCTGAGATCCGGGCTGGCGAGCGGAAAAGGGATCCCGATGAGGGCGTGAGGTGGCGGGGGGAGCATCCAAGGGAGCAGGGCCGGCCGACGGAGCGCTTGGGGAGGGAGTGGAGTGCGCGCGAGGTGTCGGCCGCGATGCCGGGGGGGATGCCTGGGTGAACCTGTACCTCTCCTCTGCGCGGTCCATTGCACATAGGTTGGCACGGATGTACTTGCATAGGGGATTACCATGACATGTGTGTTCATAGCATAGCATAGCGAACGGCGTCACTCGAGGATGAAAATCAACATGATCACTGCTCTGCAATTATATCCTCTCCTCGGTCCCTAATCCGTAGACGAAACACTCTGTAGTCCACCTAGGTGACGACAAACCCAGGTATTCCAAGCGCGCCTCCCCAATCAAAACCCCCTTTCAAAGCGCCATAGTCATGCCCTAGCAGTGGGCGCGCTTTGATTCTATACAAGTACAAGTACAACGTGAAAAACATTGAGTTCCATGACAAATATACATCCTCCAGCGCCGACAGCGGATAATAAAACAGACGCGGAGGAGATGCCCTGTGCGACCAAAGTCTACTCAGGCAACAACATCCAGTGGACGCGCATCTCCAACCGTGGCCGCGGCGTATCTCCGCTCAAATGACACTACTTTTTCGCCAACAGTCAATACTACTGCCAGTTGGCGGCGGGAGTGGGAGCCGGCAACGTGTGTGCGAACGCCTTGGGCGAGCGCTGCGCATCCGGGTTGGTGGGAGGGAACGAAGGCTGAGCCTGGAGCATAGGTGCCTCCTCGGCGGCGTATGTAGGAGCGTTCAGAATGGAGCCCAGGGGTGGAAGTGTGTGAGTCTCGCCGTTCGGGGGAGCGAGCTGCGTGGCGGCGGCGATCGGCGGAGCGACCATAGGCGCGGCCATGGGAGCGGTCATAGGTGCAAGCGCAGCGGCGGGAGGGAAAGCGCCGGGCTGCACAGGCTGCGGAGGGAGACCGTTGAGCTGGGCCATCGACGGGAGCGCCGGAGGCTCTGGCGCCGAGAAAGGGTTGTGGTCCGCAGGAATCTGGGCGACGAGGGAGGTGGGTGGTGGTAGCGGTTGGGGTATAGGCGCTGCAGTCGCTGCAGGCGCAGGCACTGGGGCTGCAAGAGTCTGTGTGCGGGCAGCGTCCATCCCCGACAGCGGCGGGCCAGTATTAACGGGAACATATTGTGAAGCATCCTCGTTGTTGACATTGCCCTCCTTGTTCGGAATGGAGCCCTTTTCGAAAGAGCTAGAGGCTACCTTTCCGATCTTGAGGCGCACGAGCAGGGAGTGTGGCTCGTCTTCGGTCTCCGAGGGTTCCTCGTCGGACTCGTCGGACTCGTCCAGGTCCATCTGCTCAGGCTCGTCCTCGTCTTCGTCGTCGCCATTCCAAGACGTAGCATCCTCCTCTTCGCTGATGTCTTCGTCGTGATACGACTCGAAGTTGCGCTTCTTGGTATTTGCTGCACCACCGCCCCGGCCAGCTGCGCGCGTCGAGCGACCATGGCCAGGTCGATCTGGCTCTTCTGAACCGTCCGAGCGTACATAGTCGCCTGTGGCAGGCGAGGCACCCTCGATGGTTTGTCCGCTGAGTAGAGTCTCGCCGTACATGCCAGTCGCGCGGGACCGGACCTGGCGGCCGCTGGCAGTGATGGTGGGGGCGCTGGGTCCAGCGGAGGTTTCCCTGCCAGAATTGCGCGTCGACCGCCTAACGCCAGCATCGGAATCCTCATCTTCGTTCTCATCGAACGTATACCGCATGCGCTTGCCACGGGTGCGGCCTTCGTAGAGGGAGTAGCCCAGTACAGGGCGTTCCAACTTGGCCTTGCGCTCGAGGCGGTACATGCGCTTCTTGCGCTTCTGTTAGATTATTAGCAACAATGATCGACCATGGATGTGAAGGGCATGTTACCTCTTCCGTAGCCTCGAAGCGCGGGATGGCGGCGAGCATGCGCTCACCCAGGGCCTTGGCTTCGCGAGTGCCGTCCTCCTCCTGCAACTTCTGCGCAAGCGCTCGGATCTCTTCGATAGATCCTGCGACGCTCCACCATGAGACGTGCTTCAAGGCGGGGTTGCTCTCCCTATAGACGCGGAACGGTGTGTCGTCCTGGCCCTCGATGAGCCAGTAGCGTCGCTTATCGCCGTCTTTGCCCCATGGCTGCACGGAGAGCGGGATGTTCGTGTCGCGGGGGTCTTTGGACGTCCGGGACTTGTAGCCGTCTTTGATCATGTTGACAATGAGCTCGGACTGGTTGAGGCTCCACGACACGAGGGCCTTGAGGAGGTCGAGCTGGGGATTGTTAGTGGGCCTCATGCCAGAAGGGATTCAAGGTACTCACGCGATCCGTAGGCGACATGTTGTTGAAGTTCCGACCGCCATGCAAAGGATTGATGTGATTCCATTTGCGCGGCCACTGGGACTTCTGTGTCTGGACGGCTTCCTCGAGGGCGCGACCATAGTGGCCCTTCCTGTAATTGTGTCAGCCCTGGTACGGCTGCGTTGGCTTGCGCACAGCTACGCGACTGCATTGAGCAAGTATGGAAGCTGTGCTAGGGTTGACTAACTCGACGGGCTTCTTGCGATTGTTGACCAGGCCGAGCAGGGCGCAAAGGAGGGCCTCAACCTCGGGCGTTGGTAGGTCTGCCGCAACGCCTCGCTCAAGGTCCTGCGGCCCAAGGTGAGGGCACCGGGGAGGAAATGCGTCAGAAAATCGCGATCGGAACATTACTATGAACTATGGCATGCACATGTTAGCGGATACTCAAGGCGGGCGGTGCAACCTGTGGGGCCGCGATCACGTCGCGAATCGACGCGACGGACGCGACATGAACGTACAGCAATGTCAGGATTGTCCTCTGGAACGGCTTCATGTGGTGGAGAAGGCGCGCGCTTCTTGCGCAGCGGAGGAGTGGGCGAACGCTGCTTCTTGTCGAAGAAGGAGAGAATGGTGGTGTTCTTGCTCTTCTTCTTCTTTTGGGGTGACGCCTTCGTCGCCTTTGCAGGCAGATCCGGGACCGGCATCTCGTCGTCCGTTGCAGGTGGTGTGGAAAGATCTGAGTCGGACATGGTGACTGGGGCGGGTGGTTGTGTTTGGGGAGGTGTGCAGCCGGCACGAGCCCGCGACAAATGTTGGAGCAAGCAAATGAGGTAATCCCTCTCGCTAGTGCTCCACGATTAATGGTTGACGGACAGCTGGCAAGCAATTGCGTCCGGCGGGGAGAGACTAGGGTCAAATGTTTATGGAACTATGAGAAATGCGGAAGGGAGGCAGCAAGTCAAAGTGCATATATTCCACCGTCATGAGCATCCATGGCATTCTATTTCGCCGACACGATGCGTGCACGTTTACACGACCCCAGTTCACATCTGAATGCCAAGATATAGCTGCACGTCTGAGTGCTAACAATCGTCTACCAGGCCTGGCTTCTACGCAAGCAACAATTCCAATCCGTTTTCGGCACTTTACTATGATGCCGCAGCGCATTTCGCCCTTGAACAGTTCGCGCAGAGGCCTTTGTGTTCCTGGTGTTTGAGTGTCGGGGGTTGTTGTGATCCGAACGTGCCAGCTTGCTATAGCTGGGATTGGCTCCACGCCCTTGCTGGCGACGCAGTGCTCGACGTTCGCAATCCCTTGCCACGTACACTTCTTTCGGAATTGCAAACGCAACAGAGAACGTGAACAGATGGCGATGGTGTTAATTTGGGCGCGTTCCATAATCAAAAGTGATGGCATATATCCAACCCGACAACACAAGTTTCGCTTGAGTCGCATTGAATTTGAGCCGGTAATAACGTAGGTGCTCATCATGCCTCCTACTTTTGTAGCTAGGCTGCTGGTAGACTTTGCGGCGCAACATCCATGTTGCCATTGGTGATGAGCTGCCATGCTAGCGCCATGGTTTAAACACTTGGAGAATCTATGGGGGAAATGACGGTCCAAGCCCAGCACACACCGGTGCCGCTGACGGATTCGTTGCGCGGGTGTTTGCGACGCGTGAATGTGTCGACGCAGTTGATTATCCTCGAGTTTCCGACTCTTTCGTGTTGAAATCCGGACTCGATGTGAGAAGAAAGGAGTAACGACTCAAGAGTGGACCGAAAATGAGATGATAGATAGTTTTTTGAGATGCGAGGTGCTGGACTTGGATGGGTTGGGTGTTTCTAGACTGGCCGGCCTGCGCGAATTGCGCTCCCGCAGTGAGCGTATCATGCCACCGCGCACGCAGTTACGCATTCTTTGACAGCCACTTGACGAAACCTGCACAAATTCAGATGATTACAACTGCGCAACGTGAAGAATCTGCTGAGAGAGAATGGAGACAACGACGGCGGAATCTACAGAATTACCGCGAACAGAACTTATGGCACTATCGAAGCCTTCGATGCGGGCATTTCTAGCAAGAGCGCAGAGTCATTTGGATATGCGATGAGTTGCGTCGTGGATTTGGTGGTAGAGAGACAGTCGAGGCACAGTGGGTGAGGTGGAGTGTAAAAGAGGTTCAACATAATAGGCATAGCGCGGCTTGGCATCATTGGCTGATCCAGTGATGCAACCTGGAAACGGGATGGGTCTCTCCAGATATTCCATTTGAGGCATGCTAATCGAACAAAGGAGTTGAGGAAGAGAGTATCGGAGAGAGCCGTGGGTCCTTGGACTGAGATCAAAAGCGCCCTGAAGGAGCGAGAGGCTGCTGTCAATGTGATAGAAGCAACGGACGAGTTTTTGGCTGCCCATGGTCGCAAGAAGCTGAAGCTACAGACTCCCTGGAAAGTGCAGAAAGAAACTCCGAATAAGGCTATAATTTGGGTTCAAGGACTCTTGACCAAAGTCGACAGCCCTGGGAATGGAATCAGAAACTCCTTTAACGAGCTGAAGTCTGCTGGAAATGCAGGCGCAGCGACCAACAAGTTCCTGGCTGCGCATGACGGCGAGATGGCGCAGCTGCAGACCACGGGGGAAGTGCAGCGAAAGCCGTTGGAGAAGGCTACAGCTCGCTTACAAGGGCGCTGGAATGGGGAAGACAGTCCCAGAAAGCGTCCCCGTGTCTAGTGGGTATCAGCTCCCAGACACACTGGAGAGGGTTAGGCGACAGAGGCATCGATGACGGTCACCACCACAGTAAAGGATGGAAGAGCGGGGCATGATCTTGTATGGGTGTCTATTGGACAAAACATGCAACAAGGCGTATATGCTTTTATATCTCTACATTTCCAGCTGGCGGTCCTAGGAAACATTCTAGGTGAAAGCTACCTAAGCATGCTGGCAAGCGACACAGGTATACATGGTTTTGTATTTTCTTCTAAATTTTCAATACACTTGCAATCTATAGCTATTTTCGATTCTCATACTCTGTTTTGGCATCCGCACTGCACTGATGTCTATCTTGGGCCCATCTACCTACTTTACCTCGCCCCAGCACAGACCCAGAAAGCAACCGGTCGACCGCGGTCTTGGATGCCCCAATACCAGCGCCCTCCTATTACTGGACCCGACAAATCTTTCTGCCACCCACGCACTGCAATATTGTATACCGCGGGCAAGCTCAACGACGCCGACGCTCGTAGGCACATTCCAGTACCACGGCCTACCTATTCCCCGGCGTCAGCCACTGCTCTATCTCGAACGACAGTGCTATACACGGCTAGTCATGGCAACATGGACCCTATGGGTCAATCTCGACCGGCGCCGAGGACGCCTCACCTCTTCCAATGGCCGCGGTCGAGGCCATGCCTCCGTCCCTAACAACAATGTTATAGACGGCCGACCGTACCATAGTTACCAACGTTCACGGGGATGACAACCTTGAGATGTCCGACCACCACCACCACCCACAGCGTTTTATGGGACGGCCGCAACTTAGTCCCCCTCCTCTCCTGTCGCAAGCTCGCCCACATCCCACGGCCGACCGGCCGCGTCGTCCTCGTCCTCGTCTCCTCAGTCCTCAAGTTAATGTCGACGAGCTGAAGGAGAGTCCGGTCACTGAACTGCCGCATCTGTCGTCCCGTTCCTCCCACCGGGAGTGGAATATATTTCTGTTTTCGTCTAGGGGATGGGATTATCGGACCGTGAAAAGAGGGAATAGTCAGCAACAAGACATAAACAAGACATAGAGAAAGCAGAACTTGATGAGAAGAACAACGATAGCATTACCACCAGACGAGATCTACTTATGTCCACCTACCCAAAGGAGACACCCAATCCGTATCAACAACATCACGCGATAGTGATATCAATCGTGAAGCTCCTCCGATTTCCAGTCCGATTTCCAGTCCCAGTCCTAGTCCCAGTCCCAGTATTCCCAGCCTTTTCCAAATCCCCAGCCGTTCGTGAATCGTCAACACATCGTAACCAAGCCGCGACAGCCGCGGTCTTCGCACATGCCACCGAGGGATCCTGGACTGAAGCAGCCGGCTTCTCGGGCCCTGGTGGTGCGGCTGTCAGAAACTTGCTAGTCTAGCAGCTCTCTAGGAGGCGTGCGGCTTGCCAGCAGAGTCGGCCTGAGCACGGAGGTTGGCGGCGGTCGAGCCGGACTCGGAGAAGTAGCGGGAAAAGATGGGCTGGAGGAAGGAGCGGAAGATGATCTGGGCACCACTGATTATTGTTAGCTCGTATTCTTGCCAGGCCTGAGAGTGAGACCTACCCGGTCTGGGGAAGAGCCATCCAAAGGACGAGGACAAATTTGAAGGTGTAGTAGAATGCTGCTTTTGTTAGCCATGCGTGGGAGGGTCTATCGTCGGAGACTTACGGAACCAGTAAACAGCGTTTACGGCACTCTCAAAAACACTATCGTGGTGAGTACATGAAAATGGTATGTTTCGATAATTCAAAACTTACGTGAGGAAAGCAAAAGTCACCCAGTACTATCCCTGGCGCGTTAGCATGACGTTCCTGATAGCCGAGCGGGGTAGCTGGCAGAAGATAAGGCATTAATGAGAAGGCGTACCGTGAGCCACTGCGGGTATATTAGCATTCCCGTGACACAAAAGCTGCGACAACTGCCGCGGACTGGGGATACGTACCTGAGTATCGTCGACCTTGCTGGCGCTGAATAGGGCGCCCATCGAGTAGTATGCGGGGATGAGGAAGCCAGCAATGTTAACGAGGAAGGCCCCGGCAATGTTGAAGAACACGAGAAAGAAGTACAGGCCGACGAGGCCGAGGAAAGCGTAGACCTTGGGCACCGACGTTTGCTTCTCCAGGTTGTTGAGGGTGGGGTATTTCGACAGCTGTGCACGCGGGCGTTAGCAGGAGAGATGAGGCGCACAGAGTACGCGGGAGCGTTAGAATCGATCTGGCGAAGTGGTTGTTACATGCACCAGGCTGCAGCCTACAAGTATGGGCATCGGGGTATTGTGGTAAAACTGAACGTACCTCCTTGTCGAGCTGCGACAGGTGGGCTTGTGCCTTCTCTTGAACAGACATGATGACGGTACGTAGCTGATGAGCTCGTGAGCAAGTGTACTGGCGTTATGCGACGGTGGATGAGGGCTGGGGTGGAGTGGAGTGGTACGGGGCGCGTGCAGATGTGTCTTTATGGTGTTGGAGTGGAGAGTGTTTGTGCGAGGGGCACGGCGTCATCGCCTAAGCACACCGGGAACGACGTCACCCGGACTTTCACGAGCCAACGGATCTGACCAACAACACGCAACTGGTTATTTCAACCACAGGACATGTACCGCCGCGTCGCACATTGTGGAATACCTATTGTTATGAGTTGTTTCGTATCGGATGGATGGTACATAGCATGCAGTACACACGTGTGGGGAGCCGGCACTGTGTTCACGGGCATTTAGAAAACGCGGCGAGATAAGCTCGCAGCCTTCTACTTGGACCTGCACTTCTGTTTGAGTGACTCAGGTTGCACTCTTCGCAACGTGCACACATGTCTCGCGAGCGTAATAATCATCCGTTCTCGAGAAACCGTGGTGAGGAAGGGTCACGTGCGGTCCGCATCGGACGGAACTTAGTCAGCGATTTAGCCGTTTCCATGTCGCCAAACAAAGCATCAACAAAAGCCAAAACATTGCCGTGCGCATCCTCCCGAACAGCTTCACGACGCTTCATTTCTTGGACCCCCGGGATGTTATAACTACTAATTGGCCTTTCTCCGACCATCGCTACAGCTGCCTATTTACCTTCGCCATTTTCGCTCCCCGTCGCGAATCTCCCCAGCAACGCACCCGTCTCGGTTGGACTCGACTGACTGTCCGCCGCCATCCACGCACACAAGCATAGCTACCACCAGCTGTGCTGTCCCTGTGACACTCCTGTGCGGCTGCGATTGCTTGTCAGCGGATGTCTGACTGCAACACCGGCCATCACACCAGGATTGTTTGTAAACACGACATCTAACCCCCAGGAACCACGCCATATCACAGCACCACCGCGTGAAAGCTCCCATGACCGCCCGAAATCATCGCGCGCAATCGAGCGCCTCCGTCTCGGTCCGCAGCGCAATCAACGCCCGCCCAACCAGTAGCGCATCTACCACGAGCCGCCATTCGTTCGACCAGCACGACCTACAAGCCCAATTCCAGCGCAACCAACACCAGCCCACTCCACCGGCCGCCGCCTTCAATCAGCAGCTACAGTACAACCAATCATTTGCCGGTCCGCTTCTCCAGGCCGCTCAGCATGTTTCTCAGCAAGAAAATGTGTCCATGGACCCGGTCCACCAGCTGGTGGGCTACGTAGGAGACGGACAGACCGGCATGGGTCCGACTCACGGCTTACCCCTCCAGCACATCGACCCGAACGCACACCAGTCCTTCCAGTCCACACAGTCGCAACCCCAGCAGTATGCGGTAGAGCAGCAGCAGTTTGTGGCAACGCCCGTCGACGTGGATGACAAGAAGAAGAAGGCTGGAGGGCCCACTGCTCAAAATGACAAGGAGCTGCGCGAGATGCTTCGCCACAACATGGGCCGTAAGCTGAAGGAGGTCGCTGCAGAGGTGCTTGCTACAGATCGCACGTCAAGATCGGAGAAGTCGAAGCAGCTCTTCGCTATGCTCTGGCTGCAGCAAGCATGCACCATCGGAAAGACGTCAGTACCGCGGAATCGCGTTTTCTCCAAGTACGCAAGCCGATGCGCTCACGAGCGGGTGGTGCCTTTGAACCCCGCTTCTTTTGGAAAGCTGGTGCGCGTCATCTTTCCCAATATCCAGACTAGACGCCTTGGTGTTCGTGGAGAGTCCAAATACCACTACGTGGACCTGGAGATGGTCGACGATGACGAAACTCAACCACCGCGCCAAATGCCCCGAGTCCCGGCTTCGCGAAATCCCCTAAAGCGGCACGATTCCACCGCTTCGCAGCCACGCATGTCCACCGACACTGCCGCATTTCCTTCTCAACATCAGCAGTCTTACTCGACGACGAATTACTATCCACAAAACTCGTCCAAGGGTCGCTGCTATGCCGACATTCACTCGCCGCAAACTGCAGGGTACGAGTACGAGCTTCGGTTCCCTACTCCGGAGCTTCTCAACAACGTGGAAGGAGATCCTTTGGAAATTGTCATGCCTGACGTATCGCCGTATCTTCCGGAAGGAACAGACCCAGATGCGTCGGAAGCACTCGTTGCTTTGTATAAGAGCCACATCACTTCGCTCGTAGATGCCGTGCGATTTTGCAAGGAGAAGCAATTCTTCCGGCTATTCACTTCGTTCCAAGGTACCTTGACTGTACCGGTCGCGAAGCTTTTCGCCATGGATAAGCTCAGCGCGTGGATCCGCGAGTGTGACTGGATGATGTATCAGAAAATGATTCGCAATGTGGCCCAACTTACCCTCCAGGTCGCACCCGCGCCAGTACTGAAGTTCCTCGATAACGTCTGGAAGCTGCTTCATTCCCACATCAGCAAGGCCTTTCACAACTTGCCTTCCACCGTCCTTGCTGCACGGCTGGAGCCTGCGACTGTCTTCTCACATCTTCTCAGACAGATGCTCCGCGTCAACTCCACCGCCCACGCCGCTGCTGTTATGTTGACGGTCGACGAAAACCGTGATCGCATGTGGGGCGATTATCAAGCATATGTTAACATCAAGCGCATCATGGAGAACGAGCTGCCTCATTCGTGCAACCACGAGTTGGTGGCCGAGATCCTTTCGAAGGAAATCCGCGCAATATTCCTCCCGCTCAAGTCTGAGATGTGGCTACCTGACGGAACGTTCTATCAGATCTCAACCCCAGATCCGCCCGTCGATATCTTGCAAGAGACTGTCATAGACCGAATTGCAGCATTCCTTACGAGACTCCCATCTCGCTTTCCGGATCTTTCAGCACGCACAGTACTCCACACCTTGAATGCAATCAGCACAGCCGTTCTCCGCGAGATTACTGTCGAGAACGGACCGAGCTTCCAAGGTTGGTGGTTGACCAAAGTGTTTGTCGACGAGATGGCCATCTGGCTGGCATCTTTGGGCGGTTTCCTCTCACACCAGTTCTCAGCTCCCGACACCGCTTCTCCCGGAATACTAGGAGAGTCCATGAATGCTGGCATGGCCACTGGCAGTAGCGGCAGTCAAGATCAGAGCCGATTTGGCAGCGAAGAGTTCGGTACTGGCGCATCCTTTATGGGAGGCAATGGGAGTGCTTCCATGCATGGACCGAGCATGTCTCAGCCAGACAGTGAGTGTTTATGAGCTTCTGTGTTTGTTATCTTGACTGACAAATGAAACCTAGGCCAGCACCGACAGATGACTGCCGCACAAGCTTTTGACCTAGAGTTCGCTCTCTCCCAAGACGCCGGTCTTGATGACAGTGGAATCAATCTTGACGACAACATCGAAGCGAAGTTTGCCGCCGCCATGCAACAATTCCCTCCTGTGTCTCAGATGCCTGCGTGAGAGACTTGATCCATCGAAGCCTTTGCATAATTCGACTTTCGCATTCATGTTTCTTCGCGAAGGCCTTCCTGTTCAGTGCGAGGTCAGAGAGTGCGCAACCCCATGTTCGGTGCTTGCACTTCCTGCAATGCAACCGATTCCTCAAGAACCGGTCCCACAACATACCTTTTCGGGGATATTCTTGTGCGCTGGTTGGCCTTTTGTCTTCGCGGACCGGCGATCACCTCTCCCACCCCTTCCTCGTTATCCTCTAGACTTTTGCTATGCTTTTACGCGATATGATGTCTCCGACTTTACGACTCCCTCCCTATTACCGGCCGTGGGTCACTGTTTATACGACTTAATCTTGTACACTTGCGCTGCGCGCACGCTTACCCTGTGGCCGTCTGTTCCGCGCCGGAAGCCGTGTTTGCCCGCGGATTGATCGATGTTCTGCTCGTGTGGTGTTTTTGGTGCTTCGGCGTCGTTGCGAGTGCGATTGCGATTGCGACTGTGGTGATTCTTGACTGACCGACCGATATTCGGGGTTTTTGGTGGCTCTGTTGTGCGAGTGTTCTTTCTGGTTGGCTTGTTCTGGCTTCTTCTACTTCGCTTCTTGTACCATCTGTTTGAGCTGACCTGTTGTTTTCTTCTGAGATCCTTTGCATTGGGAGGCGTTTCCCAGTGGTGGTTGAGAATTTGTTCTGCAACTTTGTTGTTAACTTTGAGACCCGATGCGGTTTCGAGCTGAAAGCAATGTTATGCCGTATTACTTCATATCGAGTTTTTCTTCCTTGCGTGATGTCCTGAATGGGTAGTCGGAGCTGGTGAGATGAAGACTTTCGAGTGGTGAAAGGTGGTGTAAACGAAACACTCTGGGCAGGTTTCTACGCAGTCATGTTGAGCTGGAGTGACGTATACGTTGCCGGGACAAATGTGATCGCCGTGGCCGAGTGTGCGGCGTAGGTGTCGGCGCCGCAACGGATGGTCGGTGGGTCTGATACTGGGCGTGTGCGGAGGAGGTGAGCTAATGGCAGCTAATTGTGAAAGAGGGGAGTTTGTGTGTCGGGGCCCATAATCCGAGAAATGGATTAAAGTGACGGCGTTGATCGAGATGGACGAGTTCCTCATCAGTATCGAGGGTATATTGAGAGTGTTGAAGATGGCTACCCGTACAACATATCGTGTGGCCTGCCAGAGAGGCTCGTGGCCTGCACGTGGGTTTCAACCTTCTGAGGGTGGGGATGGTGCGACTTGGTCTGGGCGTCGTACGGATATGAAAGGGGCTTGGGGCTATGCTGGACAAACGTTGTACTGGTCTGGCCACCTTTATCCACTGCTGGATCCAACTGGAAAGCTCAATACGGAACTTCGATATCAGTCCCAGATCAGCCTATTGCAGCTTGACATTAACGTCGTATTCCAGTGTACTCACGAACTGTCAAAACGGTTGATGGAGAGCCATTTGCTTCTATGAGCATTTTGGTCATGTAATCATAAAGCCTGGCATAAACTTAAATGATACTACGGTTTAAATTCTTGCCTGATGGCGAATTAGCAAACTTACTGTTGTCCAGGTAGGTTAGGCACTCTCAGCAACTGTGTCAAACACTAGGCAGCTCAATTACTACTAAAACGTAGTACTCGTTGCGCTGACTTATTGAAACTCTTCGTTCCAATCTCGAACGTCTCCGAGGTGAACCATTGACTTGAAGGAATAGGTCGACGAGATTGTGGGCTATAGTGCAGAATTTGTACATACTGTGAGCAAGATTCGAGATTTTAGTCGGTCCGTGAGCAATTTCATTTGATACTTTCAACCTTTGCTACTCGTCGCCCACGAGCTGAACTCGTGCTTCACCTGAGCAGCAAGTTGGGCTATCGCGAAGTGAGTCCGTGAGCTGCCGTGCAAAACACTCGGCGAGCGTATCTATATATCCAGCAATCTCCACCACATCGTGTGTTCCAGTCTAGCCTTTATCTCTCCTCACTCAACCGCCCGCTTGCTGTACTTTCTATATTCGAACCTGACCTGTCAGGCCCCACCCCTTTCGGCAAGTCATGGCGGATGACTTCAAAACAATTCTTAGTACCAATACTACGCATGCAGGTCGTCTAAGACGCGCTGAGCGTACCCATTCTCCCATGGGTCTGTTGACCGGACCAAACCCGAGCCAACGGCCATTTCCTCTCCCCAGCCTGCCCAAGTCTATTCGGCGCCAGATCTACGAGTGCCTCCCTGTCTGCACACGGCACGTCCCAGGTTATCGAGACGACTCCGACGACAATATCTACAAAGACAAGCCCGTCGTCATCTTAGTTCTACGCTACGTCGAGCGCGCTATCGTACAAACTTACCGCCAGCTCGCCGCAGAAGCTGAGCCCGTCCTTGAGATCAAGACCATGAAACTCGGGCCGCCGCGTCTTATCGCTAGCGTGGAGTATTTGAAACGCATAACGTAAGTCATTATCGCCTGTCATATTGTGTTGGCCGCGCTGAAATCTCACCCGCACTTTAGGCATGACTTGCAATTTCTCCACCGCATGCAGGACGACGCGAGCTGGCCGCGACTCCGTATCTCGAAACAAGATCTTGCGAACAAGACACTAGAAACTCAGAAGATACTGATGTGGGCGAGGATATTGCAACTGAACCTGCTGAGCGAGAAATATATATGCATTGGCGTCTTCGTGGGAAAACGAGCCCAAGAAAGCGGCGGCCGCCAACTCTTGGACAACCTCGCAATGCAGCTAGAACAAACCATGGCATTACAGTGGTGGTGCAAAGACTGTAGACACACTAGACCCATGAGCCAGGTCGGAGTAGAGTGGAAGTGTGTCATGGTCAAGGATGCTACTTGGCCAGCTCTGCCGCCGGGATGTATAATGGAGGCAATCACTTGGAATCGGGGTAAGCAGAGGGAGGACTATGGTGTGTACGGCTTCGGACAACTGTGTCGGGAGGATGAAGAGCAGTGGAAGAACGGCGTGAAGTTCCCAAAATGGCGTGCATAGATGCACATGTGGGTGGAATAACAGACATGCACGATACGAATTTATTGTGACGGCATAATTCACGAAACGAAGTGAAGGTTGTACTTAAACAGTACAGTAATACTAGGGGCCATATCTTGTTCGTAGGAGGTCTTGATTTTTGACACCAGCACCGTTGAAAGAAACGTTGCCTTCGTCCACAACCCTTGAGACCTCACAGAGTACGTATCTTGCACTATGGGGTAAGCGTATCTTTACATCGTCTGGGTTCGAAGCTCTCATTTCAAGATCGACCTTTTAAAGAGCTCAGACTTGTCATCTTCACAAACCTGAGACTCCACTGACCGGCGCTTGTAGAAACACAATGACCCTCGCAGTGAAGGGAGAGCGTGCCTTCGAGCGGCAAGGCGAATACATCCGCGAGAGGAGAACGGGTAGCAAGGTAGCATGGATACCACAAACTTCCAATATGCAGTCACAACAACAGAGCGGCTCGCGCAACACTGGGTCCCCAAGCCAAGGTGGCAGATTGCAGCAAAAAACTAGTAAGAGCAGTGGTAGCGGGTCACAAAAAGCTCCAAGCGGAACTAGAAGTGAGCATTCTCGGTCGCCTATGCCAGGCAGAGCGCTATCAGCGGTCGGACTAGGGATACAAAGTGCGGCTTCGAGTAGCTTGGGAAGATCAATTGGACATGGAAGGCGCAGGGGAACAGGATATGCCCCATCATGTGGAAGAGGTTCTCCCAGTAGACTTGTGAGGGGTCGAGGTGGCTACAGAGGCCGTTCAGGAGGGACAAGTTCGTAGTGATGTCCTCTTGACTCTAGTACGAAGCTACAGAGAGTTTGATGCCTTGACGGAGGTGATTCACCGATAGCCTGTCATAAATACCGCTTATTTTGTAACGTCAAGTAATGTTCCAGCAGACCCTGGTTCTTCATCTTGTGATCGAAACTTGCATATTGTACACAAAAGCCGAATTTTCATTACGCCAACTCAAGAACTTCACAGTCGATTCCTGCGTTACTCCGAAAAGTTCTTGGAACTCACTGTACTCGAACCCCCCCACCAATCAATCATTCATTGTATTCACAGCAAACGTACAAAATAAAGAATCCAATGCACACATTCACACTTGAACTCAGGACGTCCCAATTCAAACAGCGAAATTGGCACGTCACAGCTACCTAGGTATAAAGCATACATAGTCGATACCTACCTCTGATGGTGGTTTCTCCTCCCAACAAATTATTGACCATACTAAATAACGAATTTCTGAAAATCTTGATCTCGCATCAGATAATAAAACATCACAATGGCTTTCCTGGACGGTCTCATCGACCTAATGGTTCCCCTTAAAGCAGGCCGATCCTCCAGTAGAAGTCACCAGGACGGTGGGCTTCACGCCGCAGCAGTTCGATTCCAACAGGCCAATGGCCACTTACCACGGGGTTCCAGGCCGAGCCCTGGGTTTCCAGCTGGATTTCCCAACGGAGCAGGTCCAGGTGGGCCTCCTAGAGCACCAGTGCCGCAGTTTGGCACACAAATGAGATTGATGGGGAACTCGAGAAGGTTGAATGGGTATGAAACAGACCAGCCAGAGGCATTCAGACAGGGTGGTGGGCGACGAGGGCCGGGCCTGCCAGCTCTCAATGCGAACCACTTCGCTGCCGTGAGAGGCAGTGAGCAAAGTTCACGTAGAGATGGATCGCAAGGCGGGCGATCGAATCGGGGAAATAGTTCAGGAGCAATTTCGATGCGTGGTCGGTCAAGCGCATCGAGAATGGGTCGATCGCAGGGAAGCCGGCGTTGCAGATAAATCAGATGGCGAGGAGTATTGCGAATCTGGAAGCCTAACTAGTTTTGCACGGAAGTAATCTAATGATCTTATCACACAGTCTCTGGAAGGTATAACCCAGCCCCTGAGTCCGCGCTAGGATGTTTATTTTCTACATTGTATGTTTCGTACACCTAGTCCAGTCATCACACTGCAAATTTGCACTAGACACGAACCTGGATTATTGAACATTGTTCACTTCGAGATCATGCTTCGTTCTATGTGAATGTCAGTGGCTGATTGTTATGGCTAAGTTCTTCAATAGTCTGTGCATTTCATGAACAATTTACCACGTACGACATATTATTCCTCCAACTTTCACTACAAAGCTTTGGACGCTTCTTTGATTCTCTGTGCTTTCAGTCATAGCCACTGCAGTGAAGACTCCCGGATTTGCTGCAAGAGATTGACTGATTCCCATTGACTTGCATATGTCGTGCTGTGGCATCATTTGCATGGCCATATCTACTGTTTGTCTTCTGCTTACCCATCTGAATTTCCAAAACATACTGAATTTGACTTTCAAAGTATCTTAAAATTACAACATCTGCACAACGGGTCTGTTTGGAAAAAAGAACGAGGGGCTTCGCAAGTCATCATTGGACATGCTCCAATTTGAAGACGGGTCTGTCGCACTGGTGCCTTAAGGCCACCGACCAAGCCAGGCCAAACTTGAGAGGTGGCGCCGCGATGGAGTCAGTCTGGTTCCGCGCGGAACCAGGGTGGTCCGAATCAGCGATCAAGCAAGCGTGTACACTGAGCGTTTTGACGCCAAAAGGTAGTTGCGCGGCAGTGTGCTGATGTGCATGTATGATATATTTACCTATTTTCGAACAACATGAGTCTTCGCTTCCTTCTCAGCGCACCTTGCCTTCACTGTCTCCGACATTTCTTTTCCAAGCTCGGTATCCAGCTTCGCAAACCCATTTATCACGCCCTCCTGATCGCCTACCGTAGACTCTTGACTCATCTTCCATTTGCCACCAATATCCGAGATCTCGATTTGTATACCGATGATTGCCTTTTTTAGTATCTCGATGTAGGACTCTGGCGCATCCTCAACGGCCCAAGGGTTCTCCTTGTTCCCCATTGTTTCGACTTCGTTGTGGTTCGTCAGATCACGGATCTGCTTGTTCAAAAAAGTGTGTGTAGAATCAGCCTTCGTCTCGTAAAAGATAGTTGCGCAACCGTACACTTGCACAGCAGAGTAGTTCCAGGTAGGAACAACTTTCCCCGTTGCTGGCTTGGTTCCGGTATAGAACTTGGGGGTGACGTAGTGATGGGCCGGGCCATTGAAAATGACGAGAACGTCTCGAGTGAGAGTATAAGAGCCATCCGCATTGGTCAGACCATCTCGAGTTTCTTTCGCTGCCTCAATGAATGATTTCGCTTGGGGGTTCGCTCGCGCAATGTGACCGCGAAGTGTTCCTAGCTCCGTCGTGCCTTCGCCATCAGGATTGTCCAAGACCCATGGAATGTGACTGGACTGGAGGGAATGGAAAGTATTCGAATCGAGAGCCGTGGTCAAGAGTCCCAGTGGGTTTTCTTTAATGAATTGGTACAAAGTGGGAATGTGTTTTTCAGCGTGAATCTCCCTGAGATACATGGTGAGTTCTGCGTCGCGAATAAGTGTCGTGGATATGGTATAATATAGTACCATAAAATGATGAATCCAGGCTGCGGCTAATAGCGGCGCGCGTAGAGCGTCTGTAGGTTTGTCAGGTAAAGGGCGTGGCAAAATCTTCGACCAATCAACATCTTTCGATTGGCCAATTTTCCCCGCGATGCATCTGGCAGTGAACTCCGCGTTCGCACCAACAACAACACCCATTTATCGTATATATCACCTTACGACTTCAATTACTGTGGAGCAGGTCCTGTCCCACTCCCAAGCTCGTGTTGCTGGGCAACGTTCGTGAGAGTAGACATTGGACAAGATGGTGCGTTGGTGGCTAACGCCACTTCAAGTACTATAGTGAAGAGGATACCTATAGCGCATCGATGTTCTGCAAAAGTCATTATTGGTGGTATGCATCCTATTTCATCGACTCAAGCGTTCTATCTCTTCGACATTGCAGTGGCGAAGCGCGCAGATGATAAGATGCAAAATATCTAGCATGTCAATCTGCGTCATTTGGACCCTAACCCCGGAATACGATCGTGAGGCTGAGACGCATACGGTAAGCGATTAGGTGAAAAGAATGGAGCTCCTTAGGACCCATTACCCTTCAGACATCGCCCATTGCGAGGAACTACTGTCAGCTCGATGCAGCCCATCAAATTGCCACCCTTCTCTGTGGACGAAGAGCTCGTCCACCCACAAGCGCATCTGCACACCAAAGAGACAATCTGTGTGCCAAACGAGCCATTCATCCCAGCGTCCAACAGCGATGTTCAGGCATTCCTCTGTCGCGAACTTGAGTGTACTGTCCTCGACGAACTCGCGCCATCGTTCTTCATCTTCTGCAAACGCCGTAGCTCACATGTCAACACGCTACATGAGTACAGCAGCACAGGTAGCCATGTGACCGTCTCCGAGGACCCGGGCCTCCACCTCGTTCGAAAGTACGATGTAATATTCATCAAACCAATTCCTCACTGCCTGTTGAACTTCAACTTCTGGGTCTCATATCTTATGCCCGGGCACGGTGGCTCAGGTGCGGGGCAGGATCTCCACGATCCCGCGAGGCTGAAATCCTCTACCCGCTCAGCACTTGGCTTACTCAGAACCTATGGCTATCTCATCAGACACGAGTCTGACTTCCTGGTTGCGAGGAGCAACCATCTCATCCCCAGAGATGTTTCTTACACCCAATTCCAGTACTTCATTCATCCATTTCGAGAACTTCCAGACTTCGTCGTCTCGCCGCGCTATGAGTACGGCCACATCCGCATGACGCGCCTAAACCTTGCGATACGCATCTTGCGACCAAAATCCACCCGAAAGATCTTTCCATGGTCGTACCATAAACTGTACTATCATTCCGGGCAATATCTGGCCAAATTTGCAGCACCTCTGTTGTTTCTCTTCGCATCTTTTACCTTGATACTCTCATCGATGCAAGTGGGTCTTGCGGCCAAGGAGACGTATGTTGACGGAGTATGGGACGCATTTGGGGCTGTCAGCTATGTTTTCTCTATTTGTACGCTATGTACCATTCTAACCATTGGAGTCTTTGTAGTTTTGGGCGTCGGCACTTACGTCCTCAATCGAGTAGTCATTGGCTGCGTGGTCAATAGAAAATGGAAGGCAAGAAACCAATCATCTAGAGATGTAGAGATTGAGGCTAGATGAAACTGAGGTGGCTCACACAACTGAGTACTAGTACTATAGAATTCTGTCATTGGTAGAGCATGTCGATCTTTGCACGCTAGGAGACACCGCATGGAACGCCTTTCAGGTATTTTGATTCTGAATATTGTACATTCATTGTTATGCAAGCAGACTGGAATTGCCGCACACCAAGCGACTTGTATCAAGCACGCGAGCAGAGCGTCCAGGAACTATCGCATGCCACTTCCAAAAGACTGTCCATACATTTTATGAATATCACCTTACGGCTCTTTCTTTCCAGTATCTGCATTATTGTAGCGTTTACCCGTGTCCGCTAGCTTCTTTGCCTCCTCTCGCGACTTCCTTATTTTCGGATCCACGTACCCATTCATAAGCAACTCCATCACAGCACCATCGCTATACGCATATGGTTTATTTTCGCTTCCGTAGCCTGTGATTCTGGTCGCTTCTTTCGCGCTCACATTCTGTCGTTCTTTCTGTTTTCGCTCCTCATTCTCGGCTTTCAGCTTCTGCCAGAATGATGGCTTAGGTGAGGCCGAACGGGATCGCGATTGCGAGGCAACCGACGGAGATGCTGCAAACAAACAAGATTTATTATTGTACTATTTTCCCTCGGCCTTGGAGACTTACGAGGCACTAAAGTTGTGGAAGAACCCTCTACTGACGGGACTAAGGTGTTCGTGGTGGAAGAAACGAGAGAGTATATTGACTTGCCCTTCGGAGGGGACCCTCCCTCTTGTTGTGGTGGCATATCAATCAACAATGCATGACACAGGATCATCATCCAGACGCACGAGCTCCGATGTATCGCAGTATATATGTTGTAGGCAGCCTTGATCCTGCGAGGCTATGCTGATCTACGGAAACGCCCGCCAATGGTGGCGGTGCATCATGTATACCTTGGCGATAACCACTACTAGAATACCCTCCAGAGCACGAAGTAGGTACAGGAATACCCAAGGAAATCAATACGAGTGATGATGAGCTGTGCTCACTATGATAATAATGAGTGCGTCATCTCACTGACAAAAACTCGCTTGAGCCTGCCAACAGCTGGCTCAATCCCCTTAACCCTCCATCGCACCCCCATGTTATGATATTCGCTCGAAATCTAGGTCTCAAGACATACCTGCCTCGTCCTCGCCATCGCCGTCGATCTCTGTCTCGATCCCGCTCGAGGTTATCAACCTTCCTGTCACCTGTTGACACATATCTATAACTAAACTCTACAAACACTTACGCAAGACATCCGACCGGACATCTACAACCGCTCCTCGCATTCTGCAACTCGCAGATAAAGTGAAACTCGCATAATCTCTCGCTCATGGAGTTAGCATAGCAGTCGTTGCCGTCGACCATGCGGCCGCTGGCTCGTTTGCAAACTTTCCTGGTCGCGCCATCGTTCGTCTTCCCGCCCTTTTTGGCGATGCATTTGCAGGTGACGGAGGGTGCTGTGAGCAAGAGGAAAACACAGAGGCTCAAGAGAACTACAGTTGTGGTTAATTTCACGGCAGGAGACAAGAGATGAAACTCGAAGTAGTGTGTGAGATATGCGTGGAGAAAGGTAAAATTTTGGGTTTATCGGTTTGGAGACCGAAAATTTAGAAAGAAAAAAAAAAAAAAAAAGGGCAGATGGGCGCTAGCAGTGAGTGTGAAGTGAGAAATTAGAGCTGTCAAGCTAGGTGACGTGCAAACGCACATGTTGATAAACGCAGATCCAAACCTCTTCACACTCCACCGATTGTTCTTGTGTGGGACTTCGTTCATACATCAGCTAAGAAGCCCACGTAACGTGTGATCTTATGTTCATAACTACAACAAAGGACTGTGAATGAACTCAGTTATGCCATGTATTGACAGCATGTATAATGTTTAGACCGACTTGCAAAACTCGGGCTGCTAGGCTTAGTATGAAATGGTAAGAGTGACGGGCCGAACGTAGTAAAAATGGGCGAAGATAACATAGCGTTCCTGGAAACTACACCCCATCGGGACGTATGCCCTGTAGACTACTGCGCAAGGCGCGCTAGCAATTGACATGTGCGCCCTGTCATCAAAACGATGTCAAATTCTGAGAATTAGATTCCAGAAGGCACTGCAACATGCGGTATTTAGACAATTACATCTCCTCTGGTGCCAGCTTCCAAAGAATACATGAAGTTAGCTTGCCGCACATTTCGCTATTTGCCACCCTCCATTCATCACGGCGCATCATTCACGACGAGCCCACCCACCATGTCCCCTCTCGCCAACCCCCAACAATACCTCGACAACGCCCGCATAGCGCCCGAAGTGTTCCAACTCCGCCCCGACTACCGCGCCCTCCTCCTAGTAATCACAAACATCCCGCCCGCGCCCAGCGACGCCCAGAGCGACGCCCTCCTGCAAGAAGCCGAAGCCTCCGCCAAAGCCGCACTCGCCAAAGCCCCCGTCACCGAGATCCCGCACGTCAAAGCCTGGCGCTCAGCCTACACGGCCTTTGGCGCGAAGCCCAAAAAGACGCCCAACAGCCTCGAAGCCCTGACGCGCCGCGTGGAAAAGGGAGGCCTCCCGCGCGTCAACCGCCTGACTGACATCTACAACGCCATCTCCGTGAAGCACCAGATCCCGCTCGGCGGGGAGGATCTCGACAAGTACTCCGGGGCACCCTTCCTGGTCCGCGCAAAGGGCGGCGAGAAGTTTGAGATGAAGGCAGGGGGTGAGGTGGTGAATGAGCCGCCGATTGCGGGCGAGGTTGTGTGGTGCGATGAGGAGGGTGTCACGTGTCGGGTGTGGAATTGGAGGCAGGGCCCGCGGACGGCGTTGACGGATGAGACGAGGAATGTGTTGATCATCATGGATGCGTTGGAGGCGTGCAGCGACGGGCAGCTGGATGCTGCGGCGGACGAGCTGAGCCGGGTGTTGAGCGGGCTGTCGCCGGAAGTTGAGGTGCGGCGCCGGCTGTTCAAAGCATGATTGTAAAGCTTGGAGGGAGTGAAGAGTTCAGCTACCTACCACTATGGTTTTTCTAGTGTATGCTACTCATTTACATCAATTTGGTACCATACCAATGTGGGAACGCGTCTGCTTTCGGACCGTATGTGTGTACCTTGTTGTACAAGAGCACTTTCAGATACACCACGCACGACTCTCCCTCCTGCCTTTAGTCAAGGTTAGTTGCGACCGTACGATGGTATCAAGCATCACGAAAATCTAGGAGACAGTTGTAGAAGGTGAGAATCGTCATTATACTATTAACAAATGCAGCAACCCGCCACGAAGCGCGCATAAACGCTGCGGTTCACCCCACCACATCTCAACACCTCTCTCCTCCCTTCGCTTGAGCTATGATCTGAGCGGTCCCCGGGAACGTACCGTTCACGAGGCAACATCCCTGAAGCAACGCCTAAACCTTCTCGGTGACCTGCGGCTCATCGTGGATGCTGCGCTTGCGCTCCTGGTTTGCGCCGACGTCGGCCAAACTGAGCTTGCGGCCATCGGGGCCGACATTGTCAATCTCTGAGAATTGAACCTTGGGGCGGAACTTCTTCGACTTCCAGGCCTGGCTGACGACGCCGTAGAGTTCGTCGACTTGCTCGAGGGTGAGACCCTTGGTCTCGTAGATCATGAAAAAGCTGGTTGCGCGTGTTAGCCAGGGTTCTTGCTCGCAGGGTTGGGTATCGACTTACACAAAGGCGATGCACACGAAACAGAAACTGCCCCACACGAAGAACACCTTCGAGCGCAGGTTGGCGTGGTCGGCATCTACCATGTAGGGGGTTGAGTACGCAATAGCCCAGTTGAGAAGCCAGTTGCTGGCGGTGGTCATGGAAAGGCACTTGGCACGGGCCTTCAGCGGGAACATCTCGCCGGTGACGACCCAGGCGACCGGGCCCCAGGAGCTGGCGAAGAAGAAGATGTAGATGCACACGAATGCGATGGCAGCCTTTTGGGCGGAAGTATTGATGTTGCCCGCGTCAACGGATGCATCAGCGGTCATACCGACTGCGCCCACAATGAACTGGCAGCAGCACATTCCTAGCGAAAGATTAATGACTGCCACCACGAATGACCAAGGTTTACATACCAATGGCCCCCATCAAGAGGAGGTTGCGTCGGCCCATCTTCTCAACCAAGTACAGACCGGGGAAGGTGGATGCGACGTTCACCGAATTGGTGATGACCTGGATAATAAAGGCATTCTCGAAACCAGCGTTCTTGAAGTATTGAGTACCGTAGTAGACTGCGCTTCGTTAGTGACTATCCAGCCCTTTCCATCCCACGCTCATAGACGTACAGATGAAGTTCACACCCGTCAGCTGCTGCAGAGCCTGGAGCATACATCCGGTGATAAGGCGCTTGCCCAGGGTTCCCTTGAAGCATTCGATGTAGGTGGATTTTCCGAGAGACATCTCGTAAAGATGGTTGGCCTGGACTTCGTTGAGCTCCTCAATCACAGCGGGGTCGTCCACAGGAAGACGGCGCAATTTCCCAAGTGATTTGGCAGCTTCGTCATAGCGGTCTGTCTTGATGAGGTAGCGTGGGGTCTCGGGCAGGAAGAAAAGACTATTCTCGTGTTAGACGTGAAAGACTGGATTTGCAAGTGCGCTTACCCAATCACGAGGATCAGCGACCACAGGAACTGCACTGCGACGGGAATGCGGTAGGAGCCAGAGTCATCACGGTCCTTGGTGGAGTTGTTGACAATGGCCGCAAGGAACAGACCGATAGTAATAGCAAGCTGGTAGGCGCCAACAATGGTGCCTCGAATCCACTTGGGAGCCGTCTCGGACTGGTACATGGGAACTAAATCCTTGTCAGTTCTACCCGTACACGTAAACCCGATGATCGAACCACGACTATTCGGCGCTACTGTGGATCGATCGATCCAACCGGCCATACTTCGGGATTGCAAATGATGGGATGCGAGACTCACTCAAAGCAGAAACAAGACCGACACCATAGCCAGCGAAGAAACGCCCGGCGATGAAGAGGGGTTGCCTGACAGCAGCGGTCTGTAGAATGACACCGAGATTGAAGACCAAACCGGCAGCCGCCATAAGACCCCATCGACGACCAAGCAAGTCACCGAAAGGTGCAGCGGTGAGAGCTCCGAAGAAGGTTCCCGCCGAAAGAATAGACACGATCAGGGAGTCTTGGGATGCTGTAAGTGTGCCATCGGGTTCGGTGGAGAATTCCCGGAGCCAGAAGGGCATGGCCAGGATACCACTGATTGTGCCAGTATCATAACTGTTTCCGATTAGCTGTTGGGGACTGCTGTTGTTGCTGAGGCTACTGACCCGAAGAGAACACCTCCAAAGGCCACGAACAGGCCGATGAGGATCGCGGGCCTATCATTGTTAGAACGATTACACAGCACCACCGTGGTGGAGCTTACCATGCCTTGCCAGGCGTGTCCGGGGGTGGGGTGAGCATGAACCTGCCCATGTTGGTCGTCTTGGTGATGATGGTAGGCTCTCAAGAAAAGGTACGGAAAAGTCGCGTGCACGCGTCTTGGAAACAGTCCCGTGGGCACAGGCAGCTCTTTATCCCTCCCGTCGCAATGGAGGCCCCGCAAAGTGCCAACCCCTGCTAACAAGCAGCATCACGCTACTCGTCAAGTCGCCGCCCATGGGGGCGCGTGCACATCGCGCCCAATCCATATGCGACGCGATGGGCCTAGTGATGCAGCGGACCGGGAATCAACCATGATTCGATTCGCCGTGGCCGATGGCCATACCCCAGAACCAAGAGTCTTGTCAACGTGCAGACCTGTGACCACCTAGGTCAGCGGCAGAGCACGAGCATCCAGGATGCTGCAGGGGACCAATAGGGAGCATTGTCGGGAGTTGGGCTAGACAAAGCAGTGCTGGTGGCGCGAGCGAGATGCAGCCAAGCGAAGGAAAAGCTTCGCACGTCTCTCTTCCTGTTTGGACACTACGTATGCCAAGCGCGCAGCTCGCGAGATATATGACGCCTCTCGACAATGCGCTGGAGGCTCTGGGGGAGGGGGACCATGAGGAAGACAGGCGCAGGAGCAGAGGCACCGTGGTGCATGGATGCCACGATATGGACATGCATGTAATCCTCTGCACAAGCCCAACAACAGAGCAAGAAAGCGCGCATCCAAGCCACCGACGATGGTTCCATTGTCCTGTAGGACGCCATGTCTTGACCGCATGATGCATGGTGCAGAGGTCGAGACAGGCTCGCCGAGAGCCAGCCAGTCCAATGGAGCTGCTGGGTACGGGCCGGTCGACTGGGCGTGCTGAGGCGGCTCGTGGCAGCGTCGGAGCCAAGCGGCTCCATGGTGAAGTCGGCTGGCATGCCGAGCAATATCGCCCGAGCGCTGCGGTCAGCGTTCACGCTGCATCTGTGCGTGGCGGTTCCAGCAGCCCGAGACGCGGTTCCAGGGCGAAGGCGTTGCCGTGGCCCAGACGACGAGGGCCTGCTCGCCACCGAGGCGTTCGCGACGGCTGCGAAGCGCGCCCGCCATCTGACCGTCACATGAGGCCACGGATGTCGACGAGTGCAGTGAGCTGGCCAAGCTTCGCAGGCCGGGGCTCCACAACCAGAAGGTGCCATTGCCAACCCCCGCGTTGCCCGTCGCGGCTAGCCGCCTCCACCCGCCGCTTGGCGTCTCCAACGACAGCTCGAGCTCTCCGCAGCCAGCACACGGCACCGAATCCTGACTTGGGGATCACCCGGGCTCGCCTGGCTCAACACGCACGAGCCCCTGCTCCAACGCGAACCATCTCGGGCTGGCAACATGCAGTGCGCACCGCCCGCGGCGGACGTGCGTGCGCCTTGTGCAGAGCCTCAGTTTTGCTGTGGTTGTGTTGTCGGACCGATGACTCGCGCAGCCTGGACACGGGCCGGGTCAGTCCCAGGATGCAGAACTTGGGCGCAATTTGCAGAATTTTTCGCCGCGCCCCTGCTGGCGTTTCCTCGATTGGAGACCCCATGGGACAATCACCCCGGAGATTATCTGTTTCAGCAGTCGATGCCGGCAGCGATCGCACCACAATGGCACATATCGACGATCCTCGGAACCGACTTCGGCTCCAACCAGCTACCATGGCCACCAGCTTCACTTGTCTTCAACTCGCAACAACAGTCGGCATCAAAACAAACATGTGCAACGTCCAGCTTGGCAACCTCAGTCCACGTACACCAGCCCCACTTGCGGCTCAACTTCATCGTGTCGTGCGACGCCCGCCCGGTCCCGTGACTTGGCATGCCCGATCCAGAATCATCATTCGTCTTGGCCGCAAAACTTGACGAGTTCGGCACTTGAACCTCGGATATCGACCCACATGCGGCTCACGAGCGGCATGCGGCTCTTTGTATGCGGCTCAAAATCAAGCCCACATGCTGCCTAGCTCCTATGCTTAGCCTTCTGGAAGCGTCGTGGAAGTCCAACATTGGCCTGCAACCACGACCGCGTCGTGCACGCCAAGTTATCATGGTCCACATCGTATGTTCAGAAACCCAACAGCACTCGTATTCTGCGGCGCCGACCCCCGTAGTCACTCCACACAATACACCTGCGCATTCCAAGCTCCACAGAGGGGGCTGTATCTCGATGCGAAGCCCGCGGGGAGATGAGTACAGCCCATGGGGAGTCGCACGCGAGTGCATGCCAATCCGCTTTGTGGATAGCAGCCGCGCTAGCTCTCGCATTGAGAAAGTTTTGCATGGCCTCCTTTCAAACGATACCGTGTGAACTTTATTGAGCACTCGTAGGTCGTCCTCGTGTGCAAGCACCTCGCCTGACGCTGGCACCTACTCGGCTGCCTCGCGGCCCAACAAAACATGGCATCTTCCTTTGATCGTGATCCTGAATATACGACTACCACAGCTGTCTGCTACTTGCTCACCGTAAGAAAGTCATACATTTGGCTTTCCAATCTGACTTCAAAAATGGCTGCAATGCGCTTTCAGCTGGCAGTGTTGCAGCAATCACTTTCTCAGACTCAAAAAATTGCGTAGACGTAACCGAAGAAGACCTTGACCATGAATAACCCAGCAGCGACCTGGAACGCCGACCACAAGCTCCTCCAGCAAAGACCACGTACATTGCCACCAGCTGTGGTCCTGTGCTCATCCTTAAGTTGCAGACAATATAGAGTCCAATTACGAAGACGTAGTACATATCTTCCCGTCGGAGGAGAGCTCTACCTAGCACTCAGGCAGAAGTCCAACAATCTTAGTTCTCTTTTCATTCGGAAAACCACCTATCCATCGCGTCTGTCGGTATGAACCAAAGACAGGCCACTTACACAGGACTGCCGGTTCGCACGTTTCAACAAAGAATGAATGAACATTAGAGACGCGCACAGCCAGAGCCAGGTACCCCTCCTTCCCATCGCTCATCCCGCAACCTGCGTTCCGCAAATTTCAATTTACTCACTCTATCCACCAACCCAATGTCCCAACGTCCCAACACCATCAGTGCTCTACATGCACTTCCCTATCCCTTTCGCATCAAGTCTGACGTCTGGCCGTATCCTCAATCCGCCCCTCACCCTGATCCCACTAAATTCCACTCCAGCGATTCGAACTCCTCAAACCCAGACTTCACTTCCTCTCCGTACCCACCATGCTCCATCATGCCGTCTTCTCTTCTCACACAATCACAAGGAGCCCATGACAACACGACGCATCACTACACGATATCTTGACAAGTCGCTGGGGGCCAGGCATCTCTAGACTCCGGCTTTCGAACAAGCTGCCATTACCTCGCGGCGATTATCGAAGGGCCGGCAGCTTCCGCTACATTGACCAAACACATTCCCAGGCAGTGATGGCAAAGCCCATGCTACAGATTACCAACATGATATCCACCACGCCGATTCAATCCAACTCAGTCTAGGGCAAGCTTCATCTCCCACGATCCAAGTCGGGCGAACTAAACATCCGAAAACACTTCAACTTGGAGGTGGGCAGACGAAAGGGTTCCTTGGTGAAGACGCTGCCACCAGCGCGCATATTCACCCCGACTCCTCTCTGAACCATGATGCAGGCTGCACGTACCAAATGCAGTGTGTTGATTACGTGCTCACCCCAGGGTTTCTTTCGCCATCGCATGGTCATCGGACATCAGTCCAAAACGGATGTAGATGCACTCAGGGTCTTTGAAATCCGCGCAGTGGCCACGAGTCTAGAATCCTCGTAGAGAAAATACTTCATTTAGTGTGCTGCCACTGCCAAGGCTCTCAGGGCAGTGCAGGCAGGTCGAGCATGTATGCATGTATCATAGAAGAGGGACGCTAAAGCTACACTACACCTATATCGACTTCCGCCCAGTCTTCTTCTTCGGCGTCGAGCCCGCCCCGCTGGCCTTGGCACCCGCATCCGCCTTCTTAGCTTTCGAGCCATTCACCTCCTTCTTAGCGGGCGCCTTGTCTGCGGCGCCTTTTGATGCAGAGGTGCCGTTCTGGCGCTCCTTGGCCTCGGAGCCATTCGCCTCCTTCTTCGCGGGCTTCTCGCCTGCCGCGGAAGTGCCATTCTGGCCCTCGTGTGCTTTGGCCTTCTCCCTCGCCGCCTTGGGGTCGGCATTGGGATTCTTGCCCTTCTTCCGCATCTGCGCGCGCTCCGCCCGCTCCATGTACACCTGGTCCTCCTCGTCGTCCCAGCCGCCAAAGTCCGACTCCGATTCCTCGTCGTTCTCGGGTACGGGCCGCTTGTCCACGTACTCCTCTTCCACAGGCGGCTTGCCAGCGGACGTGCCGTTGCTCTTGCTGTTGGCCTTGACCATGTTGTGCGCGCTGACGCCGCCCGCGAGCACCGCGTTCGCGGGCGTGGCGGCCACCTTCTTGAACTTGGCCACGAAGAAGCCGTCGACGTTGTACGCGTGCGGGTAGTACCGGCGCGTCATCTTCATGGAGGGGTGGAAGATCTTGCCGCCGATCTTGGTGAAGCCTTCCTTGCCAAACACGAGCCCCGTCTCGACGAGCTTGACATTCGGCCGCTTGTTCAGCGCGTACTGCACCACCTGCTCGTTCTCCTCGACGGTGACGGAGCACGTCGAGTACACGATGTAGCCGCCCGTCTTGCTGTGGTGGTCGACCGAGTCGATGGCGGCGAGGATGAGCTGCTTCTGCAGGTGCGGGAGCTTCAGGAAATCGGCTTCGGTCTTGTTGGTTTTGACCGAGGCGTCTTTGGCGATGACGCCGGTGCCGGAGCAGGGCGCGTCGAGGAGCACGCGGTCGAAGCCGCCCATGACTTTGGGGAACTCCAACGCAGAGTAGTTGCACACGACGGTGTTGCGGACGCCGAGGCGGTGGATGTTACCGATGAGACCCTTGGCTCGGTCTTTGTTGGCGTCGTTGGCGAAGACGCAGCCGGTGTTCTTCATCAGCGCGGCGATGTGTGTCGTCTTACCACCGGGAGCAGCGGTCATGTCAAGGACGCGCTCGTCTTCTTGCGGTGCGAGAGCCATGACGGGGAGGAAGGAGGAGGCGGCTTGGAGGATGTAGTGGCCGGCGAGGTATTCGGGCGTAGCACCCAGCGGGACTTGCGAGTCGAAGATCTGCAGGCCAACCTTGCTCCACTTGCCTACGGGTTCGAGCTGGACACCGCGTTGGATGAGCGATTGTGCCAGCTCTCGCCTATGCGTGCGCAGAGTGTTGGTTCGGATGACGATGGGTCGAGGTGTCTCGTTGGCTTCGAAGAAGGCGAAGGCCTCGCGCGCAGGGAAGAGGGAGAGCAGCTTATCCGCAAGAAACTCTGAGTAGCCGTAGTAGGCGCATATATCCTTCAGCAGCTGGGCCCTGTATTCTGTTCTTGACCGACCCTCTTCCGCAAGATTCTTGAAGTCGTCCAAAACTCTGATGGTGTCGTTTAGCCGCGTCCTCAGCAGCTGCATGTCCTGCGTCACGAGGTTCGTGATGGGCCGGCCCTCTTCGTCCTCGTCGTCGAGCACCTTGGGCCTATCTCCCGCAATGTTTGTCTGCATCTGCGCTTCCTCCAACTCTGCTGCCGCTTCGGCCTCTCGGATCGCGATCTCCATGTCGCGTTTGCGCGAAAGCCCCTCGATGTTCGCCGCCGTGAGCTTCTCCTCGATGTCGTCGTCGTCCTCATCGTCGGACCACATGGCATTCTTCTTCATAGGCTTCTCATCGTCGCCCGAGTCCAAGACAGACCCATCGTCGCCAAACTCGTCGTCTTGCAAATCCAGGTCGTCCAGGTCCTCCGAATCTATATCACTGCCCAGCGCATCGAGCCGGGTCACTTTTGCGTCGAGTCCATCCTCCGCATCGTCGAGCTCCTCATCCGAGATGTCGTCGTCAGACTGCGGCGGCGGCGGTGCAGCCTTCTTGACGGGTTTCGCTTTGCTCTTGGCGCCAGCCCTGCCTGGATTGACCTGGGGTGCCTTCTTCGGCTTCCTGTCCTGTGTCTTCCTCTTCTTGGGCTGCTGCGCGCTCACGGGCGCAGGCGGTGCGTCTTTGCGCTTGCGGGTGACGAGCGACTCGTCCAATGGGCCCGGCGGACCTTGCTTGATCATGCGGCGGCCTTTGCCCATGGTGACGGTGTTGCGCGAGGGGTTGTTTGGGCAGTGCGTTGACTGTGTTCTCGACGCTGCGCAGCGCGAATCCGCGCAGGAAAATTCACCCAAAATTTAGCGGGACCGCCGCACTGACCGCCTGCAGAAGAGCGTTGGCGTGGGCTACGCTGGACCGAGGATTCCCCGCGGCGTCCCGCACTGAGGGCGTCATCGCTGGTGCGCAACCAGAGAGCTTCCTCAGTGCAGTTGACGTTGTGTGTTTGTCCCTGGCAGGCTACTCGGAAAGGTACGATGCTTGACATCTCAGCTTACCGCTATGCTCATCATCCAGCAGAACTCCATCCACAACAATCCCCCACCCCCCGCCCACAATGTCAGAGCTCACCTTCTGCAAAACATTCCTCACCGCGCTCGACGCGCGCCCCGTCAAGCTCTCCTCCGACCACATCGCCGACGCGCGACAATACCCCGATGGCGCCGTCGTAAGCGCCCCTCCCCTCCCCTCCCCTCCGTCGGCCTCACTCACACGCACAGTTCGTCCTCCCCAAGCTCCCCCCCCCGCCGCACCCCGCGCGCCCCAGCCCCAAGACCCTCCCCCCACAAGATGCCTCGTCTTCCACCCTCACCGTCTCCCTCAAACCCATGAAGCCCTCCCACCCTACCGTCACGAAAGATGCCGTCGCCCCCGCCGCAACATCCATCTACGACCTCAAGTCGGCGTACGCGGCGCAGACCTCCATCCCCCCGGCCAAGATAAAGATCCTGTACAAAAAGAAGCCCGTGACGGACAGCAAGACGGTGGCCGAGGTGGTAGGCGTGGATGCTGGCGCGGAGGTCGAGTTTGGGGTTATGGTGCTGGGCGGGGCGGTGGCGGGAGGTACGCCCGTGCAGAGTCCGCCGGCGGTGGCGCCGGGAGAGGAGGAGAAGGGGCTTGCAGGAGCTGTTAACCAGGGCACGAGTAAAACGGAGACGCCGGGGGCGCAAGGACCGAGTGGGCAGGCTGTGGTGAATGCCGAATTCTGGGACGACTTGAAGGGATTCGTGGTGCAGAGGATACGGGATGAGAAGGAGGGGGATAGGATGGTAGGTGTGTTTAAGAGCGCGTGGGAGAAGGCGTAGCGTTGTCAGATCATGGTGGAGGAAGGAAACGGAACAAGACAGGTGAGGATTCGTATACATCAGCGAGCATACCTGTAGGGTTAGGGCTAGGGCTGGAGCGCGGATCGAACGACTTCACGCACGCAACAAAGATACCACACGCGTAATTCCATCAACCAATGGCAATTTCACCGCTCTATCGCTCATCGCGACCACACATGCTGATGATACCGTTCACAGCTAACACCCTCGAACACTCAGGATTCCTGCTTATTTCACATCATACGCACATCTCGAGCACTGGAAAGCCTCCCGCGTCGCCACGAGAAGAAAGCCAAAGCGTCCGCCGTAGTTCGTCACGTCGTGCACACGTCTCTTGCCCAGCTTCGTCAAACGTTGCGCTTAGCGGCCCTTGGAGACACGGGTGAGGATGCTGTCCCACTCGATGTCGTCGGCGTCGTTGGCCTGGATGTCGGCGGCGAGGCCGTTGAGAGCGCGCTTGATCGCTTCCTTGGAAGAAGAGTACATCATGCGGGGCTGCACTCCATTAGCCCTGATCCCTCTCGCCCTGTTCCAAACTAGGTAAACTCACGTATTGCGGCGCATCATCGGGGCACCACGAGATGAACGTGATCTTGGAGCGCGTGCCCTCGCCGCTCTCGAGCTCGTACGAGACATCGTAGACGGCGTAGCGGCCGCCAATGCCCTCCTTGCCCTTCTTGTCCTTGCTCTTGGCATTGATGAGCTTCTCGCGGAAGGCCGACCAGTCGTCCTCCTTGGACGTCTCCTCGACGACAATCTCCTTCCAGTCGTCGCTGATCTTGTAGATGATGTACTTGGTATCCTTGCCCAGCTTGAGCTCGTTGAAGGCGCTGATGCACTCAGGCGCTACGGAAACACTGCGGGATGATTAGTGTTTAGGGATATGAGGGATCAGATCAGATAGCTGGGCGGCGTGAGGGGCGAGCGCGCGGTGGGCGGGAGTGCCGTGGGGGCAGTGCGGGGCGGTGTTTGCGTGCTGAACATACCCGGATTGAGCCTGCGCGGAGCAAAGTCAGCATCGTCTGCATTGGTCCTCGAGGGCGCCCTTACCATAATGTCGGTTGAAAGATGTGTGAGGTCGGAGAGACGAAGGAGTAGGCAGCGCTTTATCAGTGGTCTGGCACTAGTCAGCGGCTCCGGCGTCAGCGGGGCTCGAGGGGTAGAAATAGCAGCTGCGCATGTAGCTGCCTGGTGAACTGGCGGGAGAGCTTACGTCGGGTCTGGCAGGCAGCTGTTTAATGGTACTCGGGCAAGCAAGGTGTCGTAGTGTGGGTGCGGTGAGGCTGGGCTATAAAGGTAGCGTTAGTGGTGGGGGTTTGGTGCCGTGCGGACCTTTAGCGGGGCAAATCTTGAATCGACACTGCCACAGCAACCGAAGCGCGCTGAATCAGCAGCCTCAGGCTTCAACTTCACCCTCGCATGATGTTCACAGGCGGGTGGAGAGCATGGTGATTGTTAACGTCTTCGCATTCCTTGATCGCTTTTACATCTCGTCCTTCCCAAGGCTTTCTAGATACACAATATTGTACAAATCCACAAAATTACAGATAATGCCACGCTTTTCAAACAGGACTACAAAGACAGGGGAGAAGAAGAGTGGAGTACCAAACCCGTATCATGTACAGACCAGCGCTGGGAAAGACTCGAGGACTAAAAGAGGGTATAGTGGAACGGGGGTATTAGAATATTAGTCGGTCGCAGGCGGCTTTTACATCATGCCACCCATTCCTCCCATGCCGCCCATACCACCCATGCCCATGGGTGGTGCGGCGCCCTTCTCCTCAGGTGCGTCGACGATCGCAACCTCAGTGGTGCCGAGAAGAGAGGCGACACCGCTGGCGTCGCGGAGGGCAGTCTTGACGACCTTGAAGGGGTCGAGGATACCGGCCTTGATCATGTCGACGTACTCACCCTGGGCGCTGTTGTATCCCTTGTTGAAGTCGTTGGCGAACTCGTCAGTGAGCTTGCCGACAACGACGGATCCCTCAGCCCCAGCGTTCTCGACAATCTTGCGGGCGGGCGCCGTGATGGCGTTCTTGACGATGGTGATACCAAGCTGCTGGTCGAAGTTGGCAGCCTTGACGCCACCGAGAGCGTTGACGGAGGCCTTGAGGAGACCAGTGCCACCACCGGGGAGGATACCCTCCTCAACGGCAGCACGAGTGGCGTTCAATGCATCGACGATGCGGTCCTTCTTCTCACCAACCTCAACCTCGGAGGCACCGCCGACCTTGATGACGGCGACACCACCGGAGAGCTTGGCAAGACGCTCCTGGAGCTTCTCCTTCTCGTATTCGGAAGTGGTGGGGTCATTCATAACGCCGCGGATCTGCTCGCAGCGCTGGGCAACGGCATCCTTGGTTCCCTCGCCGTTTAGAAGAACGGTGTCCTCCTTGGTGATGGTGATGGAGCCAGTGGAGCCGAGCATGTCGGGAGTGCACTTCTCGAGCTTGATGTCGAGCTCATCGCTGAAGACGGTACCGTTGCTGAGCACGGCAAGGTCGCCCAAGATGGACTTCCTGTTGTCACCGAAGCCAGGAGCCTTGACGGCGGCAACCTGGAGCTGACCACGGAGCTTGTTGAGGATGCAGACAGCGAGAGCCTCACCTTCAATGTCCTCAGCAATGATGACGAGCGGTCGGCGGAGCTGCTGGGAGGCCTCGAGAGCGGGGACAATGTCCTGGACGGCGGAGATCTTCTTCTCGGAGAGGAGGATCAAGGGCTTCTCAAACTCAACCTTCTGGGACTTGGTGTCGGTAATGAAGTAGGGAGAGATGTAGCCACGGTCGAACTTCATGCCCTCAGTGACCTCAAGCTCGTCCTCAATGGTCTTGCCCTCCTTGACGGTGATGACACCCTCCTTTCCAACCTTCTCCATGGCGTTAGAGAGAAGCTTGCCAATGTGAGTGTCACCGTTCGCGGAGATGGTGGCGACCTGTGAGATTTCCTCGCTGGTAGTGATGTCCTTCTTGTTGGCCTGGAGGTACTCGACGACCGCCTCGACGGCAGCCTGGGTTCCTCGCCTCAGGTCCATGGGGTTGCAGCCGGCGGCAACGTTCTTAACCGTCTCGGAGAAGATGGCGCGAGCGAGGACGGTAGCAGTGGTAGTACCATCACCGGCCACCTCGTTGGTCTTGGAGGCGACATCCTGGAGAAGGCGTGCGCCGAGGTTCTCGAACTTGTCCTGGAGGGTGATGGCCTTTGCGACAGTGACACCATCTGCATTCATGTCAGCTGCCATCATCAATCCATCCTATCCTCGTTGCTACGCACCCTTGGTGATCTTGGGCGAGCCGTAGCTCGACTCGATCAAGACATTCCGGCCCTTAGGCCCGAGAGTTGTGGAGACGGCCTTTGCAAGTGTGTCAACACCCCTCAGGAGAGCTGCGCGGCCCTCGACGCCGAACTTGAGCTCCTGCGCGCGGGTCAGTATCGGACTTGACATGGTTGCTCTTGTTTGTGACGTACCTTGTGTGCGAACCTCTGCTGCTGGAGGTTAAAGCTCCGGGAGCTCTTCAGCGCCGAAGTGCGCGCCCTGGTTGCGAAGCGCTGCATTGTGATGGAAGGGAAATAGAGATAGAGATGTACCGAAGCTCAAGCCGTGCTCCTTTACTCCAGCTCAATGCAATGGAAAGGAGAGAGATGAGGATGTAGGGGGGGGATGGGATGGGAATTGGAGGTTGATGATGCGCAGAGCTCCTAAAAAATATTCCGCGAGGAAAGATCGAGAATATGCCAAGCCAATCGACCCCTGCTGTATCCTCGGCTTTGGTTCCGGGGGAGGTTCCGAAGCTTCCGCACCCCATCATCCACCATCGAACATCGTGTTGACACAGCTTCACAGCGCTGAAACGATGCTCTGCTTGCGACGACAATCGAAAGTTGGGTATCAGAGTACATCTTATTGGCTCACTGGGGCTACAGCGCCTGCCCGAGTAGAGTAGCTAGTCGATCGTTCATCGTCGGATGCGCGTGTGTAGCAGACAAATCATTTGGCTAGTCTGAGGCAGCTCTCGTTGCTAACATCTCACCTTTATCCGTCTAGTGCTGCCAATGGGGATGGTCATGTAACGGAGGGATACCCAATACGATTTTGCACCATACACGACATTTCTGCAGCAGTAATAAAACGAGGGTACCCGTTGATGGATAATGGTGCGCAGTGATACCTCAGCCCATGGGACGACTCATGGTTAGGACTCTTGCGATGGGAGCATGCGTCACCCGTGCGAAACGTGACAATACTCTTTGTAGTGTATTTTGCTTGAGGTGTTATGTTCGCTGGGGTTATTGAGCCTCTCAATATCTAGTTACGGCCAGGACTTTGATTAGCAACCTTAGACGTGCCAGTCACTCTTTGTACCATTGTGCACACAGCCTTGCAGATTGGAATGCTGATTGTGATATCTGAAATGACTACGAGTTGGTGTAGGATGGCTTATTGGAGAACTCTGAATAGAGATGCGCGGTGAGGCGTGTCATCATTACAGCTTACAATACATTCAGACAACATGACCTATGGTACTATGCAATAGTATCCTTGTTGCAGTATATGTACTCGAATACGTCCTGCTGGGTTCACTGGACAATTAAGTTGTTGGCAGGAAGATGCTTGTAGAATCACTGGGACCTACGTTCTATCATCGACAACGAGAATTGCGTGCCGTTATGAAGCTGGGCACTCTGCTGCTACCCAAAATGTGAGAATGCAGTACCACAATATTGACGCAGTATAGACAGATGCCACAGACAACAGCGATAGCCGTCGCGACCTCCATGGCACGACCCCCAAGACGATTACGGATACAGACTCATCCGTCGCCCTTGGGCCAACCGGTGAAGCGTGGCTGTTCTCGACCACCAGAATGGCGCCGGCGAAAACCTCGTACCTCGTATTCCCAAGGCTGAGTTCCAGGGCGCATCGACACACCAATATCACCAGCCGACTGTCGCTGACCCCTTATCGCATCTTCAAGTCAGCGGCGCTCTTCACGCGCGAGATGCTGGCTTCCTGAAGCCTTCATCCGCAAACGGTAAATTGTTGACGGCATCAAGCGCCGCCAAAATCCAGGGACAGCCGCGCAAGCGACGGGCTAGCGCTCAGCGCCCCCCAAAAATATGTCAGCCCTGGTTCCCGTTGCGGGCAAGCGTCTAGCTGTCTGGCATTGGCACTCCCGCGGGCATGATCTGTGCGCTGCGAGAGGGCGAGTCGTTGCGCGGCGAGCTGAGGCGGATGGCTGTGTGGGTGGAGCGCCAGCTCAAACATGTCGTTGCTGGTGCTGCGTTGATCTTTGCTGCACAAGACACTGCCACATTCACGCTCCCTCATCCATATACACGCTCGTTGCTCGGCTGGCCCATCGTGAGTGTTACCTTCGCGGACGATTGATTGTTTGTTTTGCTGTGACTTGACTGACGCAACACTCCAGGAAGGATTCTTCTGCGCCTCCTTCCTCGACATCTTACTCCACGCGTTTACCCCGGTTACGATTTCGATTAGATAGTGAGACGCACTCTCTATTTATCCTCCCTCCTACCTCCTCCCGAGAGTTCTCGACGCACCTCCCTTGCGCCAACGCCGCTACAACGAGCCCGTCGGGCATACGAGGGGGCCACCATGAAGATCAACACCAGCTACGTGCAAAAATGCAAGACCGTTGCACATGTCTTCCAGATCATCCTCATCTTCATCGCGGGATGTATAACCATTGCGGTGTTCACAAAGGGAGGGCAGACGGGCGGTGCGACGAAATACTACTTTGCCTTGGTACGTTGTCCAGGTGCAGTCCTATACTGATGGAGGAATCGTCTAACAGTCAGACAGTGTTTTTTGACCGCGCCAGCGTTAATATACCTCACGATGGTGCCTTTGTATAGTCGGACGAAACGATTCGCCAATGCGTATGCTTTTGCTGCCATCGATGCGTTGTATACAAGTGCGAAACCATACCTGCAGCCGCATCAATTCAGTTGCTGACTGGCGCATAGTTCTTTGGCTTGCAGCCTTTGCTGCTGTGATGGCGTGGAATGCCCGAGGCGTAAACGAAGGCGCAAAGAGTTTGAAGCTCAGTGACGACGCCCCAAAGAACTGCACAATCTTCAAGTATGGCCCGGAAGCGAAATGCAGTCTCAGTCGAGTGACTGTGGGCTTCGGCGTAGTCATATTGTATGCCCTCATTTCCATATTTTCCAGTCTTTCGCCCCTGACACCAACCAGTATCTCTTTCATTCTGACCTCCGCCATCTCTGGCTACTATGCCAACAAGTACCGCAAGGAAGGTGTCATGCCGTATATCTCTGCCAAGCAAGACCCGCACCACAACAGCGGCGATAATTCCAAGGACAACGCGTGGTCCACCGATATCGAGCACCACGACGGCCGCGACTCGGACGAAGAGGACCGCCGCACCGAGCACGGAGGCAACCAGCAAGAAGACGAATACGCCTTGCTACACTCGACCGAGACAGACGAGGGCCGGCACCCCGGACGCCCGCTCAGCTGGGGCGAGGACCACAGAGTCGGCGGGCCCTACGTGGCGCCTATTCACAGCGAGGGACACGTGCAGATGCCGTATGCAGCGTACAACGACGACACGGCTAGCGCACTGAGTCCTGGCGGGTATGAAGAGTACAGGAGGGACGCGGCTCCCGCAGCCAAGAGAGACAGTTCGTTCGGCGGCACCGGGTACAGTTTCAGCGGGAGGCAATAGAGAGAGCGGCACATAGCATAGGCGACGGGTGTTGATATTATTCCTTGTATATGGAGGTGCGGTACCATCCTGAGCCTGCATTTGGGCGTTTGGTACAATGGATTCTTGGAGCATGTCTGAGCATTTAGCGACCTTGGAATGGATGCTGCATGCAGGTATCTGCCACTGCTTTAGAGTTTTTTTGTGCGGATATGTGTTCGAATATGGTCGAGAACTAGGAGCGTAACAGTTCGGATGTGAATATTGTGCGAAGTAGTCCTGCTCTCGAAATGTGCATGGTCAGATGACTTAGTGAGGTGTAGACTGTACGAGCGACTCCTGATCCACCGTTGGCACTTGGTTTCTTCTCATGTCTTCACTGGGGGTTGGTAGGCCAAAATCCTTCTCATGCACGGAAGTAGTTCGCGGTTGAATGTCGTGCAGTGGACGATGCCTGCCAAATAGGGGCACGAGTGCGTGTCGGTGAACCAGGCTGCTATGAGTATACTGAGCAAGGATACAGCCTTGCCATCGCGTTAAATTTTGTAAGCGAACATGTGAGGTGGCTTGAGCCGGATGAGGAAGGAGGAGATATGGTGTGGCGTGGGTAGCTTGAATGGCCGTATTCGGCGAGGTCGAAAACAAAGTGTACTTTCTATGATGTGATGGGTGGTGGAATTCGGCATTAATCCAGGCCGGCCTCTTGTAAGCAACCGTTTGTGTGTGTGTGTGTGTGTGTGTGTGTGGGTAAAATGTGCTTACCTAAGTTAACTTCTGTGGAAGGTGCAGTCAACGACACTGGCACCGAGGGTGAACGTCTTACGCCCAATTTCTCCTTCCCGTGTACTAGTCACTCCGTCGCCCTGGAAAATCACTGGAGTTACACTTCTGTTACTGGATCCAATGCACTAACGAGAAGCAATGATCGAACCTCCCACTCTGTGCAGCCGCCTGCATGTAGCCGGGAGCACCTGTCACAGCTCGGCGTGAGTGTCTTTGCTTTTTTCTATAACACGGCAGATGAGTGCTGTTGAACCAATGGCGGTAAATAGTGCTGTGACACCTTCATTTCCCTGCTATTGCTGTATCGACGACCGATTACTATGCATTGAGCTTGATCTTGAAGATTAGATGGGACGTAATTGTCCATCCGAATCTGGATATCTAAGAATTATGAAAAGAGGGGAACTGTACGCATCGTGTGCGATGCCGATCTAGCAGTCGAGATTGCAGGTGTGAGCTGCGTTGAACATGTTCAAAATGCTTAATCGGCCTCTTTGGCCAAGACTGTGGTGTTCAAGGCGTGAACGGCGTGCTGCCAAAGCTCTTTGTTTCATCAGAGACGATGCTTGAGCACAAAGGAGATTAGGCCAGTTGTTGGCTAGGTGTTTTATTTGGCGTTGGCTAGCCTGGTATCGACACTCTATCGGCTGTGACTAGAAGAATACACATGTCTCTCGAGCTCGGTGTGGTTTGACGTCCAAGTTGCGGACCGTAGCGGAAAAGAACATACCTCATAATCGGTCTGAGGACCTCTTTCTAAGCGTCTGATTGGTTTCTTTATGGGCCTAATTAAGCCTAGCCTACCAGTTTTATACTAGATTATGTGGTACAGTACTGTCCCTTGTCTTGCTAAAGTGGTCTAGCGTAGGCGAATCCCGGCAAGGGTCATTCGTTCTGACAGCTCTGAAGCCCAACCTCAACAATGTCAAGACCCTTCGCTTCCTACAGAATCATGCACCCACTGCGATGTAGGATAGGCGATCGAAGTATCGTCAACATGCGCTCGCGTGACCCTGCACCCATACTCTGCGTCAAGATTGACTGCACAAACTCTCTATTCGGTGCAGTACCCTCTAGGGCGAAGTATACTAATCATCAATGGATCCTTGCGGGGCATAATATTTGTTTTGTAATCATGCACACAAAACCCCAAGGCTGCCTTTGCTTGCACGGCTCGAGAGAGAACCTATCGCGCTGCCAGACACAGTCACGAATTCACACCAAAGGAGTTTTCACCACGCAAGATGACTACCACGAAGGTAAGGTCGCCGGTATTAATCTATCGTTGCCGAGGCACAGTAAGCTTAACCTCTACACAATAGCTCGAAACGCAACCTTCAAACCCACTTCCATTCTGTGGGGACCCTCCAGAGGCCAACGGTCTATACCAGCGATTTTCACGATTCCGCTCTTTTGTGCCTTCGAAACACTTCCCCGCGGAGAAGGATCGCTATGTATTATATATCAACTACACCTGTCCTTGGTGTCATCGCGCAGTGATTGTTCATGCTTTGAAGGGCCTGGCAAATGTAGTGCAGGTTGTCGAGGTTGACGGGCGTGATCCGACGCATGGTTGGTTCTTTGGCGGCGCCCGGGGCCCTTCTCGGGATCCTATTCACGGCTTCAAGTGGTTAAGGGAGTTCTATTCGATGGCTGACCCTCAGTACATCGGAAGAATAACTGTTCCTATGCTCTGGGACAAGAAAAATCGTAAGTCTGCTTACAGAGACATATTTCGTAATCATTTGCGAGTGAGGTGCAGTGGCATCAAGCTCAGTGCTTTGTCTGCTAACCTATACTAGGCACCGTTGTCAATAATGAAAGCAGCGAAATTACGCGTATACTCATTGATGGCTTCGATCAGTTCCTACCCGCCGAACGTCAAGAAGCAAACAAGGGTGCTTCTGCCCTTATTCCAAGTAATCTCCGAAATGACATAGACCAGCTGAACGCTTGGGTATATGACAATATAAACAATGGTGTCTATAAGGTTGGGTTTGCAACGACACAAATGGCGTATAATGAGCACGTTGTACGGCTGTTCCAAGCTCTCGACAAGCTGGAACAACACCTCACGCAGACTAATCACCAACCTTTCCTCTTCGGTAACCATATCACCGAGGCCGACATTCGTCTCTACACTACGCTGATCCGCTTCGATGTGGCATACTACACCATGTTCAAATGCAATCTCAAGATGATCCGCACTGACTACCCACGTCTACATCACTGGCTCCGGACACTTTACTGGAGCGAATGCCCCGAGACTGGGGGAGGGGTGTTCAAAAGGACTACCTTGTTTGATGTTGTAAGTAAGTCAAACTACTAGACATGAATCAACTAAGCATCATAGATCAAACGGGGGTATTCGTCCATTACGGCTGGAAACGGGATTGTACCTATCGGGCCCATGCCCAACATCATGCTGCTGTGAAGTGGCGTCAGCAGAACCTACGTTTTTTGTTCATATACCTGTTCCTAGCAGGAGTATGGCGTCCTTGGTCGATTGCGTCTCGATTTTCTACCATCAATCGCAGAGTCGTCCTTTTGGCTCCCACCATGTCGATACCGAACGCTACGTTATAATCAACGTGTAGTACTGATTCCACCACTTATGCTGAAGTTCCAAGGTCCTGCTCTAAAAATAATTCTATACCTGACGAGCTCACATAATAAATCAAGCATAGCGTGAGGGTGAGGTGGACTTCGCCACATTACGAACGGATTGGCAGAACACTTAAAAGCTCAAGAAGAACGTATACAAATCAAGGATCCTGAGCGGTAGGTTTACCTGTTAAAATTATATTGGATGCTCGTGCCAACGAAAGAAGTATGATGACACAAACGAAGTAACGAATGTCGATATGGACACCGGCCACGGCTATCATCTATTGCTAGCGGATCTCGAAAGCACACAGATCATACACCCTCCTTGAATGAGGCCCCACCAGCGTTCATATCCACAGACACTATTGTTATGATTAGCTATGCTTGTGTGAATATTGGGCATGCCACAAAGACTTACTACTATGCTTCAACCCGCAGACTTCGAAGAGCGTCACCGGAGTTACATTCTTGGGTGTCCCGACAATGCCCTGGGTCTTCAGTCGCATTAAAGTCTCCTTGATAGCCAAATATGCTGGAGCCAGCGTAGCGAAGCTGAAGATCATGATGCGAAAACCCATGACGCGTGCCTCATCTACGGTAAGGGTAGGACTCTTCCCGTTTTCGACAGCGTTCAAAAGCAGCGGCCAGGGTGCCAAGTCCTTCACGGCCTGCGCAGCTTGCTCCTTGGATGTGAACCCCTCGACCAGCCCAACATCGGCACCCTCATCGCGTGCCATCTTCATTCTGGCGATGCACTCGTCGTAACCGTACTGCTGCAGAGCGTCCGTTCGTGCAATGAGCACGAAGTCAGATCGCATGCGAACTCGGGCTGCGTGAGCTGCGCGAATGCGAGCAATATATTCCTCTCGGTCCACAACCTTCTTGCCGCTTAAGTGACCACAGCGCTTTTGAAGCACTTGGTCCTCAAGATGAGCCCCAGCTACCCCGGCTCGGATGTATTGCTCGACGGTTCGCGCGGCCATAATAGGTCCTCCGTAGCCAGTGTCCATGTCTGCAATGAGGGGTGGACCGAAAGGGTCGAGGTTGGCGATCATTTCGGCATTCTCGCGCATTTCATGAAGCTGGGCAATAGCCAAGTCAGGCTGTCCCAGACGTGATGCAGTAGTACCAGCTCCAGTCTGTAGTTCTTATCAGCCATGCTCCTTGGATAGTCCACCCATACTGATTAGAGCGACTCACCATGTATAAGCCGCTGAAGCCCAGCTCCAAGGCGGTGCGAGCGGAAAGGCCATCATAGACACCAGGACAGACGATAAGTTCGTTGGTCTCGAACAGCATCCTGCGCAGCTTCGTAGCTCCCGAGGCTGGCTCATCGGTGGTGGTGGCAGCAGAGTTGTTGAGCCGAAGCCATTGGGTACTCGCTGGCCATGCATTGATTGCTTTGTCGACGATGTGCAGGTGGCTTGGGAGCTGTACTGCCAGAGTTCGCTCATCGGTCATCTTGACCTTGGCGGACTGCACGGGCTCGGACATGAACTCAGGAGCATCTTCTTGTCCTATGCGGACTAGAACACCAGCTTCTTGAGCCAGGATTGCGGCCTCCTGTTCCAAAACAGTGACAGGATTGACATGGTAAGCGGGTGCCATTGCAAAAGAACGAAACCGATGGTGCTTCTTGCGTTTTAGAGTTGGCGAAAAGGAGGGAATGAAAATCTGTAGCTAAGCATGTAGCTGGAAGGTGCTGTGGTGTCTCGATGGATGGATCATGCCAGACCTTTATACTCACAGTATTGAGGGATTATTAATGGACTTTCGCGTGCAAATGTCTATCCATGCCGTCTCGGCGATGGACATGTAGTGTGGAAGATTACAGATTCTGCTTTCGTTTGCCGAACTCGGCCTGCCGAACTGCAGTGAGTGTGGAGCAAATCAATTGCACACCATTATTCCATAGCCAAGGCGGTCTTATTCCCATCTCCTGTCGCATTGTAACGCTCACTGTAAGGCTCGGAGTCTACCGTATCACCTAGATAGATATACGGATAAAGAACAACGAACAGTTGTCCGCCTACCCTTGGACCTGCAGCATGTCATCCAATCTTTTTGTCTATTCACCATCCCAGGGTGTACGTGTGCATGTCTTGGTAGGAGTGATCGGACCTATCTGTGACCTTTCGTGAGAAGTGAGCGCTGGCACGTTGTTCAACCGAACTTCCTAGGGGGTGTAGATGTTGCTAAGTTACAGCCCCACTGACGGGCTGGTCATCTAGGCGGGATCACCGGGACGAGCTAATAATTGCCGGAAAGGAGTAGCCAAGTGCAGAACGAAGGTGATCGCTGCGACGAGTTGGGTTTGCCAACTGCACTGCTAGTGTAGGTTCATAGGGACCAGACATTTGAAGGCAAGAAGTGTTGGTACATTGAACAGTGCGCTTTGATATGGAGACTTCACTCATCACCACCAACTATTAAAATAGTAAAGACATGGTATAGGCTCCATTGCTACTAACATAGGACAGTCTCTATCGATCAATATGTTTAGCCCACGCGCTGCAAGTCATTATGTCCTTTCCTATACGAAATAAAGTCATAAATACATAAAAAATGCAACTATCATATTCTCACTGATGAACATGTCCTCAGAGACATTTGGAACGGTATTGTCGATGACTTGGAAATCCACTTGATCCTGTAGCATCATTCAATGACAGGGATACGGACAAGAATGTCCTTGTCGAGTAATTGATCAACAACACAACAAGTCGCTTCATGCTTGGTGGTTTCCAATAGTATTGGTTTCCGCCTGGGCAAATATGAGGCGGTATCGGCGGCTTTTCTAAGACTCGGCCATGCACGACTTCTTATCTCTGGGCACGTTGGCTTGGTATCCGGCGGCCAAGTCCTCGATTATCGGCGCTTTTGCGCAGTCCATGTAAGACACACTCTATGCAGTCTATTTCAAAGCAACCTCGCTCTTCGCGCTGAGGAAATAGTGCTAAGAAACAAGCTTGGCGAACTAGTGGGTTTTGGAGGCCCTTATTGTGTAATATAGTCCTCACACGTCATGTCGTACGATTGCCACATGCGGAGGATTCTCTTGGAGAGCTTGCTTATCAAGCCACCACGGGCCGTGCCGTTGCATTAGCTCATTCGTAATGAACTTATCTGGTTGAAGCTTTCGTAGCGACCATGGTGTAGCAGGGACACACCCGGTCGCTCCTTGCGACATGCATTGCGCTACAATTCCAGATCGGCACATACGAGATATCGTAGACATGTTGGTGTTCTTCACGAAATCTTATGCTTATGCTTATACTTACTGTAGCGATGCTTTTTCATCTTTGTTTTGTAAGAGCTGCCTCTTCGTGCATAAATTACGCATTATGCCGATCCAGCTGGCTGTAGTGCATGACATCCTGGAGCTAATCTGTCGCTGCTCGCATAGATGGGGGTTACATTGGAAAGTGCTTACGGTTGCGGGCTCAGGAATATCGACGTGTTCCTCTCGGCTCGCCGAAAATATGCCCGAAACAGCAATGACAAGCCGATTGTCGTCGATGCCGAGTTAGCCAAGTCGTCCCGTTACCTATTCCCGCCGCCCGTCCAACACGAATTTTCGGATCAACAATCTCCGGAGCCTCCATCGGGCAATCCGATCATGACTTCAACAATCGTGGCGGAGCCAGCGGGCTTCGTGCCATCTACAGCTTCTTGCCGCCGCCGAGAGATGGCAACATACCGAACGGTGACCTGAAAGTTCTCAACACATATATGTCCACCAATAAATAGGAAAGTATCTGCCAAGCAGCTCAAGCTGACGGAGAAGACCAAGCCTTGGTATCCACATCGGTTGCCGCGCGAAGGTCATGGGTTTCATGATTGGCACGGACATCTGGAGTGCTTGACGAGACGTTCCGCTCTTTCCCCCCGCTGTCGGCTTCTTGGTATTGCATAAACAAGCTCTGCGCATTTTCTGAGTGCTGGGCAAAGTCAACATCAGAAGCTGCGCCATCTCCCCATTCCCTAGCGGCCATCTTCCAGCCCACCCGAGCTTGACAGTCTCACTCAAATCTGCTCATCTTGTAGAGACTTATCGGCATTCAGGATGGAAGAGAACTCCACACCCTCCATTCAGGGCTCTCAATCTGGAGCTCTGACAGTAGAGAAGTTGGAACTTCAACCAATTTCTGATCCTGGAAGATCTATCGGCCCTGGCTTGCGGGAACGCTTCGCTGCACACTTTTCAGGAACGGTCGAAACCAAAGCTGGGTACATACCAGTCCTTGTATGCTGTTTCACCACGGGATTAACCGATGGAACTGTGTACAACGGTAAGCAAATGGGTTATGTACCGGAACATCGAAGTCACTGACGGTCTCATTTTAGCATATGGTACCTTCGTTTCGATGCAAACCGGTTCGTTCTTCTGTATCCCCCAAACGGCAGGAACTTCCTTCGAAACTAAAACAATTGTCAGGAAACACTATATTTGTTGCGCTTGGTACTTCGGGTCAGAATAACAGACCGTACGGCTGGGCTCGTTCTCTTTGCTCGATTGGATGTTTCGCTATCGGATGCGTCACTTTCGCAAGACTGCACAAACTCATCGGTGGCGCTCGCCTCCGTCGTACTGTGCTATTCTCCTTCGCCCTGCAGACTGTCTGCGTCGTCATTGCCGCCATCATCATCCAGAGCGGTACTATCGACGGGCGCTATCCATCGACTCGAGACCCCCGGGATGTCAACTTCACGGAGTTGGCGGTGGTGGCCTTGCTTAGCTTTCAAGCTGCAGGTCAGATCGTCAATAGTCGTGGCCTGGGGGTGAGCGAGGTACCCACGGTGGTCATCACAAGTCTGGTGTGCGACTTGGTGAGTGATGAGTTGCTCTTTGCAGGCTTGACAAAGAATGGGAAGCGCAATCGAAGGTTCCTTGGCTTTTTACTTACCTTGCTGGGTGCAATCGTTGGTGGCTGGATATCGAAGGCCACAGGTCAAGTCGGGCCTTGTCTTTGGTTCGTGGCCGCTCTCAAGGCGTGCATTTCCCTCTACTGGGTCGGAGTGGTACCGTTGCAGAGATTGATAAAGGGGGCTTGAGTAAGTTCAAGATCATTTTGTTACACTTCTGGACACAGCCCAGGGCACATCTCCATTATATGGCGAATTAGTCGATCAGCTCTAGAGACCTAGACTGTCTAGTGTGGCATTCTCATACTGCGCTTCTTACCCAACTCTATAGCTCTATAGTCTCTATACGATGTTTCAAAAGTGATTTGGCCTACCGTCTGCTCATGTTTCATCAGAGAATACTGTTGTAGATAAATATAGCTCAAAATGAATCGGAGTGGTACAACATCCGATGGGGATCAGACTATGTGCAATGCAGATGCGTATAATTAAATCGACAACAAGAATAGGAGTAAGAAGACAGCAACTCAGATAGAGTAGCTCGAAGCGGCTGTAGTACGACATGTGGTGACCGTACGAGAGCTCGGCCCGTCTGGCACACATAAGCTGTCCCAGGTGCCATTTCACCGCTAACGATATCGCCTCAGGACCAAGAACGACATCGCCCGTGGAAGTCGCCAGCGAATCGAGAGTAGGGCTTTCATAGCACTTTGTCTCTGCGGAGGTGACCTCAAAATGGTATCCCGTCTGGTGGTGTATCGAAGGATCCGCGTCCGTGACACGTTTGACCTTGAGGTAGCCGGCTGAGGAATACGTAACGCTGCAGTACGCACTACATCCAATCGACTGTTCAAGATCGACGTCGACAGTCTGAGTGCTAAGGAACATGTCTTCGAACAACACCATCCCTGAAGCTTAGAGACTGTCAAATGACGTCTCAGAACAATTTAATCTCTCCGCGGGGCAGTATCTATGAATCGGCAGGTAACGTATAATGGCTCGTTCCTGAAAAGTGGAGTGATTTCTGGGCTACGAAAATTTCATGACCCGGCTTATGAACCAAGATGGGCAACTCTGAACACTGGGGGGCTACTCATATATTAATTTACATGGTATGCTCGTATTTGGGGACGGTTGGTGATCTTATGGTACTATTGAGAATGTACTAACTAGAAGGTTGGTTAGAATCTGGGGATTTGTAGAGAGAACCACTGGCAATCCTACCTTGTGGCTTTGGGAGATTGGCTTGTTATATTCATTCAAGAATAACCATGAACCTTGCAAGGCTGCCTTCGCTCAGCTCATTCCATTCCAAAGAGAAAGCAATTCCTAACGGAACAATTAGTGAAGAGATGAATTTTCGCATCAGGACATGTTGAAGTCTAGTATCTCTTTTCTAGATGCTACTGTCGTTTTCGGGGATGGCCGCAGAGCGGAAAGCTCTGCTTTCGAACCCACTATTCCTCCGCTCATGGTGTCAGACGGCCGCGAAGCATTCGCCGAATCGAGATTCACCGTAGAGAGGTCATGGTGCACGTGATACTGACTTTGGTATGTTAGTTGTGGAAAGGAGATTGTCTACTAATTAACTCGTTCGAAGTGAAGCCTATCCTTCCGTTTGCACCTTCCTTAGCTCGCACCGTCGCGGTGGCCTGAGCGTAGATTAAACAGCTCGTCTGCCCTGCGCCTGCCTTTAAACTCTGCAACGCACACATTTCGACTCGCGCCCGCTAAGCCGCAATTTTTGTGTTGGCTGCTTGTCGTATAACTTGGAGTGAGCAAACTCATTCGAAGAGCACAAATCCAGAGACGCCATACTGACTATGACTGAGCATCTTTGGGCAGGCAGTGTCGGACCATGGAGCAGGAAGAGCAGGTAGAGCAGGCGGTGGCGTCCGTGGAGCCGCCTTCCCTGCTTGGCGTCGACTTCATCAGCAAATTGCCTACGGAGATGATTGCCTCGATTTGCGAGCTTCTCGACAAGAGGAGTCTTCACAACTTTAGGATGACGTCCAAACATATTCACGCGCAAAGCTACACCAGTAAGTCAAGTGTGAATTTTTGGATTTGCAAATGCGCAACAAACAGACCCTATCCTCACACCCCAGGCTTCTTTGCCCACCACTTCCGAGTATCGTCCTTCACCTTCACAAGAGACGGCCTCAAGAAACTGGTTGAGTTCTCCAAGGATCCGAATATAAGACCTGAAATCAAGGTCATTAGATTGATCCTGGTTGCCTTTCCGAAGCAAGGGAAGGAGCATCTTTCAGGCTTGTGGCACACACCTAGCGAAGCGATGGCGGCAATCTTGGCTGTGGAGGATGGAGAGTACGACGTAACGGGTGCTAGAATCAGGCAGATCAGGAAGTATCGCAAGAATATTCGGCGGAACAGGCGCCGCGCCTACGGTCGCTATCAGGAGGATCAGAACCTGTTGAGGCGAAGCGGAGATGACGTGAACCTGCTCGCTGAAGCACTGCGTCGTCTACCAGCACTCGAGGAGATAGACACGGTCGACATCTACGGTGTCGACAGTCCTTGGGGCAGAGGCAAGATCATCGAGGACCTCGGGGAGATGCCATTCACTGCATCGATGGAATCGTGGATCCCTATGAAGCATGATACCTACGAATCCAGGTTCGAAGTTGAGCGGGAGCTAAAGATTACGAGTGCTCACAGCGTTGGAGCTGTCCTGGGCGCGATTCGCTGCAGTGTCATCAAGTTCAACGGAATACTGGAGCTCAACGGCGTACCACACAGCGTGAGGTTCGCTAAATGGCCTCACTGCAGCCGACTGTCCCTCTCCGCTACGCCCGCGAGGTCCTTCTCCCTGAGTATGCTTGCTGATATGAAGGACACTCTATCTGGCCTGAAGGCCCTACGTGTATCAACGTTTTCCTACGTGGATAGAAAATACGAAGACGATCCAGTCGAGGAGTACGACATTGAGTGGCTATACCAGCTCTTGGAGCGTACCACTGGGTTGACCAGCTTCAGTATGAATGACAACGGCGCCCGGTCGAACCGCACCATCGATCTAGACATGATGCATTCTATGGAGTATCGGTCCATAACCTTCCCTCGGCTCAAAGCATTCATGCTGCTGAACGCGGAATGCGAAACCCCTGTCTTCATACGTTTCCTTGAGAAGCACAAGACAACACTTCGCCGTGTTTGTCTCGACAACATCAATTTCCGCGCGACGACTCCCTTGTACGTGGGCAGTCAACTCCAACCAATATTGGAACATATGGACTTACTGCATGATTCAGGCATACTCCAGACGATCGCGATACGTTCTTGTTTGTGCGCTGGTCGGAGCGAAACTATTGGCGTGTCATTGGATACCAATCAGTGTCTACGGAGCTCATGGATGATTATGCTCAACTGGAGTTCCGGGAGAGTTTGCGGAGTGTCATTTGCATGAACGAAGCGCTGCCGGTCGATTGAAGTAACGGCCTCACCAAGTCATGTCAACCTCCTTCAGGATGGGGCAGACCGTTCTGCTCAGGGTAAGGAATATCCCCTTCACTGCCCCTTCCCTAGCACTGCATACACACTGTTTTGCCTTGTTTCTCTTTCCATGCCAAAGCCGGACTTCATTTGATGGGAGTCCCGCGGACCTTGTTGCATGGAATGGGGACGTATTTTGCTGCGGTAAGTCATATCAGGTCCACCCATATACACCACAAGCTATCAGCGTACGCTGACGCTGTACTAAAGATGATTTGGATGGAATTTTCGGAGTCGAGTGACCCCAGGAATACTTGAAGTTGGGATCGGTACGAATGATTGGCTGGATGTGTTTTGCAAAGAGCACATGCTACAAGCGAACGTTCAACATGTTCGTAAGTCATTATGATTACTATGAAAACGCAATACTGCGCCAAAGCCAGACGCCCCAACGCCTCGCTCGCGCAGGGGTAATCCCGTCTACGCCGTGATATGCTAATCTCTGCCTTCTTTCCTTTCTTTCATCGTACCGACCCAAAACACTATCATACACACCACACCCTTGAATCTCCACCAAGAGGCTCAGCCGCAAGGGCGCCACCTATTGCGCCGCAAATCTGCTCCTCGCTCTCAACTTCTCTCCAAAGAAGAATAGCACATACACACCCGCGGAGCATCCCACCGTCAAGCCCGCAAGCAAACTAATCCCCCTCCCAATGCCCAAATTCCTAAACATGGGGCTGCTGAAGTGAATGGCGCCCGTCGCCAACGCACTCCGCATGAAGTCATTCCCCGCAAACAGACTCGCAGCGTACTGCGGATACACGAGCGGCAGGTACAAAAAGATGCACTGGATAATCAGAAAGATGCCAATCGTGGTCAGCGCGATGCCGACGCAGGACACGATCCAGTGGATGTTTGCGTTGCTCGTCCAGCCGAAGAGGAACAGGCCCGCGGGGACGAACCACGTCACGATGAGTGCGGGGATGAGGCGGCGCTCGGGGGCGCCGAGCCCGTTGCGCCGGATCTCGGGCTCGACGACCTTGAAGATGTACGCCCAGTAGGCGGCGATGGCGATGATGACGCCGGCGGTTACGGAGAGGAAGGTGAGTCCCATCTCCCCGAGGTTGAAGTGGTACAGCGTCTCATACACGAGCGGGAACGCCTCGAAGAAGGAGTAGAAGATACCGTAGATGAGCGCGGTGTAGACGGCTGTGAACGCGATGGAGGGGTCGAGCAGGACGAGCTGGAAGGGGCGCCAGAGGGCTTCGACGGCGATTTCGCGGGGCGTCATTTTCGCCTGGTCGATTTCGGACTGGGACTTGAGGCGCGCGTCGCCGGTGAGGGCGCGCAGGCGGGCAGCGCGGCGGAGAAGGATGGTCGCGCTCGAGGTCTCGGGGAGGAAGAGGAAGAGGCTAAGGAAGACGGGGCCGTTGAGCCAGAGCATTTCCCACTGCGACCAGTGCCAGGTCTTCGCCGCGACGGAGAAGCCGGAGATGATGGGGCCAAGTGCCGGCCCGCAGGTTGCGGCAAAAGCCCAGAGACTGAGGACGTACGGCAGTTTGATGATGCTGTAGAGGTCCTGCAGCGTTGCGCCACCCGTCGCGAGGCAGGGACTGCCAAAGAAGCCCTGGAGGAAGCGCAGGACGATCAGGCCGGGGAAGCTGTTGACCAGCGACGAGGGCACCAGCAAGATGACGAAGATCGCGTACGAGATAATATACGGGGGATTCCGCCCAATCACCGGTATCTCACTGAGCGGCGAGAATAGCAACGGACCAATCCCATACGCAAGCACATACATCGACAATCCCATCGACGCGAGCTGCAGGTTGACGCCAAACTGCTCCATGACGCCCGGGATCGAGGGCGAGTATATCGCGCTCCCCATGTAGACGGCCATGGTGTAGATGAGGATCTGCGTCAGGACGACGACTTTCTTCCCGAAGCCCCAGTTCTGCGGGTTCTCCGGGTCGTCAGTCGTGTACCAGTCGACGAGGATGGTGCCATCGCCGCGAACTTCTGGCTCGATGGGCCGGGAGGGCCCTTTTTCTACGGTTGCGAGCGAGAATTGCTGCTCGAGGTCGGCACGTGTGTGCGCTTTGGAGAGTGCTTCCCGAGTGCCTACGCGGGAGATCTGGGATTGCGTGGTGTGTGTCGTACCCGCGGTTCGGATCTTATCGAGATCGGATGTCGAGTCTGAGAGGTCGGCGGATGACTCTTTCTCCTCGGTGTCTTTCTCAGTTTCCGGGCAGACTTCTTCAATGGGGGGGCCTTCGTCGGAGGGAGGCTCCGAGGATGTGCTTGTGGAGTTGACTGGTGCGAAGTTCTTGCCATGTTGCATCTGGACATATGCGGGCTAATCAATGTCAGCATGAACGTATACGAGAAGACTGACAGGTGACTTACAGGGAGCTCAAAGTCATCGCGCTCCTCGGGGTATGGAAGCAGGCGAGGGTTGAAGAACCGAATCGCCTGGCCAATAGGCGCGTCTCTAATGAGGGCCTGCATAGTCGTATCTCTCGGGAATCGTTGTGGATCCTCTCCAGGTAAAGTACGTTTTAGTCGACTGAAGATGACAGTGTTGTGCTATAGGAGAATATTTATTGAGAGGTTATAATCCGAAGCCCGGTCACGTTTCCAAGACAATATTTGAACCGAGTGGATTGATGAACGATATGACACTACGACTTGGACAGACCTTTATCTGTCCCTAGCCTGCACCAACTCCATCCATGGTTTGTTCGTATCTCCATATTCGTCCATTCTTGTACGTGCATGCACTGTAAGCAGCGCGCTCACAAAGCACTACTGTGCGGTGCTTGATGTTAGTAATGCTCCCTCAGTCCTCTTTCCACGAGGAAGCCATCCCAAGCGAGCCGTTGTCATTGGCCGGTCTGCTGAAACTTCCCGACGGCTTTTCGGCGGTAGGGTTTAGGTATCTTGGCGCTGTGCCTTGTGTGGGAAAGCCACACGAAATTTTTGAGGGCCCTGACATTGCTGGAGCCAAGCGGGGATGAAGGCATCTAAGCTCCGTTAGTAATCGCCGGCATGCTAAGCTCGGATGAGTAACACCCTGCATCGGTCTCCTTGTCGTTTCCGCCCGAAGAGGTAAGGCCGCGAAGCAAATCCTTGTGTGATTTTTAATCCGAGCACAATGGCGTCATACATCATGGCGGGCATTACTGTACGTCTACACTAGTGCGGGTGGGTTTGGTGTTGAGGTTTTTCGTCCGCAAGGTGACTCAGGGTGTGGGCCCGTAAAATCTGCAGGGCTGAAGGACTGAAGCGGGGAGCAGAAGGCTTTGGAAAGCTGTTGGTGAGCCGCTTTACAGAGCAACTTCTCACTTAGCAGTCCCTTAAACCGGCAAGGTAGGGGTTGCTGGCTGTGCAGTCTCAGATGAGCCTTGGCTTGAATTCCAAGAGAATCGATATGTACGTGTGACGGATTGCTAGCGCTGCGTAGATTGCCAATGTGGGCGAGCTGGTCCGGTTGCTTCTGCCAGTTACCAGAGGCAAACATGTCCGAAAGGTTGGATTGACGCAGTTTTCTGATGCAAGTTCGATTGGAAGATTAACCTTCAAGTACACTACTTAGACGAGCACGAAGAATTCCGGGACCTTTGATAATCGTACCAATACGGCGAGATCTGCCGTAATCGCACACAATGCACGTGGACAGGATCGGGAGCACATCGGCGCGGGACGAACCGCAAAGATCTCGTGAGGCCTTATTCCTGTTAGCTCCGATCCAGACCTATGGGTACTATGCTGTCAGGTATATATTCCTGCAAGAAGAAGAACGAAAAGTGTATTGTGGAGCCGTGTAAGGGGTATATAGCCGAGCCGTATTCTAGGACAGACAGAAGTGGAGCGCAGAGGGAATAGAAACGCCAGCAATGCGAATACGAGCGCCGTGACCTGAACAGCCCATCCCGACCCATCATAATCCGTATCAACCAATCCCAGATAGTCATTATCAATCGTTCATGCTCCTCCACACACCGAGCTCAGCGCACATGAAATACCTTGAGAACGATGTTGCAAAGCTTCAACACCACATTAACGACAAGCGCGAACGCTGCAACCGGAACCAGAATCTGGAACACCTCGAGGGGATTCTTCGACCGGACCTCCGTCTCAATCCATCCCGCACCTTTGAGCGGTGCTCCCCCGTTGACTGCGGGAGAAGTGCCGCTATCCGCGGGAAACCGCCCGTGCTCGAGGTAGTGCTCGATCAGGTCGTCTTTCTCGCGCCAGCGGTCGAGGAGCCAGTCGCTGAAGGCGGTTTCGGAGTGCGTTGGGATGTCGGCGATGCGGAAGCGGCGCCAATGCATGTTTACGGATTTGGGAGGGCGGCCTTCGAAGTAGGTGGAGCGTAGCGTGAAGAGGTCTTGCCCGTATTGGCCACGCCTGTGGAGAGTGATTTTAGTAGAAAGTAGAGGGACTTGGGGTGGGGAAACAAAGGGGGCTTACGGCACGCCTTCGTACGCGACAGTACAGTCGTACATGTAGTCGACCGTCTTCTCGAGCTCCTGGAGACAGAACAACAGGCCCGTGCTGCGGGGCAGCATGGCATGCTTCAAGTCGGGAATGCCGTTCTTGTCGGCCCACTTCTTGGAGCCCGCGCGGCCGTTGTCGGAGAGGTTGGTGCCCTCGGGGAAGATGAGGAGCCACATGGGATCGAGGTAGGAAGAGCCGGACATGGGGCCCTGGTGGGCGGAGGAGAGCTTGCGCAGGCGATACTGAAAGCGCTCTTTGTCTTTTGCCCACTTGCGCGAGAGGAAGATGAAGCCGTAGAACATCATGCCAGTGCCGAGCACGGGGATGTACTTGATGGACTCTTTGAGGATGATGTAGAGGTGGCCGTGCATCTTGTTGGTGTAGGCGACCCACCAGAGGTAGACCCAGTCGGTGTAGATCTTGGTGGGTTAGTATGACCTGAGCTTTAGACGGGGATACCCCAGAGTTTACCTGGTGGTTCGCAATCAGAACAAGACGCTCTGGGAAGTCTGTCTCGAGTCTCCCGTCCTCGGTCTGTCTCAACTGCCCTCTCACACTCTCATCCCCACTGACTCTCGTCTTCACGGGTGCCCACCAGTGCGTCATGGTGGTGACCAGCACGCCAAACTGCTGCTTCGTCATGGCCATCCACGCATAGAAGTGGTCCCTGCTGTAGAAGTACAGCGGGGCGCCGATGACCTGGGAGACGGCGATGCTGAAGCCCGGAGTTAGCACCCTGGGAGACGGGGTTAGCATGAGGAAATACCTACGCGATGCAGCCTCCATTGAAATACACGAAGAAGAGGAGCATGCGCAGCGCCTGCGTCCAGGTGCCGTGCTTCTCGTTGCCGCTGGGGTGCGCGTCGGCAGGCCCCGAGGCTGGCGGGCTCTTCTCGACGTCTTTCTTGGGCGGCGCGGGGGCTATGGTTGTGGCGGATGCGGGCGGATGCCGCATCTTCAGCTCGGTCGCCATGGTCGAGGGCAGCGCTCGCGCGGGAGCAGGGTCGAAGCGCGTGGTGCGGATGTACGCAGGAGTCGTGGCGGAACACGGCAGGCGTGCGCGTGCCTGTGCCCGAAGACGGTGGCCTGATGGGGTTGCTTACGGCGCGCGGGCGGGCGACGAAGAATAGGGCGAGGGTGCAAGGACAGCGGTGCTGCGAGCGGATAACGTGTGCATGTAGCGAACGGTCCTAGGACTTTGGTTTCCTGCGGCGTGCAAGTGGGGGAGTCTTGGTGATGTGAGCCATGGTGCAACACGGAGCTGACGGGCACTGCCTCTGCCCCACGCTGAGCTCAAGCTCACACGGACGAATAAGTGACCCCGCTAATTATGACAACATGTGAACATGCAGCCCGCCCAAACGCCGATCAGCGCAGGGGCCGCCAAGATTTCTTCTCCAGACGTCCTGTGCTTGTCAACCGTCGCACGGCCATTGCAAGTGCATCTTTCCATGTCCCGTTCCTGCATGTAGTTCACTAAGCACTGTAGACCACGAAAGGAGTTTTGTTTTCGCGACCGCTGCCTCCGTTCTCATCGTCATAGCTAGGTAATGGCAGCTCTGCATCCTGACGAGCTCTGCGCGCGCGACGACCGACCGCAACGATCAACTTCCGTCGCATAGTTGTAGCTTCCACGATGAAGCCTGTACATGTTCCGCGGCCCGTCTGCTCGCGGGGCCTTGCTGCGCGCCAGTTCTCAACGACAGCGCGACGGCGTGTTGTAAAACCCATCACCGACCTCCCCGACCGCGTAAAACCCTCCTTCGTCGAGCGCCCAAATGCCACGCTGCTCTCGCTGCAGTGGCCGTCCCCGCCACGCAACATCCTCATAACGAAGAAAAAGCGCACCCCGGGCATCACCGAGTCCCTCGTAGAATACACCACCCACCTGTCCTCCACCTACCCCGGCATCAACATCATCCTCGAGCCAGAATCCGCTTCAGAGGTCCACGAAACGGTCCCATTCCCAGTCTACACATACGACCCCGCTCCGCCCAACGGCACGCCCGCGCATCTTTCGGACAAAACCGACCTAGTCTGCACCCTCGGCGGCGATGGCACCATCCTCCGCGCGAGCAGTCTATTCTCCCACGCGACTGCTGTCCCACCCGTACTGAGCTTCGCCATGGGCACCATCGGCTTCCTCGGCGAGTGGAAGTTCCGCGAGTACAAGCGGGCCTTCCGCGAAGTCTACATGAGCGGCGCAAGCGACGCGTATGCCCAACTCGAGGGCCCCGAACCCAGCACCACGCCCCCGGCGACATCGATACCCGTCTCGCCAGACGACCCGCTCGACAAGCCCCTCTCCTACGCCGACATCAGGGGCAAAGCCATGGGCTCGAACCGCACTGCCCGCGTCCTGCTCCGCAACCGCCTCAAGGTAGGCGTTTTTGGGCCCGACGGCACGCGCCTCAACAGCAACCTGGACCAAGACACGTACGCGCTCAACGAGATCGTCGTGCACCGCGGCGCATCCCCGCATCTCAAGATCGTCGACGTCTTCGTCGGCGGGAGATTCCTGACCGAGGGCGTGGCCGACGGCATGATCATCAGCTCGCCGACGGGGTCCACCGCCTACAGCCTCTCCAGCGGCGGCTCCATCGTGCACCCGTTGGTGCCCTCGCTCCTGCTCACCCCGATCTGCCCGCGCAGCCTGTCCTTCCGCCCGCTGGTACTCCCCGCCAACACGCCCATCACACTACGCTTAGGAGAAAAGAACCGCGGGCGCGAAGTCGAAGTCTCCATCGATGGGAAGAGCATCACAGGGGGCATGGGCTTCGGCATGGAAGTCCGCGTCCTGGGCGAGCATGTCAAGTCTGAGGCGGGAGAGTGGGTGGGCGGCGTGCCGAGTATTGTGCGCGGCACGGATGGGATTGGGATGGAGCTCAAGGAGGAGGATCACTGGGTAGGGGGGTTGAACGCGCTGCTGAAGTATAACTATCCGTTTGGGGATCAGGATACTTCGGATGGTGGGGGTAGGGCATGATGTGTTGTATAAAGGAGATCGAGTGGGCAAGACGCTGTAAGATATGGAGTGGGACAGACGATATACCCCAGCATTAGCATATGGTCATGTGGTTCTTTTGTTCTATCCGATCCCCACGCAAAATCAGCCATAAATCAAGGCTACCTCATGGACTCTTGAATGTTTCTTCATTTCTGCCTTCCTGCCGTCCTGCCTCGACTTTTCAGCCCAGGCGAACACACGCATCTCCATGCTACCTAAGCTATATACTCATTTGTCGGCACCGTCACATCTTCCCCACGGACAGGTCCCAACCCCATACCCCAGCCATAACGCATCGAAAAAGGCGTCTAGTAAAACAAGTCACGCACCGCCCGCAGCCACCCATGCAGTGAGCTCAAAGAAGATTCGAGCATGTGCGGACAAATCCGAGCACCTACGGCTCAAACCCCTAGAACTTGATACTTTGACTCCGCCGAACGCCTGCGCGCAATAACATTTAACCAAACAGCTCGGATCGTGGCCCAGGAATTCGATAACGCCTGCCAAATTATTGTACAACTCGCTCTGTTCGCACAGAGAAGTAATTACACGGGGATCATTCGTGTGTATGGTCGTTGACTCTGGATCCATCAGGCCTAGATATGGATGCGCATTAGGTCGCCATTTCCAAACGCTTTGCCGCAGTTGGGACACTTCCTGGACCGGTTGGTGAGTCGATCCTGGACACAGCCGTCGCAAAAGACGTGACCGCACGTCTTAATGACCGTGTTCTTGATCTTGTTCTTGCAGATCTGGCACTGTAGCATAGACTAAACGTTCGTTAGGATCGGTATTCAAGTTCTGTTCGCAAGCATGTACGTACCTCCATCAATGCAGTGTGCTCGCTCTGGTTGCCCAAGCTCTTCTGCTTCCAGTGCTCAATCTCCTGCTCCAAACCTTCAACCTTCTCCACCATCTTGTCTCGCTCGACCTCAGCTTCGCGCTTCGCCTTCTTCGCCTCGAGATAAGCGGCGTCTTTGGTTTCGATGTGCTTCTTGAGTTCGGCAATTTGGCTCACGTGCCCTTCGGTAACGATGGCAGCCTCGTTGGTCTTCTGCTGCAACTCCCGATGCTGGCGCGAGAGATCCTCCATCTGAGCCCGCATTTCGGTCGTCTGTTTCTCCAGCTTGTCGACCAAAGATCGACTTAGTGAATCCGCCTCTTTCAGTTGTGCGACAACTTCGGTTCCTTTGGTGGCCTGGGCTCGCAGTACTCGCATTTGCTGTTCCAGGGATTCCTTAGCCTTCATCGCTCCGAAAAACTTCTGGTCAGCCTTCGCCTTATCAGCGTATGCCTTGTTTATATTCTCTTCCCAGGTCGCGGTTTCGGCGATCTTTTTTCCAGCAACAGCTTGGGCCTTCTTCCACGCCGTTTCCATAGCCGGCAACTCGTTGACCACGAGCTGATATTGGCTTTGGAGTGTCTTGAGCTTGTTTTGAAGCTGCTCTGGCGTAAAATTTTCTTGCTCTGTCGATCCTTCTGCTTGATCCTTCTCCGCAATCTGCAAGCGCAATCGCTCGCACTCGGACTCCAATGCAGAGATACGGCTCTCGCAGGCGCTCATGAGCTCTTGAGTCTGCTGCTTCGAGACATCCACATTCTTCTGGGTGGCTTCGTATATGCTGACCTTGGATAATAGCTCATCGCGAGCATGGCGAATACGCGCCAGGTTGGCCTCGGCTTGGACCACATTACCCTCAGACTCGCTAATGGTGGCTCGTGCTTCATCGTCCACCTTGATGCGGTAAGCGGTCCTCTCAGCCTGGTACTTCTGCGCTTCTGTCCGTAATTGGATGTTAGTTGCTTCCAGATGGTTGATGCGCTTAATAACGTCCTCGTGCTGTGACTTGAATGCCTTGAATAAATCCGTTTTGGCGTAGTCGTCGTCGGAGAGGCCAGTTAGTTTAATGTTCAGGGCAGAAACTTCCTCAGTCAACTTCTTATTTTCGGCCTCCAGCTGACGCACGTGTTCCTTGCGTTTTGCGGCTTCGGCCAGCGCTTGTTTCCGATCAGATTCTGACCCTTCTCCGGAACCAGTAGCTTCGACGCCATTCGTTGGTTCCGCACCGTTGCTTGCAGATGGGGTCTCTTCTTTGATGCTAGCATTAGCCAGGGTTTGACTTTCCAGTTTTTGAACTTGTTGGCTCTTTAGACGGTCGAGCTTCTTCTCGGCAATCATATAGCGGTGAGTAGCCGCGACCAATCGTTCAGCCATCTGTTCTTTTTCTGTACCAGCCCGCTGTAGCTCGCATATATGTTCTTTCTCGGACGCTAGAATCTTAGACATTTGCTGCTGCAGGCTGGCGACCTCAGGGCTTGCTGGGGGATATTTGGCGAACAAGGAGGTCAAGGCTGCGAGAATCTTGTCCTTGCGGCCAGACAGGTGTTTGCGCAAGGTGTCGCTGTCCTGAAAGAAAAGGGATGCGGGTATGTTGGAAGCGCCTGCCCTGTTGGTCAGGTACCGTGCCAATACTGCTTTCGAGTCCTGGGGCGTGCACTCACCGTCCTGCTGAGCCGTAGGGAGCTTCTCCCCACTGAGGATCTTAATCTCATCAATCAACTAGCAACCGTCAGCACAGCCCCAGGACATCGAAAGCAGTATGCACTAACCTGATCAAACCATATGTCTATCGTGCGCAGGTGGTCGTCGTGGTGTTGGGAGCGGTTTTCGATCTCGGCGAGCTGAGACTCGATCGTAGCCTTCTCACGTTTGTACTCGCGCATCTGGCGGAGGATAGCATCCTTTTGGAAAGCCTGCACAAATTGTCTAGTCAGCAATCATGTTCGACGACGGCGGTCAGGGCGCAAATGGGGGCGGAGGCGGACCTCGATGTCGTCTTTCCACGGCATGTCAGCGTCTGGATGTGGTCTTACGCCATTCACGGCGACGGCTTGCCTCTTGGCAGGAGGCGCTGTGTCCTCCGAGGCGCTGGGCCGCTTGCGGTCCTCCATCTTGACGGTGTCAAGCGATGGGGGCACGACGGTTCTGGCTTCGAGCCTCATCAGAGCAGTCGAAGCGACGTTGGCGATGGAGTGGCGAAGGCGCGCCTATCAAGTCATGGAACACAAAGGAGAGGTGCACGATCGCCGTTGAAAGAGAGACAGAAGTAAGGGCGCGGGTAATGCGTGTCGTGTGGGTGGTAGCCGGTGGGAAGGGTGAGTGGAGGTGTCCTGGCACTCGCAGATTCAGTTCGCTCCCAGCTCACGTGCACGCTAACGTTGCTTGGCGCGTCTGTGCAGTCCGTGCAGAGGCAGGCGCGTCTTCCCCGCGAATTTCTAGATTGTGACATTGTCGGCCTCGATTCTACAGAAGCAGCACCCAGCAGTTAGTATGTCGGGAGAGGGGGATCAGTTGCAGCCCAAAGCTGTGCCCAAGGCGCCCACCATCACCTCTGCCTTCATCAACAGTCCGTCTTCCTTACACCAGCACCTAGGCTTTGCTAATATTGCACCAGAGGGCGCAAAGACATTCGCGCCCAAGAAGGCGGTTCGACGTCGACCTGCACCTGCCGCGCCTAAGCCACCCTTGCCTTCCACCTCCACTACAGATACCACTTTCGAACCGCCTCCGCAAACCGAATCGCAAACTCGAGCAGATCCTGCCACCGCCGCAGAGCAGAGTCAACCACAACCCGATTCTTCGCCCTCTACCGACCAACAAGCAACCGCGCCGCTTCCCACACCCGCTGCGACCCAAGAGCCCTCCCAGCAAAATGTGCCTCACACCAATCTCGTACATGCATCGTTGACAGCAGTTGCTCCTGGCCCGACCGCCGCATCGTTACCCACACCCGCCTCGGACGAGAATGCCGTACCTCGACCGGAAGATAGCGCCGCTACGTCCACACGACCTACGACACGAATTACCACTCCACCCGTGGCTGCTGCGGAGACAGAGTCTGGGCGACCAGAATCAGAAGTACGCGATGAAGGCCAAGCACAACAGACTGGACCAGACCCAGTTGTTGCCGAACCACTAGTCGCCTCACAAGAAGAGCCAGTACTCTCGACGTCTGGAGGGGGAGTGCGACTGGAGCAGACGACTGATGCTGTCCCAGAACGGGGCCCAGAGATTGCGGCCGAGACCACCGTGGATATCGTTACAGCTATCGAAGACGTCAGTCCAACAACAGAAGCCTTTGTTACCTGTGCAACTCCTTCGGAACCACCTGCAGAGGCCGCATCCTACACAGAATTGCAAAATGCAAGGCCCATTTACACACCTGCTCCACAAGCCACGACGGATGCCACGGGAGAGCGGTCATGGAATGCCGTTAATGCTACAGTTGACCGCGAACAAGCGCCAACGACAACATCACAGCCTCGCAAACCCCCAGGAAGACGCAGGCGGAAGGCGGTCACACTCCGAAATATGGATGAGGAGGAAGGGGAGGAGGAGGAGGCCAGACTGCGAGATACTGGGGGGGTGGGAGATGATTACGTGCCGCCACGACCAGTACGACAAAGTGCAAAGGCCAGAGGCAAGAGAAAAGCGGCAGATGCGACTGTTGGCGAAGAAGATGGCGCCACACAACCACCTCCCAAGAAGAAACGGCAACCCACGAAGGCGAAGGCAAAAGGCCCAACACCCACTGGTTTTGGAAAGGACGTCGCAGCAATAGTAGAGAATGAGGCTGGGGAGAATGTCGAGAATGCGCAAGGCGGAGAAAATGGTCAAAGCGCAGAGAACGGAGAGAACATCTGGGCAGTCACCCACCCGACCCCATCGAGGAAAAGGAAGCGCCAAAGTACTTCGCAACCCAGTGTCGAAGGTGAACAACAACTGAAACGAAAGGGTCGACCTCCGAGAGCGCCGACTCCCTCAGACGCTGAAGATGAGGTCATTGATGAGGACAGCTTCTTTATGGACGATCTTGCGCGGCGAAATGTACGCATTGGAAAGCTGTCGCAACGCGAAAAGAAAATGCGCGAGATCAACTGGGAGGAAGTTAAACAACGTCAAAAAGAAAAAGAAGCCGAGCAAATGAATAGCCGAGCTGTGCATGCGGAGATGGAACGCCAGGCGCAAGAAAAGGAGGACGCAGTTCGTACCGCACAAGAGCAGGTCCGATACGAGAACGTGGGAGGCGAGATGCGGATCGTCCAGGGGTCGGGTCAGGTAAACTACGAAGAAATCGCCGACAATATGTATGCGGAGGAGGTCGTTGAGGAAGACGACTTCACAAACCGCATTACGTCCCGGAGCTTCATGCGGAACAACAAGCGATATCCCGAAGAGTTCCTGTTGCCCGGTCAAGGCAAGCGGTGGGACATCAGAAGCACGCAAGACTTCTACGACGCGCTCAGGATGTTTGGCACTGACTTTGGCATGATGACTACGCTTTTCGAAGGTGTCTCGCGCCGCTCGCTCAAGCTCAAATTCACCCGCGAAGAGCGAAAGCAGCCGGAGGTCATCAAAGAAATTCTGCAGCAGAAGGAGACACGGCTGGGTAACTGGGACGACTTTTTGAAAGCGTCTGGCAAAGAGAACGAGCAGTACGATCGAGTCGAACGGATCAAACAGGAACTAGAGGCCGCAGAGGAGGATGCGAGAAGGCAGATCGAGGAGGCCAAGGCGGAGTATGAAGAGGAGAAGAGGCAGAAGAGATTGGCTGGGTTTATGAGTGACGAAGAAGGAGGCGAAAACGAAGCGGGGAAGCGGAAGAAGGGCAAGAAGGGCAAAGAAAAGCAGGTGACGTTTCAGGATGAGGACGTGGAGGTTCTCGAGGTCGACGAGAACGACGGTTGGGGCGCGGAATAGATATGCAATGGCATCGCTTGAATCGGGTTTGTTGGAGGTGCCGCATTATTTGAGGGACTTTATCGGCGCTTGGATTGTATTGAGATACCCCTAAGCAGTATAAATGCTGCTTTCATGCTTTGATCGTATGTACGACGCAAGATAGCCACGTTCGAATGGTACATTTCTACCAACATGTCTGCACTTGGTTGAGCACATGCCAAGTCGCCCTAGCCGTTCCCGCGCTAGCTCTTTCACAAGAGCTCCCGAAGCGATTACATTCACTCAACTCACTTCACAAGTGCCGCCCGTCGTGAGCCACAGCTGTGAGTATAGAGAATATGTCTCGTCCACTTAACGAATCAGACTTGATATTCCCCACGCAGTCTCTTTCTATCTCCGGGACACTGAATTCTCTGAAGCGATCGGCGCTGTCCACTCATAACCGTCTCTCATCCATACAATTTGATGCGAACTTTGTCGCATCAGTATCCGAATCCTATGGTCTCCCGCTTGTGGCAAATGAGCGGTGCGGAAGCTGGTACATACCTCCTGCGAGAAAAGCTGAGAGCGTGTATTTTAAGAGCACGGATGGGCACACGAACGAGTGGAAGTTCAGTGTCAGGAGACTGAACTTGCAGCTGCTTGATTTGGTCGGCAGAGAGGGCGGGTGCGTCATCGTAGACTCCACACGCCGTGGAAAGAGCATGCCGGATGCGCTCTCGAAAACGGTTCCTGTCTGGTGCTGCGTGATGAACCGCGTGCTCTTCTCAGAAGAGGGAGTCCATGAGCTACACACAGCACCTCAAGCAGTGTCCCAGTCAGAGCATGCACAGATTGAGAGGCGGATAGATGGGTTTGTCCGCGAGTTCCTGGATATATGTAAACCAGATGTCGAACTCTTGCGGAGCACGATCGGGAAAGCAATGCGGCCAATTTGGGTGACGCAGACTTCGAGTATACCGGAGACACCGCCTATTTTCCCGGATTTTCATCCGATAGTGCTATGCACTGCATCACGACGTGTGAACGGCGCTGAGGGGTCCGAAGGCGGGTACATCCAGGGCGCTGCCGATGATCACGAAGCCTGGTCTCAGGGCCTCACGCCGACACTCTTCTGGAGCCACGGAGAGCAATTGCTCAACACAAACGAAGAAGACCTTCCAGACCTTATTAAGAGACTTGTCGAAGGTGAAGCGACTTCCGACGCGGCACCTATTCTCATTAAGCCAACGTCCAACTTGTACATCTCCACTACCCAGAACCTAAATACCACGCCGTTCGACGTGGTCGTTAGCTGCGGCCCCGAACCACTTCCAGGACTGACATCAGGATCGAAAACAAGGTATCTCCACCTCAAATGTCAAACCGGCAAGCTCGGCTCGCGTGACCTCCGCACACAGCTCAAGCGCCTGCCCATCCTAGAAACCTGGCTCCCGCCTGAGCCAACCACCATCGACAAGAAAATCCTCATCTGCGATCCCACAGGCAAAGACCTCGCCGTCGGTACCGCCCTCGCCATCCTTTGCACGTACGCCGACGCCTCCGGCGCACTCACCTTCGTCCCAAACACGCACGCCAGAATCGACAAGAAGACCATCAAGCAGCGGCTCGCATGGCTCGCGACCACGCATCCGACGCTTAACCCCCCGCGAGCAACACTGCAGTCCGTCAACGCGTGGCTCATGCCGAATCCCTCCGAGGCCGCAGCATACGCCTCGCCCTCTCCGCCAAACACATCAGCACCACCAAGCAAACTAACTGCTGCCTCTCTCTTCACAGCCCTCCACGCCTCCTCCCCCTGGACTTTCACCCGAACCCTCACCTCCGCTCTGCCCACCCACCCCTCCGGTACCGTCACCGGCACAGCAACGTTCACGCCCCTACCGTCTTCCCGGCCTGCACTGCTCTACGCCGAGGAGGGAGAGTTCACGACCACGACGGGCATGACGTTTACCACCCGCATGAAGTACGTTTACGTGCTGCGCGGGGAGTTGGACGAGAGGCTGGAGCGGGTGCCAGAGGCGGAGTGGATTGCGGTGCATTTTTGGGCGGAGAAGGCGGGGGATGAGGAGGCGGATGCTGATGGGGTAGGGGGACTGTTTGTGGAAATGGCTTTGCAGGAGGGTGCTGAGGTAGCTGGTGAGGTGGCGAGGATAAGGAATAGGGAGCAGCATCTTTGTGGAAGGGATTTGTATGCTGCGATTTGGGAGGTGCCCGTGGGCGGGGATGGGGTGGGTTGGTGGAAGGTCAGGTATGATGTCAAGGGGCCGAAGAAGGAGTATGTGAGTGAGACGAGGTACAGTGCCGGGACGGGGGTTTGAGTACAGTTTGCCTGCCTGTGTCTGGCTTAGCATGGAGTGACACAATGTACTCCAAGTTCTGTCTGGCTAAGGGGTTTTGAGAAAAGTTTCTGTATCAATAGTTGGGTTGGTGATGCCCAAATTTCGATGGCAGCGCAAGATAGCTAAAGAACATCACGTAGCCTGTGTATACTCACCACGTATTCTTTATTGAATTATTTACCTATACATTGGACAAATATGACCGAAGCTAACTAAAAGATGCCAAATCATGCCGCCGAATTATGCCAGTCTACATACCTCGTCCTGGGTACACTCATGCCGCCCAGATATCTCCCACAAACTCCTTCACGTCCACATACACTATGAAATGCGCAGGTCGACTGTACTCTGGGTATTTATGGTTTAATTTTATGCGAAGAAGGGAATTTACAGAAGCTTTTGTTGTGATCTCGAAGTCCGAGCAAAAAGTACTGAGGAACTCAACGTAGCCCGGGTGTTCATATACAAAGTCATGTCCCACGCAATCCAACCATTACCATGCGTACCCAACCATGCCAATCATGCTTTGAAAACCAGATACCTACCCAGGGTATACTCAGATATCCTCCACAAATTCCTTCTCGCCAAAGACAAAGTCATCCACAACCATACCCCTCATACCCTTCTCAATCCTCTCCACACTTCCATACCGCTCATGGCTAAACCTCTCCCAAACCTCCCCATCGCTCCTCTTAATCCCCATATCCACACCCGGCGGCGCCTGATGCGCCACTGGAACCCAGGCTCCCCTAACACCATCTTCATCCTCCCCACCTCCCTTCTTCACATACACCATCCTCCCATCCCCCACCCCCCGCATCCGTACAATCTCCAAATCCACCTTCCCATCACCCGGCCGCGCAGGCACGATGGGCGGCGGTCCCGCGCGCTTCGTGTGCTTGAAGAGGGCCCTGGGCAGGCCAGGAACGGGCGAGCCATCGCTGGGGATATCGGTGAGAGGGATCGGGAACGAGATGAGGGTGTCGCGCTCCCAGAACTCCTTGGTGAATTTGGGGGTAGAGCCGGGGACTGTGGCCGGGGAGTCGGCGCGGGAGGGTGCGGTTGGGATGGGGTTGCTGATGGGGAGGTGGCGGAGGGAGGGTATCGGGGGCGCAGGGTCGCGTTGGAAGAGGCTCCGGAGCGACTTCTTCGACTTGAGTTTGCGGACGCTAGGAACGGTGTCTTTGGTGGTGCTATCGTTGGTGGAGGAGCGGCCGAGCGAGGACGGCGTGTAGCCTGAGCGGCGGCCAGATGTCGAGGTTGTATGCGTGTCTTTGGATCTAGGTTGAGCGGATGGCGAAGACGACTTGCGCTCGGCGGCTGTGCTGAGATTCGCGAAGTCTGGGGTCGTAGGCGAGGAGGCTTCGCTCTTCGAACTACGAGGAATCGGGCGAAAAGGCAAGGGCGGGTCGAGAGGTGCGGAGCGTGGGATAGCATGCTCATGGACCGAGAAGGGTGTGACTGTCTTGAGGGAGTAAGCGCTTGATGCCTGCTGGAGCGGCTGGGGCTTCTTTCCTTTACTTTTGCCTTTGCTGTCGGTGTCTCCGTTGAACGGCGAGCCAGTGAGATCATACAGCGCCTTCATCTTGTGGTATTCTGCGGCGGGGATGCCAGGTGGGTGGGCAATGTCCGAGCTCACTTTTCCGCCGGGTTCGAACATCTTCTTGCAGCGTATGACATCTGGATGGTCCTTGAACATGGCGCGCAGGTCCTCGTCGGGGACGCCGAAGGTTGTGCCTTCGAATGGCTTTGTGCGAGGCGTGGTCTCCTTGGACGGATACTGCGCCCTATCGACTGTCGTGCGGACGCTCGAGGCTGGGCTTGGACTACGCGACCCGCCGGGCCAGGGAACTGGCTTTGGCGGTGACTCGGGCAGCCCGGGCTCATTGCTCCAGGGCGGACGGACCGGGGCGATTACACGCCGTGGTGACTCCGGTAGTCCCTTCTCGTTGCTCCACGGCGTCATGATAGGCGTGAAGTTCCTGGTAGGTTTCGTCGGCGGACGCTCTAGAACAGAGGTGGTGGAGCGGCCAGTGTCAGGTGTCTCGGCTGAAGCTGAGCTCTCACTCGAAGACGGGAAGATCACCTTTGAAGGCGACCGTCGCAGACTACTCGGCTTGCTGTACGGCGTCGCGATCGGTTGGAACTTGCTCGGCACGGTTGCCTTCGGGTGAGGGACTGCTCGTGAGCCAAAGCCGGAGCCCGCGGTGTCGGGGCGCTGCTCTGAAGATGGCAACCGAGCTGCGACGTCGAACGGACTGAGTGGCTTGTCTTGAGGGAAGAGAGAGTATTTGAACTTCGCTGGGATCGGAGGCACCGGCGGGACTGGAGCGTCCGTAGTCACCACTTTATCCTCGTCGCGCTTCTGGGTCCTGAGACTGAGGATTGATGCTGTTTCTTTGTCAGGCAAAGGCGGTTGAAAGTTACACATCGGTGAGTGGGCAGTAGGTGAGAGACATGCCTACACTTACACTTCTTTTTCACCACCTTGCGCAACGGCTCAGCTGTCAGCGGCTTTTGAGCTTCCCACAGCGCGACCTGAGTGCCTGCTGAATGCGGGCGATCGTGCCGGACCGTGAAGAAGTTTGGCTCGACCGCGGGCTCAATCTTCTTTTCTTCATCCTTGAAAACGCGCGAAGCTATGGCCATTAGTTCCATCAACTTATACATACGGTCGGATCCTCCATCTTAAGTAAATGTACAGCTAGCCACAGCCGGACACAAAAAGCTCAAAATACAACGCAGCATTAGGGAAGTGAGGGTAGTGTGCTAGGGGAAATAGTCAAAGCAGCAAGTCAGTATTACCTTTCTTCTTGATCCTCTCCATTTTGAGAGCGTATTGCGGCGCTGCGTCGCGTTGTGGAGGGAAAGAGAGATATGGCCGCGACGCAGTGAGCGGCCGCTTGCTATTACGACGCGATAGACACGCGCAGAAGGCAGGCGCGTTTGCAAACGCGCATGTGAAGGCAGCTCGCCATATTAAATAAGAGAGGTGAGGTAGGTGACAGTGAAGCTGTGGACTATTGAGAATCGATCCTAGATCGAACGCAAGTCATACCAGGAGGTATCAATTACTTGTCTAACATCCTTATAGCGGACCCTGATATATATACCCACGATAGGCTATAAAACGTCAAGTTGATGACTGTATATTAGACTGAGTTGATATAGGATGAGGTGTGCGCCTACTCATGTTATTAGCTACGAATATATACTGTGAATACCAAGGCTAGGCCAACACACTTCAAATCAGCAACCGTATAGTAAAGTGAGTCCCTACAGGATAAAGTGAACGCATATACTCCTGTTTTACGTGTCAGCCACTGTGTGAGCATTCAGGCCATGTCAATGCACAATGGGCTCACCACCGTAAAGTAGACCGAGTTTATATAGGATAAGGTATACACATACATCACTGTCTCTCAACGCAGAACCTTTATGAACATCGACGCTGGAGTATCATAAGCTAAGTCAATAACCGCATAGTAGATTAAATTAATACAGTGCGTGCTTACGTTCCTGTTTATCGTATCAGTACATTGAGTTGATACAAGATGAAGGACGCACCTACGTTCTCGATTTCCGTAATACTGGTGTAGTTCATACCGGATAACGTATATGAAAGGCCTCGGAATATGTACAGTGAGAGTAGGATGAACCTCACCATCACAAGCCAGCAGTGGGAACCAGTGTTAGACAACAATACTCCTCTGCCCCCAAAGAAGGGACAAAGGTGAGCATCATGCCCAAATATTTTTTGTGTTTTTTGCTTTTATATGTTGTGTAGTGGTAATGGTCGAGCCTGGATCCTTCTCGCGAGGACAGCCGAATTGACGAAGTGACGCCGGTTTCCAAAGCAAAGCCCACCGTAAGCCACTAGAAGACATGCCGATTGAACGAGACGCCTCTATCTACATTCGTCCCGTGATCCTCACCATCGTCCAATCATGCTGTGTGCATGTCTTTCGACGACAGCCATCCAAACAACCGATCACGCCGCAGATGTAATCGCGCCATACCTGCGACCCTGTCAAAACCACAACCAGCACCTAAGTGACTCGCCGGTCACATTCCCCCAAAAACAGTAACGCCTGATACACATATACGAGAAGGTCCGCCAAGGGACGGACATGTCAAACAAACAAGGACAAGAGAAATTGCAATATTGCAATATTGACAGATGGAGGAGGACGCATGAACAGATCGCAAGCTATGCAGGATATCGAACGAGAAGCACAAGACGCCAAAGATCACCGGACGCCGTTCGTATCCCCCGAGCCCAGATTAAGCATACGTTTGAGATTTTGTTCCAAAGCCGCATTGTCACTTTCAGCTTTCCGGGGAGGGGTGGGTGGCGGCTTCGCGCGCACGGAAGAAGGAATGAACGCCATAGCAGTGGTCGATTTGGGGACTGAAGCAGGTGAGCCCGGGACTGCGTGTGCGTAGCCATTTGGTTTCGGATGCGCATGATTGGGGTGAGCCTGGTAGCTGCGCCGGTTAGGGCTGCGCATGTTCTGATTGTTGGGTACGCCTCGGTAAGGTGGAATTGGAGCAATATGCGGCGCCGACCCACGGCGAGGGCCACCCGGGTTGTTTAAAGCATTGCCAATCATGCTCCTCGAATCATTATTCATTACAGAAATAGGTGGAAATCCGCCCTGCGGAACAAGTGGTGAATCCGCAGTGATCTCAGTTCGAAGGCCGGAGTTGCGCTTCGCCGAATCCATTTTGGCAGCTTTGAACTTGGAAGAAAGGTTTTGATTACCATAAACTATCTTTTCATAATCCTCTTGAACTTGGGTTGAAGGTGCAGGCGTAGTAGGACCAGAAGTGCTGCGGAAAGGAGAGGGCCTGCCATCATGGAAAGGAGAGGGACTCTGATGTTGCAAAGCCGGATCAGATGATCCAGTCCTTGGTGGAGTAGAAGAATTGGATTTATTCTGCGACATGGAAAGCCGGTTCATGAGGTCCTGGATGGGATCGGATTCCTTGGGCTGAGCAATAGCCTCCATTTGTGAAATCTTCGAAGGCGCAGTGGCAGATCGGTAGTTACCTGCAGGTGGGGAAAGCGTAGGCTGATTGCTTGCCTCAAGTTCAATGGGAAAGGGGGCATTCAGAGAGCCAAATGAGTCATGCTTGAGGTGCTGCGGCCTGCCGCCGCCTGAAGGAAGATGAGGAAATGAAGCTGATGAGGGGCTGCAGTTGACGTTCCTGGCTCTTTCTGCTCGATCAGCTTTGAACAACAGATCCAGAGGGGAGTTCTGGGCGGAACGCGAGGGGATAGGAATCGGTGCACCGCGCGACGGAGACGGAGAGGGCGAAGAACCGGAGTCAGAACCCTCCTCGGGCGGTGGAGTTGGGGGACCTGTATGCGTCTTGGGAGGGACAGACTTGGAAAGAAACTTGGGAATGGGAAGCGCAGACGGAGCCGGGGAAGCATGAAAGGTAGGACCGGCATATGCGCCCTGGGTCTTGGCGGGAGTTGCGGCAGAATGGCCAGGACCGCCTTCCGTGTCCGCGTAAGGAGCGCCGTTGGGGGAGAATACGCGATCAGTGGATGGTTGGGAGCGGGTATGTTTCTTGGGCTGTCGCGGCCCGACAGGCATGGTTACGTCCTCGCTCGAGAGCACTGCGCTTTCGGAAAGCGATGGGTCCTGGAGCGCATTGCCAGGAATTCCCTGTGGCGCCGTCGCATGGTTTCCATTGTGCGCGCGATTCCCTCTGTTCCTCCTTTGACCCCTGCCGCCATTGTTACTGGGTGATGCAGTGCCGTTCTGCTTCGCGGCGTTGTGCGCCCGCGGCGCGCGTGGAGAGGCTGTAGCCTGTGTGCCCGACATGTAGTAGTATCAGGGATGTATTGTTTGGTTATCGGTATGGGTGGTCGGTGGCTATCTCGAGGGCCGTCGGCGGATGCCCTTGGTCGTGCGCTGAGTGACGGATGATGTGGGTCGGGATGACGAGACAGTGTTCGTGGGGGCGTATAGAGCTGTGGCTAGATGTCTGGAGATTGAAGAGCTCATATCCACTTGTCGAGAGTAATGATGGAAATGGACCGTGTGGTTCGGAGAAAGTGTTGCAGGTAAAGGAGGGGTGTTGTGATGTCGCAAGCGTGAATGAAGTCCGCTAACGCCTTGTTTCTCCCTACGGCCAAGACCGAGCGTGGCGACGGCGCCTGATTGCGGTGTAGGGCTGAGATACAGTTGGAACAGCGCAGAAACGCGTATCTGCTTGGGAGCAGCGTACGTAAACACAATATGTCTTTATGGAAGGCGTTGGTAACCAAATGAATCTTGTGCTCTCGCTGGAATAACCAAACTGTGTTTATGACATATCCCCGGTCCCAGGCAAGAGCGGGGCTTGGCGCGTTCATAGCTGGTAGGCACCACCGGTAGCCTTCACATCGACTTTCACACCGCGCCACCCTCGCACCACAGTCACGAAAGCTACCGCCTAACCGTACACATCTCTGCGCCCGAAATCGACCTCGACAATCAACCTGCACCAACAGCCACCGCATCGTGCTTGCCGGGAACCTACAAGCAGCTCCCCGCATCCCCACGTTCGCGCATACACATCAACACCATGGCGGACGTGCCCATGACAGATGCTCCTGCGCCCCCCAAGGCGAAGGCCCCTAAGGCAGGTGCCGGCGCAGAGGGCGACAAGAAGCGGTTTGAGGTCAAGAAGGTGAGATATGCTGTATCTAACCCCGAATAAGTCGCTGATCAAGCTCCAGTGGAACGCCGTTGCTCTCTGGGCATGGGATATTGTGGTCGACAACTGCGCCATCTGCCGAAACCACATCATGGACTTGTGCATCGAGTGCCAGGCCAACCAGGCATCCGCCACCAGTGAGGAATGCACCGTCGCGTGGGGCATTTGCAATGTACGTCGGTCTCTCTGTTTGTCTTCTCATAGCTAATAGCTACAGCACGCCTTCCACTTCCATTGCATCTCGCGATGGCTCAAGACCCGTCAAGTGTGCCCGCTGGACAACCGAGACTGGGAGTTCCAGAAGTACGGTCGGTAGAGAGGTTCAAGAGACGGTCTTTCGCGCACACATTTCACTGGAGACAAGGTTGGGGATAATTGCTTTATCCTATTGTCCGGCATGCGTAGTACGCACATGACGAACCGTCCTTGCAGTGACATACCCAGTCCGCATGGCGGCAGCGGTATATGTCTAAGACGGATTATGTAGGCGTCCGGGCATATGGTCGGGTTTCATGAGGTAGCATAGCACGGGCAGCAGAAGCCTTTGATGATGGGCTCTATATCAAATCCTGATTGAGCGTCCGTTGGTAATGAGATGCTTCCCAAATCATGGCGTCCGCATATCCTCTCTATCCAACCTTCAACCCATCAACATCAATCCCCCCCACCCCCGCCTGCGCCACATGCGCGGGCAACCACCCCTCAGGGTTCTTGTTGTAAAACGGCCACGGCGGCACAACCGCCAGGAACGTGACCAGCGTGCCCGCAAGCCCAATGTACAGCGTCAGCGTGATGTCCTGCGCCATGAACCCGATGAAGAAGGCGAAGATCTGTTCCTCCTATGAGCGATTATACAATCAAGGGAGAGGAAGCGGAAGGAGAGCGTACGCCGACGGCACCAAGAAGTACGTTCGTGAGGAGCTCGGCTAGGCGCTGGCCTTCGAAGTCCTGCGAATAGTGGTTAGTAGAGCAGGTGGTGGGTGGAACGGGCGACGCACGATTTGGCCCTCCATGGCGTCGCGCACTTGTTCGAGGAGCTGGTCGGCCATTGCGGGCGCTGGTATGGGTTTGGCTGTGGGTTGAAGGGAGCTGAGGTCAAGCAGCGCGCTGGGGTTGGTTTGGCACGGTCTGTAGCGGACGGTTAGGTGGCTACTTCCGCCGCGGTGTAGCACTAGCGCAACAGGCCCGTGCATGGCTGCTCGTACCTGAGTACGAGCACCAAAGATATCAATAGCTTTTGTAGCGTTCTCCTTGAAGAATATACCGTATCATTTTAACTGTCAGGAAACTACAATGGAGCGAGCTCAATGTGTACATGCGAACAGAAGTGAATGTGGCGGAAGGGTCCGGCAATCACACTGCCTCTGCACGTAACAGTCAACCTACACTCAAGCTTGCGACGAGCGGAATGAGGAAAACATCTCTCACGAACGTCTTCAACATCATCCGATCCTTCTGAATGTGCTCAGTCACCTGCCAAGCATACACAGCATGGACATCTCTTTCCGCCCTTCCGGCCGGCTACCCGTGCTTGACCTATTGCTCCTCAGTGGCTAGAACCTTGAGAACATCACGAATCAGCGTAGTCCGCCTGGCACGTTGAGAGACCCAAGAACGAGTGTATGGAAAGGGCGACGCTTGTCCTTGAGTAAGAAGATCCCTAGTGTACAGGGTCAGGGATTATGGCCTGGTTCGAAAGGCGTGCGCATTGTTCCAGAGGTGAACTATTGATGTTGGGATGACTGGTCCCTTTTACCAATGGTGCGTGAAGAAATGACACTCGGTGCTGATGGATACCATCAAAATGTTTGAAATTGTTATAGAGCTGTTCTGAAGGTTCGGGGAGTGTTCATCAGTCTGACGTTGGTACCAGTTATTCGGCGATGAGATAGGTTCACAAGGCACATGTGTAGAATATGCGACCACTATGACGGCGGTGAACGATTATGTGGCTGACGGTAGGGCTGCTTGCTGCAGGGGTGTCAGCCGCAGGCCGCGGCAAGGACACCCACCATGACATCGCTGCAATCCTGATTCGGGCGCTGCGGCCCAGTCCTGGATGCAGTGCAAAGCAAACGGTTGAAACATGGTGGCTCTGGCCATAAGCCGTGACTGACTGGTGTGTTCAGCGTTGCCATTGGCCAGGGCGTACAGCGATTGATTATTCGCGCAGGTTGGCATCGGCCGCGGGCCTTAGTGAAAGAAAACATGCGCCAGTCCAAAGGCGTGGTGTCGAGCTGATCAAGTGCGCCCGGCCCACCACAGACTTTTACTACTCGTCTCGCCGCCTCCCCTCTTCCTCCACAATAACACCGTCCTTCTGGACCCAACTGCTGCACCACCAAATCAAACTGCTACCATCTGCAATCCGGAATTTCTGTATGCTATATCCCGTCCCACCTAAAAATTGCCTGTCGGCGCCCTGTACCCGAAGCGCGACGCTGACTTCCACAAGCCGACCAGACCAAACTGCCCACGTTAGTAGCGACTGGCCGATAACACACGTTCTCGCTCCGTCGCTCTCCAAACCTCCAGCGCTTCCGACGCCACGGCGTCTTAACCTCGAATACCACCAAGTTGGCGGGCCTCTACATTCACAAGTTTTCCTTCGTTCGTCCTCTTCTAGGGCCCAAGGCGTGGGTCTACGGAGGCGACTACAAGAAGCCCCCATAACTGGGCTTTGGCGATACATCCCCTCCTGCGCATTACTGTCGTTACACGAACCTTTCCTTATCCCGGTACTGGGTTAGGAAATCTGGCTATAGTACCATAGATTCCCGAAAGGGCTGAGTGTAGGGTGCGATCCCCTACGCGAAGCCGCCGTCCACGTTGAGCGCACTGTAGAGGTGGGCGCTCACAAGCGACTCACCGGGCAAAGTCGACGCTCTTGCGCCGCAAGAGTCGCTGCTGCTGCGAAGCCTTCACGCTGGCGTAAATATAGAAAAAGAAAGCACAAGAGCCGGAGCCGCATTCGCTTGCCAAAATCGCCAAGATGACTGACACGCCACGATCCGAGAAGTCGCAGACGAGGTACAGCACCCCGGTGTCTGACCTCGATGACCACCGCAACCAGCCGGCATCAATGCCAAGGGCTGATGCCTCCCCAGCTCGCTCCCGCAGGCCAACCTTCGTGAGCGTCCAGGGCGTTTCCGAGCGCCTCACCCCGCTGCACCTTGTCAACGAAGCCCTCGAGGCGCACAATGTTACCGCGCGCGACTTCGAAACCGCCGTCGTGGACGATGACGAGACGCACCTGGCTCCTGATGGGGCATATGGAAGGCGTGGCTCGCTGGCTCACAGCCCCATGGCCCGCCGTGATACCTTCAGGCGGCCTCGAGATCCTACTGTTGAACGTCTGAGGCGCTCCCGGGCATCCTCCACGACGTCGCGATCGACGTCCCCACCCAATTCCGTGGATGCCTTCGGCGATCTTCGACCGCGGCGCCGCGCTGGGACTGTTAACAGCCGTCCTCCGTCTGTTGCAGAGATCGAAGCTGAGCTCCAGCGGACCGTCTCTGGTGGCACACGCCGACGCCCGACCATCAGCGATGAACGCCCTGATATTCATCGTGCCGATACCGCCTCCACGCACAGCTCTGCGGAAGAAGATGTCTGTTTCCCAGTGCAAGAAGATACGGGCAAGACAACCCGGTTCGACTATGAAGAGCTGGAGGAGTTTGTGGTCGAGAATCAAACCAAGACGCCCATCGGCAACCTGCACCGCAAGCCAAGCGTGGAGTCCCGCCTTTCCAGCAAGAAGCCTCGGGTCTTCAACGACCTACGCCCAAAGTCTGGACATTCTACTCCTCCCAAGGCGGATTTGGATGCCATGGCAATCAAAGAAGGCGTTGACCCTGCCATTCAGGAGAAGCTCGCCGAGGAAGGTCTATCCCACATGTTCACCGTCGACAAAACCACCAGCCAAGTGGAGATGCCTCTCAACCGGTGGACTTTCTTCTCGTCCGAGCTGGACGACACCATCCACGCTGCCGAGCTGGGTGGCCTCCTGATGCCTGGCGAACGCTTCCGCGACCTCTTTGAGCCCCCCGCAGAAGCTGGAGTCTGGTGGTTGGACATGGTGAACCCAACAGAAGAGGAAGTATTTGCGATCTGCAAAGCTTTCGGGGTGCATCCCCTTACCCGCGAGGATATTGCAATCCAGGAGCCTCGCGAGAAAGTGGAACTCTTCCACAAGTACTACTTTGTCTGTTTCCGTTCGTTTTTCCAGACCGACAGGGACTCGGAGGACTACCTTGAGCCTATCAACTTCTATGCCGTGGTCTTCAAGGAGGGCATTCTGTCATTTACGTTCACTGAGAGCCCTCATGCGCTCAATGTTCGCAAGCGCATCAGCCGACTTCGGGATTACATCAACCTCAATGCCGATTGGATCTGCTACGCCCTCATTGACGACATCGTTGATAGCTTCGCGCCCGTCCTTCGTACTATCGAGCAAGAGACGGACACCATTGAAGACCAGGTCTTCATTGCACGCATCGAGGACTCTCGCGAGATCCTACGCGCCATCGGCGACTGCCGCAAGAAAGTCATGCAACTGCTCCGTCTTCTCGGCGGCAAAGCAGATGTCATCAAGGGCTTCGCCAAGCGCTGCAATGAATCTTACAGCGTAGCGCCTCGCGGAGACGTCGGGCTCTACCTCAGCGATATCCAGGATCACGTCGTGACGATGATGTCGAACTTGGGCCATTTTGAGAAGATGTTGAGCAGGTCGCACTCCAACTACCTTGCGCAGATCTCGGTCGACCAAGTCATCCAGGGAAACCAGTCCAACATTACGCTCGGTAAGGTCACGGTCATCGCGACCATTCTTGTTCCGCTCAATCTGATTTGCGGTCTGTTCGGCATGAACGTCAAGGTGCCTGGACAGGACGGTAGCATTGCCTGGTTCTTTGGCATCCTTGGGACTATCGTCTTGTTCGTTGCTACGTGCCTGAGTGTTGCCAAGCGCATGAGGTTCATCTGATTTCGATTATGTGTTTGCGACCTTTTGGTCATATACGAGTCCCTGTTTTCACTGCACTGTCTTGTACATGTCGTTCACCATTTTGCTTGTCGTTTTCTTTTTGTTGCAGAGGTGTGCTTAGAGCAAGGTGCGATCGGAAGAGTCCAGTTATACATAGCGCTTAGTGATGGAGAAAGTGCGGGTTCTTACATGTTAGTACTGTTGCTTTCCTTGTATAGATGTTCTAGGTCAATGGATGATGATTGACAAACAATGCGTCCTTTGCCAGTCTTGTTAGATTTGTGAAGCGAGCGCGCGAGAGTACTCGGATGGTTGAGCTGTCAGCCCATCCTCCTTTCTCACGTTCACCGTCCACCGTTGTTTTCAGAGGAGATTATCTCGAACGGAAAACAAAACGTCGATTCTTCCAAGTGTGTGCGGCACCAGAAGTCACGATCAACGGCACAGGTGACCTGCGCGGCGAAAAACGCTCATCCGGCGTCGCGCTACCATCGGAATGGATGCGTTTTCCTGGTTCCGAAAGCGGGAGGTGAAGCCGATTGATGACGTGCTCCCACCAACCAGCTTCGCACCGCGAATGCTCGGGCTGCAGCAGGAAAAAGTGACAAGCAAAGGGCAAGTCTAGCGCTCCTTGCGCCAGTGAAAATGAGAGGATAGACAACAGGGTGCCAACAGGCTCGGAAGGGCGCGGCGACCAGGCGTCGGGCGGCGGTTATCTGTGGAGGCGGCGTCGGACCCTGGTCGAGACTCACGCGGGATTCATCTTCGTGCTTCACATTCACTAGACGCCTCTTCACTTCACCTGACGCTTGCCTCTGATCGCGCCTTCCGCAGACCCTGTCGCGAATACACAAGCACCGCCTGCCTTGCTGCCTGCTCACGGCCCATCCCAACGCCCGACGCCACCGCCGTACCGCCGCAACCTGAGTTCCAACCCAACGTAACGAGTGCGCACCAGCATCCAGACACACGCCCGGAGCTCCCTCCTCGCCCGCACCCGCTCGACGGCCGTCGACATGGCGCAATCCGCAGAGCGCATGCTCATGAACGAGTTCAAGGCGCTGAGCAAGGAGACGTGGACCAACATCGAGGTACGTGCGACACGCCTCAGACCGAGACCTCGCAGCGGGAGACTTGACTGACGGGCGCATAGTTGATCAACGACAATGTGTTTGAGTGGAGCGTCGCGCTCATCGTGCTGAATCCCGACTCGCTCTACTACGGCGGCTACTTCAAGGCGAAGCTCACTTTCCCCAAGACATATCCCTACCAGCCGCCAGGTACGCCACTCCAATCCCCTTCGACACCGCACGAACTAGCTGACAGTAGTTTGCACAGACTTCCAGTTCATCCGCCCCCTCTACCACCCCAACATCTACCCCAACGGCAAGCTCTGCATCTCCATCCTGCACCCGCCCGGCGACGATGAAACCTCGGGCGAAACCGCCGCCGAGCGCTGGTCTCCCGTGCAGCGCGTCGAATCCGTGCTGATTTCCGTGCTGTCGCTCCTCGACGACCCAGAAGTCTCATCTCCCGCCAACGTCGACGCTGGCGTCATGCTGCGCAATGCGCCCGAGGAGTACAAGACGCGCGTCAAGAAGGACCTGGACATCAGCAAGGGGGACATACCCAAGGGGTTCAGCATGCCGACGCACGAGAGCGCGTTTAAGAAAAAGGAAGACGAGGGGGATTTCGATATGAGCTGGGAGGACAGCGATGTCGAGAGCTTTGGGGGGAGTGAGAGTGATTTGGACGGGGATGAGGAGATGGATAGTGATTTTGAGGGGGAGGCGGATGACGATGAGGACGAGGATGAGAAGTAGACGGCTGCGACGATCGATGGAAGTCTGGTGCCCAGAGAAGCGATACGACGGCTACAAAGCGGTGCACGACGACATGGAGGGATGCGCATCTCTTCACTCGGTCCTGCGGTTACAGCCGAGAGCGCGGCGAAACGGAGGACCTCGGACAAACACCCCTCCACCACGCCATCATCACCCCCACTCAACACCAGGATCCTCCCGTCTCTATTTCCTTTCCTCTCCTTCAAACAGCACTCTGCATGCATCGGCGGCGTTTCTGGCGTGGCATTTGGTCTATTTTGCATCGGTCGAAAGGCGGCCAACTCACTTGGGCTTGGAGAGTTGCGGAATCAGGATTATGGCGTATTTTGTAGATATTTGCGTGCATCAGCGACGACTTGAATGGAAAGACATATCTACAGGATACTGGGGGTGTGTGAGGGCGAGGATCGGTGTGAGTGAGGATGAGGATGAAAATGCGGACGCGGACGAGGATGACGTGTGAAGTGTGTGGATGGCGGCGACGCAGCATCGCACCCGTCGCAGAAATCAAGTGGATCTGGACATGCTCATGACATTTGAAGTATACCTTTTTGTCACTGCACTGTTCGTGTGTTGCATTCCGCCACGCCCTGTAGAAGTACGTGAAGCTGCACGCCCAAATCTGCACAGATTGACGAGAGAACAACGGCACATTTCGTCTCGACGATCCAAGCAGATGTCGCAAGAGAACGAAACAGCAAGGTTGCGGAGACGCTTGAATGAGCCGATCCATTTGCCAATGTCGAAGTCATTCGGCGGATGATGAAAGCCAATCTTCAAATGGCAGAGGAGATTGCCAAGACTAGGATCAGGTTCTTCGCTCGGGTCAACGATATTGTGGCGATGGAGATGCTGCATAGCGACGGGGCGGAGAGCGTTGTGGGTTGCGGCCACGTTCATGAGATTGTCGCGCTCGCACTCGTCCACATTGTAGTTTTGGCAATCGAACTATTTCGAGGTCGTCGGCACTTGCAGTGGATTGCATTGATAGAATATAGTGTAAAAGACCCCAAATACTGGGACCTTAAGTGACTTACATATGCAAGGACCTGATCTGGAAGCGCAACCGGGAGCTTCAACGAGCCAGTCGATCGGCGTACAAGGTGAGGAAGTGAGAAAGCCAAAGGGGAACAAGGTTGGTGTATTTACATCCAATGTATCCTATTCTACGCAATGTAATGCTGTGCCATGCTGTGCATCTAATCCTGTACCCCTCACCTCTCTGCCAGAAATAGCGACGGCAGCGATAGCTATACACATGCTCCTCCTGGTTCCTCTGTCCCGCCGTCCTCCCCGAATAGACACAGGAACTCACACCTCCCTCGCCCAATCAACCTCCAACGCCTAACAGGAAAGAAAAAGACCCTTGACAACGGCGCGGTGAAATGCAGCACATACATCCCCCAGCCATGCAATAAAAAAAAGAAAGAAAAAAAAAAAACCCCCCACCATTCTCCTCAACTACTTCGCCACTTCCTCTCCCTCTCCAATAGGAGCCTGGCCATTTCTCTTCCCCCACGCCTTCTCCGCCTCCTTCATTAGACTCTCCAGCTCGCCTGACGTCTCGCACATACTTCTGAAACTCCCACCTTCCTCCCTGATAAGATCATGCGGGTCGCCAAACTGAATCACACTCCCCTTATCCAGCACAAGTACTTTATCATAATCAATAATCGTCTGCAACCGATGCGCAATCGTAATCGTCGTGTTCCGAATCTCCCGAATCGTCTCCTGAATCTTCGTATCTGTCGCGTAGTCGATGCTCGCCGTGGCCTCGTCCATGAGCAGCACCTTGGGCGCCTTGAGCAGCGCCCGCGCCAGGCACAGGAGTTGCCGCTGACCCTGGGAGAGGTTCGAGCCTGACTCGGTGACGGGCGAGTTGAGGTTGCGGAAGGGGTTCTTGTTGTCGGCGTTGAGCGCGAGGGCGGCCGCGCCCGCGGGGTTGTGGGTCGTGGCGCCGGAGGGCATGATGATGACGGTGTCATCGTGGGCTTCGCCATGCTGCCAGTCGCGGTTGGCGAGGATCGAGGATGGGTTCACGGTCGAGGCGGAGTAGCTGCCGTTGACGTCGGCAACGACGGCGCCCGTTGTGGGGTCGGGGATTTCGATAGCTTTGGGTGTGGTGGAGCCTTCGGGGGTGGTGGCGCCGGAAGTTGCGACCGATGAGGTGGAGATGAGGTGCACTTCGCGGAGGGCCTGAAAGATTTCCTCATCGGTGAAAGAGCCAAAGGGGTCAAGGTTGCTGCGAATCGTGCCGGTGAACAAGGTGGGATCCTGGGGGACCATGACGATGTTCTTGCGCAGATCTTGGAGTCCGATCTTGCCGACATCAATGTCATCGACGATGATCTGACCCTCCTCGGCTTCCAAAGCTCGGAAGAGTGCGAGAGCTAGAGAGCTCTTACCAGCGCCGGTGCGACCCACTACACCGACTTTCTCGCCCGGTTTGACTTTGAAACTAACGTTTCGGAGAACAAGGTCGAAATCCGGTCGGTATCTTGTGCTGTAGTTGATAAACTCTACTGCACCCTTGCTTGGCCAGCTGACCGATGGACTGTTCTCTGGTATTACGGCAGGTGCTTCCTGGTCGACGTCCAGATACTCCTTGACGCGCTCCACCGAGTTCATGTTCTGCTCGTTGGAAGAGTACAATCGCACAAACCACAAGACGTTCTCAGTGAACGTCACGGCGTAGGTCAGTGCCAAGCCGGCAGCGCCCGCATCGATACGGCCAACGTTCCGCACCACGAACACTCCCGCGAAAAAAGACACCAGCGCACCAACAACATCAACTCGGAAAGCGAGCCATCTATTAGCGGCCCACAGGTAGATGAACGGCCGGTGCTGGGTGTTGATCTTGGTGAGATTTTCGCGGATGAATCGTCGTTCGTCGCCATAAGCTCGGATGGTCGTCATACCAGAGAGCGTCTCGCCGAACTGCTGGTACAACGGGCTTCGGTGCACGGATTCGAGTCGTTTCAGGTCTCGGGATGAATTCAAGTAGAACATGCCGATCAAAGCGTAGAGTACCGTGATGAAGAAGCCAGCGATGAGGAAGCCCGGGGTGATGACTGAGATCAGGATAACGATGGTGATGATGGATGCAAGACAGTGTACCACACCGATCGCCACAGGAGCCACCTATGTTGGTTAGCAAAGAAATCTTGTAACGATGGATTAGTAGTACATACTTCTTGATCCACGGACTCAATGTCCTTCGAAAATCGGTTCATTAGCTGGCCTAGCGGCGTCTGGTCGAAAAAGCGGAACTTCGCATGTGTAATCTTCTGAATCAGCCTCTCGTGAATCCGCCTCGAAGCTGCCAATGAACCCGCAAACAGAAAACCCTCTCTCACAAACGTGATGAACATGAAAACTATGCCGAGAACAGCATACACAGCAAGGTAGTACGTAGAGTCTACCTCGGTATCGTGCTTCGCGAGATTTGTTTGCATCAAGCTGTAAGAGTATTGGTGGGATGTCGGTTGATTATTATTCAAGTACGGCATAGCCCAGTTGCATGTGCCGCTGTTCAGACAGGTGCCTATTCCATTGAATGTGGGTGCATGCGTAATCGGTGTCTTGTGGTGAGAGCCCATGATCTGCATGTTCTTGTCCGTGTACGCGTTGGCCCAGGATCGGATCCAGATATTAGTGGATACAGAGGATACCTGCTGAGCCGCGAAAGAGATGGCAGCGCCAACCCAGTAGTACCATGGGCCCATAGCCTTCAGATACATAATAATTATGCCGATCTTGACACCTCCTTCAGCCTTGGTCTCTTCTTGCGTATTGCTGACTGGGGTCTTCTTAGGATCTGCGAGGCCGTTCGCACTTCCATTCGCCATACCGTTGGCGTGGTGGGCCTCTTCAGCATCATCGCCCGGCACGTTGACTTTTGAGGGTACCCTTGACGCACCACGAGACACAGGCCTGGATTTCGAGAAGTCATCGCTGAGCTTGCCGGAGTCGATGATCTCGTTGGCTGTACCCTGAGCCGTTATCCTGCCATTTTCCAGCACGACAGCAAAGCCCGCCTCGGGTAGACACAAGCTGACATTGTGAGTGACAAGAATGCATGTACGGTTATACATGAGCGGGCCCATCAATGCTTTGTCGAAAATCCATTTGGCGGTATGGGAGTCGACGGCACTGAGAACATCGTCGAGCAGGACGTGCCGTGCTCTACTGTAAAGAGCACGAGCGAGTGAGATACGCTGTTTTTGGCCTCCCGAAAGCGTGACACCCTTCTCTCCAACAAGCGTCTCGTCTCCAGCATCTAAAATCTCCAAATCGCGCTGAAGGGAACATGCGACAATGACATCCTTATACCGCTTCGCGTCGAACTGGCTCGCAAAAACGATGTTGTCCTTTACTGATCCGTTGACAAGCCATGCCTGCTGCGCACAGTACGCGATGCTTTCCGTTAGTCCAGTCCCCGGGTGAAGCTTTAGATCCTCGCGGCTGCGGCCTCCAGGTAGGTAGACTTCGCCCTTCAGTTTGGTCATTTCTCCGAGCAGAGCCATCAGTAGCGAGGTCTTTCCAGAGCCTGTCGGGCCAGCGATGACGTTCAGGTGACCAACCTTGAAGCGCAGATTAAGGTCCATGAGCTTGAAAGCTTCCGCGGCTGTCTTATCTTGCAGGTCCTTGCCGCCCCAACTGAAAGTGCCATTTTCGAAACCAATGAGAGGCGCGCCATCTGCGTCTTTCTTGTGCGTGACCAACTGAGCGTATTTATCCGTTTCGGGTTCGTTGAGATACTCTTCGATACGATCGACCGAAACCTTGGATTCTTGAACGTGAGCAACCATATCGGCCAATTGATCCAGTGGTATCCTGAGAATCTGGAAGAGAGATAAGGCGGTGAAAGCCACAGATGGCACAAGATCCTTTTTCTCCACCTTAGTGTACACGAGGAACGAGAGGAAAGTAATTAAGATCGGCGTTCCTGACCAAACCGTGGCAGCAATGGCCCAGAGCAGATATCTCTTCTTCAAATGCTTGAGTTCCAGGGTCCGCTTCTCGTTAACCTGCCCGATAAACCGTTGTTCCCATGCGAAGTACTTGATGATGCGGATGTTCGTCAGGACCTCGTTGGTGGTGTGAATCCTAGCATCGGTAGCCGCTGAAATTAATTTCTGGATGCTGGAGAACTGCTTTGACACATAAAGATTGACTGGAAGTAGGAACACCATCATCCCAATGCCCGCAATCGAGCTGTATCCGAGAAGGGTGTATAAAAGTGTGACTGCGCCGATGATCATGACAGGAGTGTTGGCCCACAGGAAATGAAGGTAAGCGCAGATTTCGCTGACCTTGAACGCATCCACGGCCATCAAGTTAATAATGGCTCCAGTCGTGACTTGCGAGTCGGCAGAGCTCTCTTCGTTGTCTTTCTGAGCTTGGTCGGCCTGGGTCGTCTTCTTCTTCTTCCGTCCGAAGGTCATCATCTTCTTCAATCGCCCAGGCTGTGGCTCGTCCTCGCGCTTCTTCTTCTTTCCCTCGCCCAGCACTTTGTCGGCACCCGCACCAGCTCTTCGCTTGAGTGTTTTGGCGTAGATTTCGCCGATGACGATCGCGCGCAAGCGAATGCAAATCTTGCGTCCGACCCACAGCGCGTGGCCATCAGCAAGTGCAGACAGGCATCCGGAGACGAAGAGAAGGATCACGTAAAACCATGCCGCGTTCTTTGGAGTATACTCTGGCGCTTCGACGTACTCCAAGATAGCCTTCAGAAGCAATGTGGGAGCGAAAACGATGACACCTGACAAAGCGGCCCATCCCGCCTGGATCAGTAAACCGCGCTTGAAGTGCTTTAAAAGATGGAATGCCAGAGATGACGTCTTTTTTACTTGTCGATACTCTGCGATTACCGCCGCGGCTTTGTCTTTAGGCGCCAGATTCCACACATCAGATAACTCATATGTCTTCTTGTAACCAGTCCAAACGATGGAATCCACCCACGACCAAGTAGCGAGAGAGAAGACGCTTGCGGTAGGTTCGCGAGAGGGCATGATATCACCCTCGTATTCGAGTTCGACGGCCTTGTTCCCTCTCCTTGAAGATAAAGCTATTACTAAAAGTACTGAGTTGAGAGCGAAATCGGCGATGGTCAAATTCTGGTGAAGAGAGGAGCGAGGATGGATGATGGCGGATCGGAAGACGAGGACGGTCAAGATCCATTGAAATCCGTAGATGAATGCCGTGTGATACCAAAGCCTAGGGAACGATAGCCGGCTTGTGCTTGACAGGAGGAGCCTCAACGAAGCCAACGTCGCAAGATATGCCCACACGACGATGCCAGCAATGGCGGCGATCCTGCCGTTGCGGCCATATGCTTCGGTGAAAAATATCGCCACACGCACACCCAATGCTGCCAACACAGCTATCTCTTCCAGCACGACAACCGTGAGTTCGCCGCGCGGTTTGGTCACCGCCATCGTAGACGTAGTTTGGCGACTGGCGGTCGGATGTAAAGCGAGCTGCTCGTGGCGATCGAACTCGTCGTCATCGCTGGAATCCGGATCGTCGCCATCGTAGTGGCGGCTGTGTATTGACCACGGTTGGAGAGGATCTTGGAGTACCGAGTAGGCGTGATAGTACTTAGACGCTTTCGCTTCCTGGTATAGCTGGAATGCGAGGTAAAGGAGTGACACGGCGCAGAATGCGAGGGGAATCAATGTCTGAAGATAGCTGCCTAAGTTAGCATTGATTCAAGTCAGATGAACAGTTGCGTGTCCTGAAGTCCCCGGACCGCTATGCACAATTTCTGTTGGTGCAAATGTTCCGTTCATTCGGCCCAGCCCCCGATGGTCGCGTACGCGGCGATTTGCGTATGCTGCCTCGGTATTGCGTGCCGCTCGATCATCAATACTTCCACCACCATGCCCATAAGCTTGCCAGCCCAGTAACTGATCGCCGGGATAGATAGGTAGCTTCCAAGCGGTGTTTCCAAGTTCTATGAGACAGGACCATGTTTTGCGGCGCGTGTGGCAATTGGCGCAAAAATGGGAGGCGAGGGGCAATCTGTTGTTCAGCATTGGAGGCACCATCGCTGGGCGAGCCAAATCCTCGAACTCGTGGGTTCATGTCTCAAATCCTAGGATACTACCGAGACCAATTATCCAGCCCTGCAGGACGCTGGCAGCGCCGGGTAAAGCTCTTGACGTAGTCGACCCGGTATCGTGATTCCTGGAACAGAGCAATCCCGCCAGAATGGAATGGAACAGAAAATGCACTTACTCATGCTCAAAGCAGGACGAGAAGTCGTCCAGGCGCCAGAGCGGGCCGTTGCAGCGGGCGAACATGCTTCTCGCGAGGCCTCTTGCGCAGTCCTCTTGTCGCTGTCGAAGGTCGGAAGCAGTCCGCGGTCCCGGCTATGAGCGGCAGCTGCGCATTTGTAGTTCCCCAAATGATAACAAACGCCCCGTCGCGCTTGATGCAATTGGCCCAGGCGTACAGAGAATGTCCGATTCTGGGGCGGCGAAGCAAGCGTGCCCTGCGAAGAATATAATCGAAAGCTCCACTATGGCTCGACGCACTGACGTTGGTCCCGCGCTTGAGTACGTCAGGTTTGCAAACGGGCGGCCGAACGTCCGCGCGCTGGTGTTTGGTCGATTAGCCGACGCTCCGATGTCCACAGCTCTGGGCTTCCGCTTGCAGGGGCCGTGGGAGGATATCTATAGCTGTGGTATGCCAGCCAGCTATGGAACGTACTGTGAAGCTGCAAACCGTCGCAGCGCGGGCAGCAACGTCGTTCCCGGCGCCGGCCCGCCCTACTCACCGCTCTGAGTCACGCCCGCGCATGTGGCTGGTAGCGTGTCGTTCGGTGACCACGGTGCGATAGCAGCAGCTGTTCCCGTGCTGCTGCAGTGTGAATGCATTCCCTGCACAAGTCGCCATACGGAAGGTCGCCCGCTGATCCGCGTATTCGTGCATCCCGATGCGTACACGGGCAGAATACCTATCGGTCCTAACACTGTCGGTAGCCATTGTGCAAGTGCGCAACAAACTCACCGTGAGCAAGACCGCAGGTGAGATGAACAAGGTGCGCCACTGTGCTGACGGCCATCTGACGAGATCGTATCTCGCATCCTCCAAAACCTGGGGAAACCATCACTTCCGATCCACGCCACCGCCCTTTTCAGCGTTGTGTTCCTTGTCGATAGAGCACGCCAGCTTACCTAGATATCGTATGTGAAGTCGGGACCCACCAACATCGTTCTCCGCATGCAACCTTCCTATGCGCGCTTATGCAGATTGCCACCGACCTCTCAGAGTCCCTTGATTACTGGACCCATGCTCTGCGGCCTGCCGTCGTTTATTATCGTGCAGCCGTTATGTGGGGTATGGGACTCCGGTGAGGAAGGGCAGAACAGGGGTCAGCAGAAAGCGAGCTTAGCGATGACAGACGCACGTGAGACTGAGACAGCAACTCTATCCAATGCACTGGGACGAACATGCCATCGAGGCCCTCAACAATTATGGACAAGGATACAGCTGCAGCCTCCGGTTGCTTCAAAGGTACAAGGGGCCGGACATGCAGAGATTGAACGTCAAGGAATTGATGGACGCACGTAGGGCTGGGACAGCAACTCTATCCAACGTAGAAGGACGAACATGTCACTGAACCTCTCAACAATTATGAGCAAGGGTACAATTGCAGCGTCTAATTCGCTGCAAAAGGCAGACGGCACCAGACTTGCAGAAACTGATCGTCAAGGGCGTAGCATGCACACTAATCACGCAAAGGGCGGAAGTCACCGCGGCTGGTGCTCTGACTGGATCTTTGTTATGTACAGTGATGGCTAGGAAATGGTTCAAAGGGTAGTCTACTGTCGCGCCTTTGCTACCGGTACCCATGGCGAGGTCTTGGGCTTGACCCTGCCGAGACTTAGCATGAGTCAATCGATGGAAAGGACAAACATACGTGCTGTACGGCTTGTACCCAGAGCGGCTCCACGTCAACGTGGGGCGGTGCTCCTTGGGCTCCCACTCGCGCACTTGTCGCTGAAGGATAGGGTCCACGGAGGGCGCCTTGTCGACCATGTACGACATCCACGCGTGCCTGCACTTATCAGATGCTGCTGGGGGGATGCTTCAGGGTGGGAACGTACCATCCGGGCTCGATCTGGGAGCTGCAAACGATTAGCGTTGCACGCGAGAGGGGTGTATCACTGCAACTCACGGTTCGAACTCCTTGTCCTTGTAGTCTACCCACCGGGTCCTCACTGCGCCGGAACGTCAATTGACTACACCAAAGCATGTCGGATTCGTGCTCACGTACGCGGGAGCTCATCGGCCAAGTTCTCGTAGTACTTGTTTCCGTACTTGTCTGCGCCTATGAAGGTTCCGGCTTTGGTGTCACCTGCGCCCCGTCAGTCTCTTCGTGTTTTCCCTTCTCGTGCAGACTGGGCATACCGATGTTCTGTGTTCGCGGACGGCAGCGGTTAGCGGCGAGTGCGGCGGAGTGGGAGCTTGGAAGATGGTGTCGCGTACCTGCATCTGGTGGCCATATTCCTGCGAAAGAAGGTCAATTGGGGTCGCAAGTTACAGGGGAAGCTCAAGAGAGTGCGCACCTTAAAGCCAATCTTGCGGAGGTTCCGCAATGTCCTCATAAGCGTCGACATGGTGGCGGGGTTGTAGAGAGGAAGTTCGGAGCTGCGACGCACTCCAAGACGTCGTTGCTTGGCACGTCCGTCCACGACACCCCGAAACGGTTTAGCCCGGGGAAGCGCAACATCAAAACTTCCAGACGCAACAACAGTCACTGCATAGTGCAATTGCAAAATGATAATACGAAGCTTCTTGAGGGTCCAAGGATCTCGAATTGCGTTACGACGCAGCATACCAGTTCGGACACGGCCAGCCCAATGCGCGCGGAGGTATTCGACAGCCAACGCCCCTTCAATGAGTTCCTCAGCGCCTCAATCCCAGGCATCGATGCTGGCCACTATAACGACCGATCTGGATAAGATTGCGCCTAGATTTGAGGTCCAGCCCGAGCAGATAGAAATCTTGAAGACACCGTCGGAGTTCTACGAAACACTAAAGGTCGGTCTCACGTGGTCTCCCATTCACCATACAATCGTTCCAAATTCAAAGAGGCAGACTCTGGCAATGATCGTTACCTCGAATATACAGCTGAACCAAGTCTTAACCTCCCAATTATCCAGCTGATTTTTGATATTCTGTTCCTTCCCACCAATGAAATAAATGACCTCCTAACACGACCCCAGGACAAAATATCAAAAGCCCAATCCCGCATCTACCTCAGCACCCTCTACATCGGCAAAACCGAACATGAACTCATCACCACCATCCGCACCGCCCTCCTCGCCAACCCAAACCTCCGCGTCTCCTTCCTCACCGACGCCCTTCGGGGCACCCGAGAAACCCCACATGCCTCATGTGCCTCGCTCCTCGCGCCCCTCATCGCCGAATTTGGCCCCCGCGTCGAAGTCCGCATGTTCCACACGCCCAACCTAACCGGCATCCGCAAGAAAGTAATCCCTAACCGCATCAACGAGGGCTGGGGCCTGCAGCACATGAAGCTGTACGGCGTCGACGACGAGGTCATTATGAGCGGCGCGAATCTGAGCAGCGACTACTTCACCAACCGCCAGGACCGGTACCACCTCCTCAAGGACGCGCGCCTGGCCGAGTACTTCAGCAAGATCCACGCCGGCGTCGCCGCGCTTTCTTTCGACATCCAGCCCGCCGAGTCGCAGGCTGGGTACACGATGTCCTGGCCGTCTTCAAACCCCGCACCGTCGCCCCTCGCGTCCCCATCCGCTTTTAAAAAGGCCGCCGCGGCGCATCTCAGCCCTCTCCTCACCCCGGCAAACTCCCCCGCCGCCGTCGCAGGCGGCACAAAGACCACCATCTACCCCATCCTCTCCCTCGTCCCCCTCCTCCCCACCGACACCTCCACCGAACTCCCCGCCCTCACGACCATCCTGTCATCCCTCTCCCGCGCCCCCTTCCAGGGAAGCACCTGGACCTTCACCGCAGGCTACTTCAACATGACGCCATCCTTCCGACGCCTCTTACTCTCTACGCGACCAGCCTCTGGCACCGTGCTCACCGCGCACCCCTTCGCGAACGGGTTCTACGGGAGCAAAGGCGTGAGCGGGATGTTGCCGGACGCCTATACACACCTGAGTAAGATGTTCCTCGCCAAAGTACGCCACGCCGGGCTCGATTCCTCCATCTCCTTGAAAGAATGGCAGCGGGGTAAAGTCGGCGACGAGGGCGGGTGGACGTATCATGCGAAGGGGCTGTGGGTTTCGTTCCCTTCCTCTCCTTCTTCGTCCTCGTCTCAGTCTGGCGACGTTGCGGAAAAGGTGCAGCAAGAGGATCCGAGCCTCACCGTCATCGGCTCGAGCAACTACACCAAACGCAGCTACGAACTCGATCTCGAGGCCAACGTGGTGATTGCAACGAGCGACCCCGGGTTGCGGGAAAGGCTCGGCGAAGAGGTGAAGTGGCTCGGGGAGTACGCGAGCAGGGTGGACGAGAGGGAGTTTGAGAAGCCGGAGAGGAGGGTCGGAGTTAGTGTGCGGTTATCGATGTGGCTGGTGAGGGTGCTGGGTGGGGCTTTGTAGGGGCGTTGTACATGCGTGTAGACTAGGCTGTAAGATATATGGGCTCGGGAGCGCTGCATTACGTGTTGTGTCGATAGAGCTGGGGAGAAGAACTGCATCCGGATCTCGTTACTCTAGATTACGATATACAATAAGATTGCCACCAGTTCGTCAAATCACAGCACATTGTTTTCAAAAGGTTACGGCGTCTGCCTCACGCAGCCAGCATCCGGCGGTGATATCTAAGCGTCCGTCTGCCTGTACGCCCTCGTCTCTCCACCCCAACCAAGGTGTCCCAATGCCTAAATGCTAAATGCCAAACAAGAAAGTCGCCCTTCGCCCATTAACCCCACCCACATTACACCGTCCCCGCGATGCTCAGATCGCGAATCTCCTGCAGCACCTCCTCGACCTTTGCGTCCAGCTCGCCCTGTGCGTACTGATCTCTTGTGTCGGCGTCGAGATACTGCTGCACCTGCGCCATCCGCGAGTACGCCTCGGCGCAGAAGCGGAGCTGGATCTTGACGAGTGCCTCGAAGCTGGGATCCAGGTATGGCACGCGCAGGTCGATGAGCTGCGGCAGCTCTGTCGTCAGCATCTCATTCAGCTGGTCGTACGAGGCCTTTGCCATCTGCTCGTCCTTCTCGGCGCGCGGCAGCTTGGTCACGTCCTTGTCGGGCTTGTCGGTCAGCTTCTTGACCTGGGCGCGCGTGCGGTCGTAGTCGAGGGCCTTGTGGTCGCGCTTGGTGATGCAGGCGTTGATGTCGGGGAAGTAGGAGCAGAAGCGCTGGATGGGGTCGAGCACGGTGGTGCGGTACGGCCCGTCGAGGGCTTTTATCGTCTCGGCGTCGAGGTCGGTGACGGCCTGCTTGTAGGAGCGCGAGACGCCGTCCTTGGCCCCGGCGTCGCCGTAGAAGGCGTCGATGGTCTCGGCGATGCGCATCTGCGAGGCCGTCATGGCGCGCAGCGAGTCGAGGTAGCCCTTGGCCTCTTTCTGGAGCTTGTTGGCGGCCGTTTCCATGGTGCGGTAGCGGCTGCGCGCATGTCAGGGCTGTGCGAGGGCGGGAGGGGGACGACGGGGGCATACCGCAGCTCCGTTTCGTAGTCGCGGTCATTTGTGCGCTCGACCTGGCCTGTTTTCATGAGCACCTGCGTCGTCGCGCGGTTGACGCCCTTCTTGAAGCCTGCGCGGGTGTGAGCATCGTGGTCCCGGTTGCGGGGGAGAGGGCAGCGTGCGACGGACCGGTCCAGGACATGGCGGAGGCGTGGCACTAGACACGTAGGAACTATCGAGGTGTATATGCGGCGGGTCGCTCTGCGCGGAAAAGAGAAGCACTCGTGGGAGTGGGTGGGGTGGGCGTGGTGGTGGTTTGGGGGAGGTTCCTGGGCGGCCTGCGCCACAAATGACGAAGCCGCGCTGCTTTGTTAGTGGCGCCGTCCGCCGTGACTTTGCCAACGCTGCAACGCCCACGTCAATGCTCTCACGACAGTCGCCGCGCGCCTTGCGGAGGGCCCAATCGCTCCGATGGCCGCCCAATGCCGTGTCTCGCCGCGCCGAGGCGACCGGCACGTCTTCCCAGTATTTTCACAGCATCAACGCGCCCGACGCTCCTTCAGAACGTGCTCCTCCGCATAGTACTTCTGTCCAGGCTCAAAAATGTAAGGATAGGCAATGGACGAGGGCGCCGAGAATCATCTTCTCCGGTATTCAGCCCACGGGCGTCCCGCATCTGGGCAACTATCTTGGGGCGCTGCGCGCATGGGTCAAGCTGCAAGACGAAGGACTCGACGACGACAAGCGATTTTTTTCCATCGTGGACCTCCATGCCATCACCGTTCCCCAGGACCCGCACACGCTGCTTCGGCGAAAGAACGAGACGTACGCATCATTGCTAGCCATCGGCTTGGATCCCAACAAGAGCTTGATATTCATGCAGAGCGCCAACCCTGCGCACAGCGAGCTGATGTGGCTTTTGAGCTGCCACGCAAGCATGGGCTACCTAGGACGGATGACACAGTGGAAGGTGCATTACGTCTTTTCGACTCCACAAAAGGCACCGGACTGACTGTTCACAGAGCAAAGCCGGCGTGGCCGACGATGCGGACCCTCTGGAGTCTGCCCCCAACAAGCCCGCCCTCAAGCTCGGCCTATTCTCCTACCCCGTCCTCCAAGCCGCTGATGTCCTCCTCTACAATGCAACCCATGTTCCTGTTGGCGAGGATCAAGCGCAGCACCTCGAGTTCACGCGCGAGCTTGCGCAGAGCTTCAATCACATATATGCCCGACCCGACGCCGATCCGACAGAAGTCGAGGCTTTTAGGGGCTTCAACATACCGCGGACCATTCTCTCTCCTGCCAAGCGCGTCATGTCGCTCCAAGACCCCACCAAAAAGATGTCAAAGTCGGACCCAGACGAGCGGTCGCGCATCCTCATCACCGACACCCGCGAGCAGATCCAAGCCAAGATCAAAGCTGCCCTTACCGATTCCACGCCCGGAATCTCGTACGACCGCGAACTGCGGCCCGGCGTTTCCAACTTGCTAGACATCATGTACTACATGGACCAAAGCAAGTACGAATCTCCCATGGCCATTGCCCGTGATTTCACAAATGTCAGCATGAGAGCCCTAAAAGAGGGGGTCGCAACCGCGGTTGCCGACCACCTTGAACCGATACGGGAGCGCTACAACGAGCAGATAGCGCGGTCACAGGAGGACGTCGACACGGAGAGATGGAATAGCGGGCGAATCGTGGGAGCCCAATCCGATCGGAACATTCAGAGAGTGAAGCAGGCAATGGGCTTGCGTCCAGTAGGACCGCTGACATCTCCCGAGTAGAGCGATAAACGTGAATCTCGCTTTAACCTCATCGACATCCAGTCATCAAGAACTTGCTTTCGGTCGACGCGCCTCGCATTGTATCAGTGTACGAGAGATGTATTATATAGCGGCAGGGACGGCTATGTTCAGGCTAGGGCGCTACCTGTCGTGCACATGTCCCGCAGCCCCTTCTTTTTCCAATAACATGTACGAAACTGTGTAAATTATATGTACAAATTAGATTAGACTTGAAGACGCTATGTACTCTACTCATACAAGCCGTGGCAGAATGCAGTACATGTCGGCACCCTTTCAACACCACTCTTTTGGACAGGGGCAATTTTCGCCCTCTGTGTGATAGTTCCAGAACATTTGATAACTAAATCACAAGCTAGGAGGCCGGCATTCCCGTCCTATAGCATTGGACTGACAATCACGAACCTCTCTCTCACTGCCACTGTTTCCTTCCCTCTGGATGCAAGCTGTCCGTCCTCGTCTGGCGTTTTGGCGGTCTATTGATAGGTGGCTGTCCAGATACCCTCTCTCTAGCCCGCCCATCCAGCCCCGTGTGTGGAAAAGGGTAAAGTTGGAAAAATGGGAGGTAGGGAGGGAGGCGTGCATGTGATGAGTTTGCCAGAAAGAAGGGCGCACAAGCAGCTGGGATGTCGGAAACAGCCGTGGGAGCGGAAGCGCTGCGTGACCCAGTACGTGTCGACTTGAATGCACTCCTTCTTTCCAAGCGCCTTGGAGATGGGCCGCTCGATAGATTCCGCGGACGCGAACACGGGGAGGGGTATCTACGTGCTCGCATATCAGAACCGCGCGAAATGCAAGCGTGCGTTGCATCCCACATGCAGCTCCGACTGTATCTTTGATGCGATAGTTATGGGGTTATACCTGGTCGTGCAATGCGGCGACTCGAGATAGCGGGCGCTTTCCTGCCCTTGCTTTCCCATCTTGCGGTCAGGCTGCCGATTCCTCCGCGCCTGACTAACGGTCTGGGCATCCCAATGCCTACATACTGAAAAGACCTTGATAGCTTACTCACCTCGTGTGACTGAGCGCGCTCTCATCCTTCGGATGCATTGTTTGGGGTGAGGACAGAACCGAGGAATGGAGTGAGCAATCGAGGAAGTAGTTGACAGGTCGAGCTGTGGCTTGGATCGTGGGCGGCTGGGAATGCATATGGAAAGCGCAGGAGAAGGGGGATGTAAGATGGTGGCAGGTGGTGGTGTAGATTACGATTTATAAGATCAGGTAGGAGGTGTGTTAGGGAAGGAAAGGGTGTGTGTGGGTGTATGTAGAGTAGTACGAGCGACGCGGTGGCGCGTGATGGCATGGGCGGCGTGGCATTTGAGGAGGAGGCTGGGAGCTCTGAACAATGTTAGTGGGATGCAGGAGTTGATTACCCAGTTCTAGGATTAGGCGTGTGGTGTAAGTACCTTTGATTTGATGGCGAAGTTATGGTTGTGTGGGTGTTTAGACTCAAAAACACCAACCAAGGCATTGGTGTTTTAGGGAGGAGCGATATATGGTTAGTGTAAGGTCGTAATTAGGCTGGGGAGCCTCAAAAAGGGCGTGAAGTTGACTCTGGGTGGGATAAAGCGTTTCGTTCGTTCACTGTCGTCCCTCACTCGAGCACAGTGTCGCTCTGATCTTGTAGAGAGACGAATGTGTCTTGTAGCATAGAATATCGCATCTGAGGCATGTGCATGCGTAGTATGGTGAGCTAAGTACTCAGCAACGTGATATAGCATTGTACCGTAAGTTTGAAAGATCTAGTAAGCTGGATTATGTGGCCGGCTGTCATTGTGTTGGTGACAGACCGCTCCCGGTATTGAGCCTCTGACCCTGCTACGTGAGATAGACGGCATAGGAGTCGTAGCTATACTGAAGAAGTTTTCTCTTGTGTGATGGCTTGTCGATTACCTTGACGTGACCAATGCAGGCGTTATACGTGCTGCGATCGTATGGTCTATCCAGTCCTTGCCACAAACAAGCATGGATATGTGATCTGTAATATGAACAGCCTTTGATATAGCGAGGCGGGTTCGCTCAGCAGGCTTGCTATGTAGCCCCGACGTTGGCTTTGCTTGCAAACGCAGCTCAAATCAAAAACTTGTACGCGCTGATCCCTAATACGATCAAGTGAATCATCAACTAGGTTTGATCAAGACCCTTCTAATATGTACATAGACGTATCGAAAAAACGCACGTGGCGGAAAATTCACGTCTCAGCCTGCTCTTTCACTCGATAGGGAGAGTCGGTCGAATCGGGCTTAGCGCATATCCCAAAGCGCATTGGAGTGGCACCTACCTCCATGTCTTCGGGTGGTACTTGGATGCGACGCGGCCTTTCATAAAAAACAAAGAGAATATTCGAAGCCGCATTCGACAGTCACGACGTTGTTCGTGCAGCACGTGACGGCGCGATTCGCGTTCGGATGTGGTGACGTCATCACATCTGGTGCCTGCCAAGTTCTTCCTCTCTCAAACAAGCTCACCCTCTAGCGGCACGGGTATCGGCACGCTTACCCCAGATCATCATATGCCGCTGCCTGCATCAATATCTTGCCTTCATCTGGACGAAACTCCTTCTTTCTCTTCAGCAGTCACACGTCGTACTCGGCCGTTCGTACCACATCAGGATATCGCACCTACATCTCAGTCAGCATGGTTGCTTCAAGACACAGAGACCTGTTTCGCAGCACTTCAGGACGTGACCAGCAGCAGTATCGACATCTAGACTTGGAAAACGGCAATGGCAACCCCTACACACCACATCCGCGACAGCGTTTCCGTGATGCCATCGACGCTACCATGACCAAGCAGCATGCAATTGACCTAAAGAAGCAACTATTAGAAAACGTGGACAGCAATGCGCTCGAAAAGTTTAGGAAAAGCGACGAAGAGCTGAAGAAGATCAGCAACAAAAAGCTTCGCAAGTTCTACGAAGACCAGAACACGCGGCTGGACGACTGGCTTGAAGTCGACTCCATCGTTTCCGCGCTCGCCGATGATGTCCTGGACAGCATGAACCCCCGAGACCTGGACCACGACGGCGTTGCAGAAGACCGAGGCCCTTTGGGCCTCAGCGAAGACCGTGTAGAGTGCTTCTTGCCCGACGAAGAGCGCGAACGCCGCCGAAAATCTGCTAGAAACGTCAAATGGGCCATCAACATCAACGTCATCGTCAACATCCTCCTCCTCGCCGCCAAAGCTATCGCAGCCATCTGGTCCAACTCGCTCTCCCTCATCGCTTCGCTCGTTGACTCCGCCCTCGACCTCCTCTGCACCATCATCATCTGGTCCACCAACCGCCTCGTCGGATGGAAACTCGACCGCCTCAAAGCGCGCTTTCCCGTCGGCCGCCGCCGTCTCGAACCCATCGGTATCCTCGTTTTCTCCATCATCATGATCGTCTCTTTCCTCCAGATCCTCCAAGAATCGGTGTCCAAGCTGCTTCCCTCAGGCGACCACACGACCGCGACTCTCCCGCCGGCAGCAATCGGCTCGATGGTCGCCACCATCGTCGTAAAAGGCACCATCTGGATCGGCTGCGCGCGCATCAAGACGACGCAAGTCCAGGCCCTCGCGCAGGACTGCAAAACAGACGTCTACTTCAACACGCTGTCTCTCGCATTCCCGCTCATCGGCGCCCAAGCAGATATCTGGTGGCTCGACCCCGTCGGCGCATCCATCCTCTCCCTCTTCATCATCTATGATTGGGCCGGTACCATGCTTGAGAACGTGACCCGATTGTCCGGCCAAGCTGCTGACGACCGCACGCAAAGAAAGATGATGTTCATGGCGTGGCGGTTTGCGCCGCTCGTGCAGGGGTACAAGAGCATCAAGAGCTACCACGCGGGCGACGGTGTGTGGGTGGAGATGGATGTGTTGATGGATCCGAAGGCGCCGTTGAGAAAGTGCCATGATATTGCGGAGACGCTGCAGTATTGCACTGAGGGACTGGGGGAGGTGGATCGCGCGTTTGTGACGATGGATTATACGAGCCAGGGTCCGACAGGGCATGCGGCGGAGAATGAGTAATATTGGCAAAGTGCATAAACGATTGTTTGTATTGTTTTGTATTGCACTGTTCTGCATAGTTCTGCCTGGCTGAGCTGGACGCTGCTGGCTTTCCTGCTTCTGTCGATTCTTTTGGATTCTGTAGGGTTCGTTGTTTGCATTGCGCGGTTTGGCATTTCCGGGCGCCTGTATCAGTAGTCACTTCGCATTTGCTATTGCCTAGGGATTTTGGACCTACCCCTTCAAATATTCAAAAGTTTACGTAGTCAACTTGCAGCGGGCATGTTTCATGTGTTATATGCCCAATCATAAACACAGGTACTTCCAGCAGATGCTACCCGTGATCCCGAGTCTCGTATCTGATGCTGAACATGGGATATTGGTATCCACGTCTCAGAACCATCTGATGCAGAAGTCTGACTCGAGGCCGTGCTAGGGGCATCAGCTTACATGTGCACACATCGGCATTGTCCAGAATTACCAGGCTAGAAGCCTGATCTCAGGACCCGGTCGTTTGACGGTAAGCTTGTCTTCCCACCGCCATCAACACTCCGCATACCTGGGCCATTAGGCCGTTTATCTGCATGGCCGAATAGGTCACATCAATATCCGGCACGTGAGCAACACAGTCAAACGGCGGTCCTAGCAACCCTCTCCTTTTTCAGAGTTGTCACACCCCAGCTCACTCCCGCCGCCTCACTGCCTCCCCGTATTTTCCCTCGTATCGTTAACATGCAACCCTTCCCTCTCATTCCCCATCAACCTCGCCAGCGTCACCGCCTCCCTCAACGCCTTCCCCAACGCGCCCCTCACCCCCATCTCCTCCATCACCATGATCCCCCCAATCGTGCACCCCTCCGGACTCGTCCCCATATCACGCAGCTCCCCAGGCTGGATCCCGCTCTGCAGCATCGCCGCCGAGCCCCGCATGCTCTGGTATATCATGTCCTGTGCGGCTTTCCGGGGGACGCCTACCGCGACCGAGGCATCGACGAAGGCGTCACAGATGATGGCCCAGAAGGCGGGCGTGGAGCCACCGATCGCGGATGCGGGGCCCATGAGCTTCGGCGCGAGTTGCACGGTGCGGCCGATTTGGTTGAAGATGGCTTCGCAGGTTTTGATGTGTTTGTGGGGGGTGTCGGGGTCGGGGTCTTCGATTGCGGTGAGGGATTGGGAGACTTGGGCTGCGACGTTGGGGAGGGTGCGGAGGACCCAAGTTCTCGAGTCGTTGCTGGGGGAGCCTTGGGTAGAGGAGATGATTTTTTCGAGAGTTTCGCGCGCCCAGCCTGCCGCGATGCTGATGAGGAGTTTGCCTTTGAGAGCTGCCCCGACGCCGTCCTGCTTGAGTGTTGCTTCGACGTCCGCGGGATCCACGCCCAGGATTATGACGGAGGCATCTGACACTGCTTTGGCGTTTTGGCCGCGCGAGATGACTAGTTTCCCGGACTCTTTCTCCTTGGGGAAGCGCTTTGATAATCGTTCTTCCGATGCAGCGCTGTGCACGCAGGCTACGTAATTTGTGAATTGCACCCGAGCACTTTCTGGTGCTCCCATCAAACTACTCAGAATCGGTGTCCCTAGATTGCCTGGAAATACATGTTAGGCGATTGGTTCGTCGTTGAGGAGCTTTCCTACACACCGCAGCCAAGAATGCATAGAGTGGTGTCAGCCATGTTGCCTTTTCAGTCTGTCCCTCAATCTGCTCTACAATGAGAAAAAAATGTTGCTTCAGGGATTTCTGGTGGTAGGTTTTGTTTATCGCAGCTGTTGTTAGCCGACGTTATCCTCTCTCGTAGCCCGAAGTCGCAACGGCTGCCACGCCGATTGGGTGCCCCTCCCCCACATCGCGCTACGTCACGATCGCTCAACTACACCATCAAACAATAATCACGGTGACATTTCATTAATAGGGCGTGCTAATGAACAGGAAACCATCCGTATGAGCAGAGTGATATCCTTTGAGCAGCCTACAGAAGGCCTCATTATGAGAGCTTGTAGCAATCTCATGGTCAGAGACCCTTCACTGCCCAAGCGGCTCAAAGGAACTTGCATGTCCTGAGATGACAGAAGATTTGACCTCTATGCTTTCGACTTGTCCTACGAGCGCGATGTGCGGCTTCCGATCGCAGCTTAAGATACCTATCCAAAGGAGCAAGAAGACACATCTCACCACAACGAAGCTTATCAAAATTCATCATTCGAATTTATTCATGCTCATTCGTAAAACTCGTGATTTGCAATCCCCTCTACGACCGTCCCAAGCCCAGTCGTCTCCAAACCTCCTTCTTCAACGCATTGAACTCATCCTTGGTCCTCAAGACCGCATCCCTATTCTCCACCGCTCTCCGTAAAAGGTACGCCACGCACTCACCCATACTGCCCCAAGTCGAGCACTTGAACACATCAGGTGCCTTCCCATCCGCACACTGTTCCTTCAACAGCGAAAACCCAACCTCGTCGGACATACCGTGCAGCTGCGCGAATGCAATCGGCACAGTGGGCAACCCGTCTTTCTCCCGCTGCGCTTGTAACCGCTGTGCCGTGATGAGGCTGTGCTTGTTGTGGCTGGCCAGGAACAGGTTGGTCGCCGGGAATGGCCGCGAGACACCAAAGTCCCAGAGCTTCTGGTGGAGCGCGCCGTCCACGATGCCGTTGTACGCAGCGTCGGTGTCCTCTTTTGTATCGTGGATCAGAGACCGGTCGTCAGAAAGAATGTATGCCCCCCGAACGAGCTTCAGACCCAGAGTGAAGCCGTCCTTCTCTGCCTCGGCGAGATGCTGTTGTAGGTACTTAGGCTGGTTCTTGAGATACGCCTGGTACGTGTTGTAGATGACGACAGTAGGCTCGCGGTTGAACTTCCGCATCAGCTCCAGCGCGGTGCGTGCGATGCCCTTCTGGAAGTACTGCGACTCGGCGTCGACAATGATCTGGATGCCGCGCTCCTTGCACCTGGTCGCGATTTCGTCCAGGGCATCCATCATCTGCTGCGGAGGTAGCTCGCCCCTGTGGAAGGCTTCTCCCACAGTGGGCCCGCCGCCGGTGGTCTTGAGCGCAAGGATGTCGCCTTTCTCGATCATGTCGACCGTGGCGAGCGTTCCTACGCGCCACTCTTCTATCAATTGGTCGTGTGCTGCTACAGTCTCTACTTTTGCTGCTTGCTCAGGGGGGGCTTCTGGTGCTTTGTTCCTGTGGTCGAACACCATTTCCTTGGCGAACGTGAGGATAATTCCCTTGAAGCCGAGATCGGTCAAAGCCTTGCAGCATGCCTTAGTTTCTTGCTTCGACTCGCCGGCACAGAACTGGTTATAAAACGTCTTCTTGAGGATTCCGTGGAGGACAGGGTTCCGGTCTACATTGAAAAGGTAGCTCCGCCCCGGCTTCGAGAAGAAAGACAGTAATTTCAGTGAGGGTATCAAAAGGTATTTTTTAGAAGATATGGTCGCAATGAAGAAAGATCGGAGGAGCATCTCGAGTGGCATCTTAGCTCTGACGAGAGGGTTAGTAGGGATGTTCATGTTTCTTTCAATGTCCGTGCAAACGGAGAGGAGGGGTCTTGAAAACTTACAATGGTGCGTCTGATGCTGCTGCCTCGGGAGGCAGTACTTTAGTTGTATGTGGCGTCGCTACCGTATCATTGTTCACATGTGTCGGTGCTCCGACACTCCTCGACGACGGAATGACCCCTGTGTGCCACCGTACCTGGAGGTAAGATACAGTGGCGAAGCCATCCTTTGGTAATCTTCTTGAAGTTATAGTCCCAATGCGGTATGGTAGCATTTTTGCTCAGGGAAGCGTCTTTCAGAGTAAGAGTGAAGAATCGTTCAGTGAGCAAGTCAGCTGGCAACAACCTCAACATGAGATAACCATCCTCATGTACTCACTGTACACCCCACCTAGCCGCCCACGGACATCTCAAAGCGACAACCCCGCACCTGCCTCTCCAGCGAGATCGGTGCTTCCGTAGACACCGTAGACCATCTCGTGACCCCTAGCATGCCCATCCCGATAAGCAGTCATACACCGGGCAGGCAGCCGATTCGCATAGCGCCGCGTTTAGCTTGCCGCACCCTCCAAGCGGATGACACGTGTAGTGCGTGATCGATAAGGGAATAATGATCCGGGGCCGGTTGCTCTGGACCCTGCTTCTGTAGGAGCCGATGGTAGCCTTCTGGAACTGACTATCGAACCGCCGCCGGATTTGGCGGGGTATCTTGCATGCGACGAACATTACAGCCAGGGGCTCGAGATCGGGAGGCTGCATTGGTGCTATTGGTACCTCAAGCTTAAGATAGCTGCCCAATCTGGATGCCGCAGTTTGTGTGGCTGTTGTGTCACAATGAGTTGGTTTTGAAGTGGGGGATTGTCGTGATGCTCGTGGTGTGCATCCCTTGATTGGCTACCTGCACAATCGTAATCGTATTCAGTTGCCTAATCTGGCCTTCGCTTATGCGGTATACACTCCGAAAGAAAGCTTCTACCGTCGCTTCCGCATGTTCTTTATTCTCCGCTTTGTGTGTAGCCTTTCTATGTTCTATAGAGAGGTGAGATTGCTACTGATCGATGCAAACGCATGTTCGCCTTGATTTACAATCATGGAACTAATAGTCCAACAACCTTGATACCAAAAATGCGTTCATCCGTCCAAGTATCTATGTATAAGCCGTGGATTAACTATCAACGCAACTGGTTCTATGGTTGGGATACTTAATCAGTATGAACATTGTAATCACTTCGCCTTGGAAACCCATATCCATCCACTCTCCCTCTAAACCATTCCCTCAATCCCGTATTGACAATACCCCCGACCCCAAATGCCGGCACAATCCTCGCACACCGCACCGCCGTTGTCCCCAACAAACCCCTCCGTATCCTCCCCACTCGTTGCCCCCTCTCTCCCTTCTCAGGATTTGAATACAGGTCCAGCCCCAGCAAATGCACTGGCGTCGCCACGACTTGCGATAGGACTGGCACGAGGAGCTGCGCCGCTGCCATCTGCGCCGCTGGGTCGGCGATCGGAATGCGGTGCGAGAGCATAGGCGGGAGGGTAAAAGAGCCGAGGATGGTGAGGGCGTCGCGCGCGAGGAAGGTTGCTGCTACTGATATGGGGAACTTCGTTGGGTTCTGTGGTGGAGGGGATGTTTTGATAGAATTAGGAGACGTATTGACGGGGCCTTTGGGTGGTGGTGTAGGACGCCCGCCAAACGTCTGCACAAAGCGGATATCCTTCCAGACGCCTAGGGGAACATTGACGGTGCATGTTACAACGAAGGTGATTGATTTAGCCAGGATTTCGTGGGATTTATCCATGAAAGTAGTGGTGAGGGTGTTCACGCTGTTGGCGGTGGTGTAGGTGACTGCGTAGAGTGTCCACATGTAGAAGAAGGGTTTCGCAGCGAAGAATCGCTTTGGGTGGCGGTAAGTGCAGAGGATGTTTTCTTTCAGGGCGATCGAGAGGGGCCGCGTGGTGGAGGAGACATTTTCGACGACGGCTCTGCGAGAGGTTACGATTGAGATTTTGGAAGTGCGAAAAGATCGCACCTATCTATCGCCGTGAGGATGGGCGATATGAGTGTGGCCGACAGGAAAGCTGCTGATACATCGCCTGCTAGGTAGCCAGGTAGCTGGTAGCTTCTCCAACCTCGATTGAAGCTCTGTTTTTCGACCAGCTCAGTCATGAGAACAATAATGGATCAGCGGAAGGCCAGCCTCCCAAATCCAATAATATCAAATTGAATCGTTCGCCACCTTGGAAGTAAGCACACCGAATCGCCTCAGTGTACGTGTACGTAACACCAACAAAGACGTTTACTAGCTGCTGTGTTGAGCTTTCGGTCACGGGCCCGGTTTCGTATCCATTGCCTTGTTCCAGACGCACATCGTGACCTCCGTTGAAGGCATTAAATCACTCGGGTAATTCGAAGCTGCACGGTAAGCATCCCGTGGGTGCAGCGAACCCACATGCATTACATTGATGATAGACAACACATCGGCAGGCCTCCCGTAGTGCACCCGCTCGCGCTGCCCCACCACTAGCGCTCCTCGCCCACAATTACCTATCGTCGCTTCTAGCTAGCTATGTTCTGATAATTCCGATGCCGGTCGAGCATTGCCTGACGATGGTTGGAATTGTTGCAACATCGCTTCGCTGTTTGTTCAAAAAGTAGTGGTAGCCCGTAGCTCCAACGACATTCCTGCACTGCATATTCATCAGACAGCAGCTCATAATGACTCTCCCAAAGAGTGAGCCCATTGCCATTATTGGCGGCGGTGCATTCGGTCTGTCGGCAGCACTTGAGCTCTCAAAAAATGGCTACACCAACATTACTGTCTTCGAGAAAGATGAGGAGATTCCTTCGCGCTGGTCTGCTGCAAACGACCTCAACAAGATTGCAAGAGCAGAGTATGAGGACGATTGGTACACCGATCTCGCAATCGTACGTCTTGTCCTAATATGTACCGTTTCAAAAACCTATCTGACCCAAAAACAAGGAAGCAATGAAAGAATGGCAAACGCCCTTCTATGCACCCTATTTCCACCGCGTCGGCTTCCTGAACTGCTGCTCGGAAGCCGCGCCGCAAAAAGCCATCGACACAATGGAACGGTTCAAGGCAGCGGCAGAGCGCAGCTCAGTCATGAAACCGTTCGTCCACAAGGTCAATGACCGCAAAGACCTCCTCCAGGCGTGTTGGCAGTTCACTGGCTCGCTGCCTGGTTGGAGAGGCTACATTAACACGTACGACGGCTACGTACACTCTGCAAATGCGCTGCGCGGTGTCTACCGTGCTGCAAGGTCGAACGGTGTAAAGTTTTTTATTGGCGAGAAGGTCGGCGCCGTCAAAGAGGTGGTCTACGAGAACACCAGCCGTGGGAGGCAAAGCACCGGTGTGCGAACGCCGGATGGTCGCGTACACCCCGCGTCCCTAGTCATCGTCGCTGTAGGAGCAGCTGCCCACAAAATTCTGCCCGAGCTAGGCACCAACGTATCAGCGAAGTCGTGGTCAGTCGGCCACGTGCGCCTCACGGACGACGAAACTGCGGCCCTTCGCGGCATCCCTGTGGTATATGCCCGCGATCTGGGCTTCTTCTTCGAGCCGGACCCGAAGACGAACCTCCTTAAGCTGTGCCCCATGGGCGGCGGCTACGTCAACACTGATCCTGCGAGCGGTGTGTCGAAAGCGCCGGAAGAGCTCAATCGCTTTGTACCATTCGAAGATGAGCTTAAGATGAGGGAACTCCTCCGCCAAACGTTGCCACATCTTGCAGATCGCCCATTGGTCGAGAAGACGCTGTGCTGGTTCGCCGACACCGACGACTCAGATTTCATCATCGACTACGTGCCGAGAACATCCTCGTCGGTCATGGTTATGACTGGCGATTCTGGCCACGGTTTCAAGATGTTCCCAATAGTGGGTCGCTGGGTACGCGATCTGTTGAACGCATCGGGCGGGCAACAGCCGATCAAGAGGTGGAGGTGGAGGGAACCGAAGCCTGTCAATGGCGAGACAAGTCAGGATGCCGATGTTAGCTGGCGGGTGGGAGATGTTAGGGAACTCCGCGACTTGTCGGAGCAGCCGGTGAAGGCGAAGTTGTAATTTAATGAGTTTACGGTTGCATAATCCAGATTGAAGCATAAACTAGATGGTCAAATCTCTCTTCTGAACCCTGATTGTCGAGCGTATCGTAACCTTGATAATTCATCGTGAGACGGATGCGCTGAAGGCAATTCAGGGTCTTCGCTGCAACACTGCCTTGTGTGGTTCCACAACATGTTGCACTTCACGCTAAACCCTGCATTGTATGTTTCTGTGGTGTACCATGAGCAGAACGCCAGTGGGAGCATTCGACAAGCTTTTCACGGCACACTTGCGGTTGCAATCGATTTCCGGCCCGCTAAAGCGATTATTTAAATGGGATGCTGCTGCGAATCAACCATCTGATACGTATCCATAGTCGCAAACGTATTGAACCAATCTGTCGTCCCCAGATCCATCGACTCCGCTACAGCAAGGATCTGATCTGCCGTCAGATCATCGCCGAAACCGCTGCTCTCATCGCTAAATGCGGTGTACATCCCCATAGCTTCGGTGTTCATCATTGTCCGCGGTGATTGCATGTCGGGAGGCATGGAGTAACCCTGTGGCGGTGACTGGTGCTGACCCACAGATTGTTGGTGTTGAGGTGGAAGAGGCGCGAGTGGTTGAAGGGGTGGGTATTGTTGTGGGGTTCGATTTGCAGAGTATTCGGATAGCATATCCTCTAATTTGCGCAACTCGGCGGCCCTAAATTCGGCAATTTTGTTCCCGTTTGATACCATAGTATCGAGGAAAGCGAAGGCTTTGTTTAGCCAGGCGGAACTGTTCTCGGATAGGGTATCATCAACAAATCGTATCAAAACCAGAACCATTGTTGACACAAAGAGGGAGTCTAGATCCCATGGAAGAAAAGTTTCTATGGAATTGGTCAGCTTAGATGAATTCAACAACATTCCACTCTGGTCATACCTAGTAGATCCTGGTCTTGCAGGCTTTCAAGGATGTTGAGAATCTTCTGTGAAGCATCCAGCGACATGCTTAACAGAGGCCTAATCTTGCGAGACGATACCAGCGGCCCCACTTCCTTTGGAGACTCGAATACTTTCTTCAGGCAACAAAATAGCAGCGGCCTCGTTGTCACAACGATTGTCTGCGCAGAGTGATGAGTATGGCGCAATGAATCGGTAGTCATAGGTTGACGATTTGCGACCGGAGGGCTGACTTACCTGATAATACATTAGGTGCAGATGCGCCGGCATCCTTGAGATGCCACCAAAACGCTCGTCAGAATGCAAAGGGAATGAGTTTCGTAATTCCTCTGCGATAGCTGCCATGTCGTCGAGCAGCGCTTTGATACTGATCACAAACTTCTTACGAAGGCGACCTTTTGGACCATAGACACCTGAGAATGTCAGCCTCGGACCTATGCACAATTTCGAGTTCGTCACTACTCTATTCAATGACAACAGTGACTAGAGCTCATGCCACCTACTCCTTGCTATGTCCGCATATATACGCGCGAGTCTAATCTGCATCTTTAGCGCTGCTGTTCGCTGAGCAGAGCCAGGGAAGTGCGTGAGCTGACACGTTATCTCGTCATCCCGGATCGATTGCGGCACGCCCATCTGCGAACTCATCTGTCGGTCGAGGATATATATAGTCCACCAGATCTTGCGACATCGCTGGACAAATGCCTCGCCTAGCTCTGCCGCTGGCATGTCGGTGTGCATACCCTCTGCCAGTGCTATTCGCATCGCTTGGCCGATCTGCGCGGTGCTCAGTAATGGTAGAGAGAAGAAGCGTCAAGTGAGCCAGTGAAGCTTACCGTTACATGTGCTGCATTGCGCGAATCTAATGCCTGCAGGTACAGAGCGATACCGCACAGGATCTCTGTTGCCACGAGTGGTTCTCGGCACAGTCGATTGGTATCAGGGAGTAGCTGCAGAGCGTGTACGAAGAAATCGGCCCCAGGCGGTTTTGATTCTCGGTGTTTGCGTTGTACAAGTGTCCGCCCGAAAGCGATGATCAGTAGGAACTGAATGTACCACAAACTGTCTTGAAGCTTGTTGGGTTCTGCGTTACTGTAGAAGGCGTGCAGTTTGGCGTTGAACTCATCTTCATCGAACAAATGTACCAACTGACCGCAATGGAATTTGACGGCGTTGATGAGAAAGATAGCATAGTCGATGCTTGGGATGACAGGTGCGTTCGTCTCCGGCAGGCTGCGAGTGCCGTCCTGGAATCGCATTCAAGTCAGCAAAGCACCGAAAACTAACGTAATATATGGGCGAATGGGAAAATAACGTACCCATGGAAGGTTGTAGGCCGAGCCATCGAACAGAAACTCGGTTCCTGGTAGAGGGGTACTACGAATATGCTGGTGAACTACATTCAATACTTGGCCATGAAAAGACCAATTTGATGAAGTCCCCAAATAGAATGTTCTCCCGGAAGACGCTGCCATAAATTTCGAAGGCGATTCAAGCAAGGGATTCGTCAATTCATGGCTTTCCGCATTCCCTTGGTCTGTCTTCGGGGAGTTGTCTCGCGTCTCTGCAGGACTTGATCGAGAGGTTTCACCGGGCTCATTGTCACCACTGGGAAGGGGCCGGAGAGGATGATCCCGGCGGGAACTGCCAGCCTGAACTGGTTCTTCGCCATGTTCTCGAGATTCTCGAGCCAGCCCAGGGTTCGTTTCTATGTGGCTGAGACTTCGCTCCAAACGGGCGACTTTCTGTTGCAGATCGGACAGGTAACTATTGGACGGTCAGTTTGAAGATCTCCATCGCGATACCTCCGGTACATAATGCTGGATGGGTTTTTGGCTTTCACCAAACACCTAAGCCTCGTGCCTCACCAGGGATGAAAAGACCTAGCTTACCCCTGCGTAACCAGCACCTTGTTATCCCGATCGTCGAAAACACAGCTCAAGCTCCTCTTCGTGCAGTTTGCACAAGGCTGCAGTCCCGAACACTTGATCTTCTGTCGTCGACACCGTGAGCACCTTGTTTGATAAGCGGCTGCACGTCCATCAGATGGGGTCCCTACGCGTTGGAGGATCGCTTAGACGCGCGTCGCTGTTCGCTCAAGTTCGCCATCGTCTGCATTGCAATCGCAAGGGGCTCACATCGCTAGTCGTAGCACTTCCAAGATCTTACGGATACGGCTATAAGCAGCGGCGTGACCAGAGGCAAGAGTAGATGTCATGTCATCAGATAGAAGGGAATTTGCGGGGAAAGGATAACGCTAGTGGAACGAGGCTGGCAGGCGCGTCCCATTATCCTACCGCTAAACTTGCTACGTCCTTCTTCGTCTCCTTCAACATCCCGCTATCTTGCAAGAGTTTCTTCAAAGTCACACGTCATCAACCATGCCTCTTCGGCTTATATCTACATGCGGAGCCGTTCATTCCCCCGGAAAATGCGGTGCTTTTGAGTCTAGCGCGCGCATTGGCCACCGGTCGCCGATCCGGGAAGCATGTCGGGCACCCTTCCGCTCCCAACATCGCACCAACACAATCCAGATATCGCGATTACGATCCGTCTGGCTGGCCGATAGAGACTTACAGGCGCGATGACGGCGCGCCTGTCACCTTGACGAGAGCGGAAGCTACGTGCTCGATGTTGCTCGCGTTCAGCCCCGCCACGTTGATGCGCCCGTTTTGCAGCATGTGGATGTGAAAGTCGTCGGCGAGGCGCTTGCATTGCTGCGGACTCAGCGGGAGGAAGCAGAACAGGCCACTCGAAGAGAGAATCGAATTCCAGTTGCCTTGAGCCTTCGGATATGTTGGGATCAGCGAGATGTAATCCAGCAGAGCGAGATGGGTCTACCCACCTTCCATTTTCCAGCCAGCTCCGCATGCAGTGCCCTCCTATTGTCCGCAAGCCGCTTCTGAATCCTCGCCAATTCTGTCTCCCAGTCCTGCCTCAACTTGCCGTCGCTGAGCACAATGTTCACCAGCCGCGCGCCGTACGCCGGGCTTGACGAAAACTCCCACCGAATCAAGCATCTTAGCCTCTCGTGCACCTTCGACGCGACTTCTACATCTTGACTCACAGCATGCAGCACACCAACTCTTTCCCCATACAGTCCGAAGTTCTTCGAAAACGACTGACAAGCCAGGAGCTCGAAGCCCCTATTTGCAAACAACCGCAGCCCATACGCGTCTTCGTCCAGTGACGCACCCATGCCTTGGTACGCCATGTCGAACAGCGGAAACAGCTTCTTCGCCTCCATCGCATCAGCCAACTCATCCCACTGCGCAGGCGAGAAGTCCGCGCCAGACGGGTTGTGGCAGCACCCTTGCAGCACGAATATGCTCCCCTCCTCCGCCGTCTTCGTAGCTTCAAGCATAGACTCAAGATCCACCGTTCCCTTTGACGCGTCGTAGTGCCTATACGTCACCACCTCGAGCCCAACGAGGTTGAATAGCGGGACATAGTTCCCCCACGCCGGCGTGCCGACGTAGACTTTTTTCCCCTTGAACGCAGGCGTGCGAGCAAGGAACAGCGCGCCGAGGTGTATGGCGCCTGTGCCGGAGATAGCTTGTACAGAAGTCACTCTCTTTGAAGACAGAATCTCCGCTTCTCGCCCGAACAGCACTTTCGCGGCGTTGGTCAGGAAGGCTGCGTTGCCGGTTGTCACTTCGTAGTCGTGATTTGCGTCTTGCTGTGCGAGGATCCGCTTTGCCTTGGCTCTTGTAATTAGATTTAGATTGTGGATCTTGGACTGATTTTACGAACCGCCTTCAGCACCCGAAGTTCGTGATATTGTCCCTTCTCGTTCCTGTAAACACCTACACCGAGATCGACTTTCTCGGGAGCAGTGTCTTGTCTCACTCGCTGTGAGAGCAGATACACAGGGTCGGCAGGGCTGGGGGGAACGCTGCGAAACATGCTTGCGATTCGAGTACAAAGGTGGCACGAAATGTAATGGGAGAGAGAGGTCATCGGTCAGTGCGCTTGATTTCTACAACTGCACGTACGCACACATCTACGCTGGATTATTCTGCTCTAGCCGCCTTGGGCACCAGAGCAATGTCTGTGGGACCTGACCTGTAGGCTCGGCATACCACCCGAATGTCCGCGTACTCGCGGAAGCGGAGCCATCTAGTCCGGCGATCGGGACACTGCGCTGATTGGGGTGCATGCCGTGCGTCGTCGAAGCGTTATTTTCACGGGATCGATCTACCCCCGGACGGCATCTGGAGCAGTGAGTGGTGCACTCTATGCCAAATCGAAGCTGGCCTGAACATGATGATATGAAGCCTCCTTGTTCAGGGCGTGACAGCATATCATTACAAGTGGGTTTTCTAATTCCCCCTGGGACTGTAGGGATTTCGCGCAAGTCTACCGGCACGCTCTGTCCGGCCTCTAATCTAGGACTGCAACAGAAGATGCCCTCCACTGGTCCGGATTCGCCCATCTATACAATTTCTCACTTCTCCTCATCCGTCTTCTTTCTCTTCATAAAGCACTTCCCAAACATGTTCCCCACATCCCTCCAGAACCCTACATGCTCTTCCTCCAACGCATCCTCATATGCATCAATGAGTGGCTTATCCCAGATCAAATCCGCCTCGCTCGCCTTGACAAACTTGGTCTTCTTATACAGTTTCCAGCCAACGAACAGCACCGGGTCCACCAGCAGCATCATGTAGTATGTGAAGAAGTCGTCCACGGTAAAGTTTCCGGGAAGGAACGTAGTGTACCCATAACACGTAACCACGCACGTCAAGAATGCGAGCGGGATGTACGCCGACCAGGGCTGGAAGCGCCCGAAGTAGGGCAGCGTGCGGCGGTCGATACCCTGCGCTTTGCACGCGCGGTAGAAGAAGATGAAGTTGATGCAGATGACTATGTAATCGATGATCTGCGCGCCGGTGATGATGTTTGTGAGCCAGGTCAGGACTTTGGAGGAGCCCGAGGACGCGTTGAGGAACGCGAGAAAGGGGAACAGGATCGTAATGCACAGGCAGTAGATGGGGACGCCGGCTTTTGTGCACTTGCGCAGGAAGCGGGGCGCTTGGCCCTCGATAGCTAGGCCGTAGAGGGAGCGCGTGCCGTAGTAGGTGTAGGCGTTGCCGGCGGAGAAAATGGACGTTACGAGGAGGGCGTTGGTGACGTGGGGGAGGCCTTCAATGCCCAGGTCTAGAGGCTGTCAGTTCCATATGTGTGGGGGAGCGACGTTGGTCGGGGACGTACTGTTCATAGCGATAACATACGGAGATGCTGCTGCCGTGCCCGCGCCACTGGCCTTGCCGCTGAAGATCTCGACGAGGGTTGTGTTGTTGTAGGGGACGACAATGCCGACACAGAGCGCGCTGCCGATGAAAAACAGACCGAAACGCGCATACGTTGCCTTAAATGCCTGCTTGAGGTACTTTCGTGGGCTCTTGACCTCACCGGCTACCATGGACACATATTCGGGGCCAACGACGGTAAAAGCTGCACTCCACAGGGCACCAAGGAAGCCCTCAAACCGTCCTAAAGGACCAGTAGTGATGTGTTCAGCGAAGGATCCCGGATTCTTCCAGTAACGGAACCCATATGCGTCCTTCTTGGGATTTCCGCCGACCATTGTGATGAAGGTGAAGGAGAAGAGCATGCCAAGGAGGAACACCTTGCCTAGGGCAAGCCAGAACTCGCACTCTCCGTACCACTTGACGACGAAGGCGTTGATGCAGAAGTATAGCACGATGCACGCTGCTACGACGGCTTCCACGGGTATGTCGTCGCGCCAGTAGGATAGGACAAGGTTCAGTGCGGTGATCTCAAAGGGTACAAGAATAGCCTCGTAGATGAAGAAGTCTGCCGTCGTTTAGCATTACCAATTTGGTTCGCAGAAAAGATACGACTCACTCCAACCGATCATGAACCCTAGAGCCTCGTCGACCCATTTACCAGACATGCGAATGAAACCACCAGTGACAGGCATGTAAGAGCTCATTTCGGCTTGGCAGTTGTTGACCAATCCCAACATGCAGGTATAGATGGTGTAAGCGAGAAAGAGAGAGCCGGGCCCGCCCTTGAGCAGACCGCTAGAGATGGACACGAAGGTTGCTGTACCGATCGATCCACCTAAGACATGTTAATACATAGCTCACATCACGAATTGCCCCTGAGTCGGGGCCTTTCTCTCCGTTGTTTGCGAATGCTCTTGTTATGGCTTGGTCAAACTTACCGATAGCAATCAATTGCAGCTGACGATTCCCCAAATGTCGCTGGAGTTCATCGGCGTTGCCAACATGGCCTACCCTCTGCTCGTTCGATGTTTCAACTGGGTAGAGGTCTGACCCAGTGGACGAGACTTGAACGACTTTCTCGCTCTTGCTACCTTCCATTGCGAGGACTTGGGGCACGGACAGTATTGGATCGTAACGAGATGGAAATGGAGTGGAAAGAGTGGAGATGAAGCGCTGGTCAGCGCGGTCCTAGGCTTGTATACATACCTTTCCGGGCCCTTCACCAAGGACGGGCTGGCCAGGTTCTTGCACATGACATCTTACCCAAGTCTGGTACTGCTAGCCTCTTCGAGGCGACCTAGTAAGGATGAATGTGGGCAGGAAGTGCTCCGATGCAGTGATCCTGGTAATTAGCAGCTTGTTAGCCGCACAGTATCAAATGTGGGGATTGACGGCGACGGACCCGGCGAAAAGGTAGATGGGTGACGGCAATGGACCCGCAATACGGATATGGCTGCGGCTTGATAGTGGACTATCAGCCATTGAAGTGCGCTAGTCTGGAGTCCGGAGATGATAGTACGACACACAAGAAATATTTAGTATAGTTTTATCAAATCGACTCGAATAGCTCAATATCTAAATCTTGTACAAATCGCAAGTATCTCAGGGAGGAGGAGTTCGAAAAAAGTAGAAAAAGGAAATTACGCGAAAGACATGGTCGCTACAATCGAGCGGAGAGCTTCGTGTAGGAGCCTAGGCTCTCTTCGATCTCGGCCACTTCAGCCATTGTAGATTTAACTTTCTCCTTGACAGATGCAGCAGGCTCAAAGTAAGGTTTGCGCGGTCTCAGCAGGGCCACAGCGTTGTCGATTCCCGCGTATCTGGCACTGTGCATCGCCGCCGCGTACTTGGTCGCAGCAATGCCGGCCTTGATAGGCTGCTCCGCTAATGCGGCCTTCTGGTGCAAGGCCAGGGCCTCATCGTTCCGGCCCTGCTGCTGCAGCTTGTAGATCTGCGAGATTGTTCTAGGGAACACATTGGCGAACGCTGCAATGCAGCCACTGGACCCAGAGGTCAAGCCGCCTAGAATGAAATCAGACTGGCCGCCGAAGACTGCGAAGCTTTCCTTCGGTAGGACAGCCGCCAGGCGGGTGATCTTGGCGACAGAGCCGCAAGTCAGCTTGACACCGACGATGTTGGAGTGGCGCTGGGCCAAGGCGGCGATGAGGTCGGACTGGAGGTCAACGCCATTGCACACCCCCGGGAAGTTGTAGATGACAATAGGCAATTGGCTCTTCCGGGCAACGTCATCATAGAAGGCTTCCATAACCTGCGGTGTCGTTGCAGCTCCGTAGTAAGCGGGCGGGAGGAGAAGCACGGAGTTGGCGCCAGCATCAGCTGCATCTGCGATGTGCTGCAGAACCTGGCGCGTGGAATGTCCACTTACGCCCGCCATGAGGGGAAAGCGCGGGCCGACCGCACGCCTTGCCGTCACGACAAGCTCCTTGCGCTCCTCACGTGTCAGGAGAAACGTCTCTGCATTCGTACCCAGGATAACGAGCCCAGCGAGGCCGGTTGTCGATAGATAGTGGAAGTACCGCGCCTGCGCATCAAGTGCAAGCTCGTCTGTGTCGGGATTGAAGAAGGTGATGGCAGGGCACCAAACGCCACTGGGAGGCACGATACTGGGCATGATATCGACAATGAAGGTGCTTGACGGTGACGGCGAGCGTAAGAAGCAAGACCAGATGGACTCGAGGGCGGCGACACTGGGGGCACTCTACAAAAGGTAACAGTCAGTGCTAACATCTCTACAGGTACCGCGAATATCCGTGTCGCCGCCCGAGGCCTCGCAACCCGCTATCATAGCCATCGTGGACCTTGACGATGTTCGGCATGCCTCCCGGGAGGGTGACAGTTGGGGTGAATGCGATGCTCCACAATCACGCATACCTGCTCGCTTACATCCCGCGCGCTACGGCTGTCCTCCCGATCACGCACGGACTGCGTATGCAGGCATGCGTATCCTACCAGCTTAGCGCGTGGAGCGCACCATCCCTCACGCGGGCAGAGTAATCGATTGAATGAGGGGTGTTTTCCATACCGGCTCAGAAGCCGTACTCGTACCGGGGGAAACCGACATTGCGACTTCGGCTTGCAGTGCATTCGCTGGCCAGCCATGGAATACTTGAATGGCTCTGCGCTGCTCACAATGGACCCTCACTATACCCACGCATCATGGCTACCTTCCTTCTACGATTAAGGCCTGTTGCCTCGAGGAATGCCGTTTTGCGTCTCCGGCCCTCCACCCAAATCCGCACAAAGACTACAGCCAATGCCACAGTTCCATTCCAGCTTCCTCCGGAGCGGAACGAGCCCAACCCAAACTACGAGAAGGGCTCGCCTGAACGGGCTGAGATTGAGAAGGCCCTGAAGGAGCTTCAGAGTCAAATCCCAGTCAAGTCCAACGTCTTTATCAACGGTGTCGCACAGCAGTCATCGAAGTCATGGGACCAGGTACTACCCGCAGAGCACAAGACTATCTTCACCAACAATCCCTTGACCTCCAAGGAGCAAGTTTCCGCAGCCATTGATGCAGCCCTCAAGGCAAAGAAGTCATGGCAAGACACCCCTTTCGTGGATCGCGCTGCCATCTTCATCAAGGCTGCAGAGCTCGTCTCCAGGAAGTACCGCTACAAACTCATTGCTGCGACAATGCTTGGTCAGGGCAAAAACATCTGGCAGGGCGAGGTCGATGCCGCTGCCGAGTTGGCTGACTTCTTCCGTCTCAACACCAACTACGCTGCGGAACTTCTAGGCAGGCAACCCTACCGCGGTTCGGACGGAATGTGGTCTCGTCTGGATTACCGACCGCTTGAGGGTTTCGTCTACGCTGTATCGCCCTTCAACTTCACCGCCATCGGTGGCAACCTGATCTCTGGACCTGCTATTATGGGCAACGTCGTGCTCTGGAAGCCGTCCCCCTCCAACGTCTACGCCAGTCAAATTGTGTACGAGATCCTCCTCGAGGCCGGTCTTCCTCCGGATGTCATTCAATTCATCCCTGGCGACCCAGAGGAGATCAACGATGTCATCCTGAACCACCGCGACTTTGCTGGTCTCGGCTTCGTCGGCTCCTCGGATGTTTTCCGTCAACTTCAAGCCAAGGTCGGCCAGGAAATCGGCAAGCACACCTACCGCGAGTTCCCCCGTCTGGTTGGCGAGACCTCTGGCAAGAACTTCACCCTCATCCACCCAACCGCCGACATTCCTTCAGCCGTTAAGCACACCATCCGTGGGTCTTTCGAGTACCAAGGCCAGAAGTGCTCCGCCACATCCCGCCTGTACCTCCCTGAATCGCGGTCAAAGGAATTCCTCGACGCCTTCCTCGCAGACGTGAAGACCATCACGCAGGGCAACCCGCACAAGGACCTCGCCGCTTTTATGGGCCCCGTGATCCACCGCAACTCGTTCGAGAAGATCAAAGCCGTCATCGACGAAAGCAACAAGGACTCTTCGCTGAAGCTGGTGGCCGGTGGAACCTACGACGATTCGGAAGGCTTCTACGTCAAGCCGACCGTATATCTCGCGGATTCGCCCGACCACAAGCTCTTCAACTACGAAATCTTTGGCCCTGTGCTGGCGATACATGTCTACCCTGATGCGCAGTGGCCGTCGATCCTCGACAAGGTGGACCAGGCGGGTGGCGGATTTGCGCTGACTGGTGCGGTATTTGCCAATTCGCGTGCGGCCATACGTGAGGCGGAGGATGCGCTGCGGTACTCGGCAGGAAACTTTTACATCAGTAAGCCACTCAACCACGCCTGTCTGTGGACATGTTCTAACACTGTGCAGACTGCAAGACCACGGCCGCACTCATCGGCCAGCAGAGCTTCGGCGGCAGCAGGGCCTCGGGGACAAACGACAAGGCGGGCAGCCCCAACACGCTGCTCCGCTTCACGACGCCGCGCCTCATCAAGGAGGAGTTCTTCCCGCAAACTGACTTCTGGTATCCGTCTAACAAATAGAAGTCTGCTTCTGGGGTAAGTATCACGAGAAACGATTACTTTAGACTTGAGCATCGGGGGGAACGGGTGATGCATTTGAGGCGTACTTGGTTCTATTATTTCTGGTGTCGTTGCAGGTTGTCATGTTTCGGATGCTCCCGAGCTGGGTGCTGGCATCTACGGTTCGAAACGGCCAAAATTGAGACAAGCGTGTAGATTATGCATCATCATTCATTACTTCACTTTACTCGTGATTGGTGGGGTCGAAGCCGTTCCTATTACCGGGGCGATTCGTTCTTCCGAATGCGCAGTTCACAGTCGTGCTTTTCCATGTTGTTGAAGCCATGTGCAGCTTATGGTACGGGGTGCAACCCTCACAAACATGAACTACGTTCTCAAGACGGAGACAATCGACGCCTTTATGCGGGGTCTTACAGGCCAGCGGGCGATTGCGAGACTCGTCATCGCAGAAGCTGCTGAAGGCTCGTTGTCCGAGTATGCATAGAGCACATCCAAGATGGGCGCCGTGCTCTCTAGGAAAAGTCGACCCAGGCGACGTGCAGATAGGACTCGGGCAGGAGCTCACCGTGTGGTGATTGTTTCTAAGATGACTTTGCGCCCAGGCGTAAGGACTCTTCTGGGACGCAAGGGTCCCTGCATTACAGGTGGTCAGGAGCAATGTACGCGGTGGTTACAACGATGTCGTTCTACCGTAATCCGCAGGGAGGCCAGGCGCCGCAGAAGAGGTTAGCGCAGCTAATGCACGAGCGGAACGCGTCCGCGCGGATCACGGTGTTGAGTAGGACCGATGATTCTTTAACAATACGTGATGGAATCCAGAGCCTCGCATCTGAGCGTTCTGTTTCCAGCAATTGATCCGTCATGAAACGCGCACTCCGCAGCTGCTACGCCGACGAACCTTGGACGCATCGTCGTGGGCAAGATCCGGTGGACTCGAAATTTTCGGCCAATGGACCATCCGGGCGCTAGCGAGGAAGCCATGACGCGCGCAGGGATGGCGCCGGTGACGTCCCCGGCGCGCAACACTTTGGAGCTAGAGAGGTGCGGCCGACGCTCTTGAAGAGTGCTGCTCCACCACCCGACAAGAATGTGAAGCGCGAGCGGTCGGGTTTTTTTTCTCGCTCTTTGGCATCCGGAAGTGCAGCTGCTCTGTTCCGCACCGCAGTCCGACTCTTGCGCGACCGTCTTCCATCTGACCCGACGTTGAAGAGCTGCTAGCAGAGCATACAGCATCCTGTCAACTGAGGTACACCACGCTACACGATCCACTGCACATTCCCGCAGCGTATTGCAACCAAGGCCCCCCAGGCTGCACATTCACCATGACTCCCGAAAGCTCGCCGTCCAGCCTCCCGCGATCCACGAGCCTGTCGCGCCTCGCCGGCGCCAGAGGCTTTCTCCCTCTAGCCGACAACGCGAGCGTCTTGTCGACGCGCAGCGGGCAGCTACAGAGCCTCATCTCGAGACGTCCTTCCACGTTGCGCAGCTCGCGATCCGGGAAGGGACGACGCGGGAGCGACTCCAGCGACGACGACTTCGACGAGTTCAGGCACAGCCTCATCGCCCAGGACCTCGCCTCGGAGCGACGGGCGAGCATCGGCGCGCACGCCCTGCACACGCCGCAGATGCGGAGCCAGCGGTTGATCGGGAACTCGAACCCGCGGTACAAGTGGGAGCGCTACTTCAAGACCGAGGACGAGCTCAAGCAGCACAAAAACAAAAAGGTGCGCAAGTACTACGAGCGCAACAACTACCTCATTCAAAACTACGACTACATCGACCGCCTGCTCGACTCGTCGCTCCCGCACCATCTCATCCAAGAGTACAGCCATCTAGAGTCCGGCAATGTCAACATCCCAACCACCATCACCGAGGAGTCGCCCTCGTTCCCTTCCACGCCCGCCGCGCACACCCCCGCGAGCTACAGCGACAACAGCACGAACCCGACCAGCGCGACAACCCAGAACACCCAGAACGGCAGCGCCTCGCAAGTCAAGCTCAAGCGCACGCCCAAGAACCTGTACAAGGTGCCCACGGCCGACGAGCAGACGCCTCTCCTGCGCTCGGACACGCACGATGAAGAAGAAGACGTCGAGTCCCTCGGCAAGAGCATGCCCGACTGGGTCCCCCAAGAAGACGAAGACACCGAGTCCCCCATCGTCAAGGTCGCCCTCTACGTCAATCTCGCCGCCAACGCCATCCTGCTTATCCTCAAAATCATCGCCACCGTCATGACGTCCTCCCTCTCCGTCGTCGCCTCTCTCGTCGACGCAGCGCTGGACTTCCTCTCCACTGCCATCGTCGGGGTCACCTCCTGGATCATCACCCGCCCGCAGGACAAATACGCGTACCCCGTCGGCCGCCGCCGCCTCGAGCCCATTGGCGTGCTGGTCTTCAGCGTCATCATGATAACATCCTTCTTCCAAGTCCTCATCGAGGCCTTCTCCCGACTAACAGGTGACGACCGCGCCATCGTCGAGCTCAGCATTCCCGCCATCGCCATCATGGCGTCCACCGTCATCGTAAAAGGCGGCTGCTGGCTCTGGTGCCGCCTCATCCGCAACTCGAGCGTCCAAGCCCTCGCGCAAGACGCAGAGACCGACGTCGTCTTCAACTTCTTCAGCATCTTGTTTCCGCTGGTAGGCTTCTACGCGAAGATATGGTGGCTCGATCCGCTCGGCGCCGTCCTCCTCTCCCTCTTCGTCATCATCAACTGGTCCCGCACGTCCGCCACGCACATCCGCAATCTCACAGGCGCGGCCGCGACCGCCGACGAGCGCAACATCCTGCTGTACCTGACGATGCGGTTCGCAAAGACGATCAAGCAGATCCAGGGCCTGAGCGCGTATCACGCGGGGGACAAGCTGAATGTGGAAGTCGATATTGTGGTGGATGAAAGTCTTAGTCTGCGGGATAGCCATGATTTGGGCGAGAGTCTGCAGTACGTGCTTGGTAAGTTGCGCTCCTTTCTCTCTGTTGGCGGAGTGGGCTCAGCGGTTCGGCGCTAACGAGATTCAGAAAGTGTGCCCTATGTCGACCGCGCGTTTGTGCACATCGATTACACGGGGTACAATCTCCCGACGCACATGTCGCAGCAGGAGTAGGGCGGGGCAGCGGCTGCGCAGTGTAATGTCTATACTATCACATCAATATCAAGACGGCACAGCACCTCAGTACGTGCAGCACAGAGGCCGAACCGAAATTGGGAATCCACTGTGCGTGAACATCCACGCCGACGTCTGCTGCGGAAATTTCACAAATGTAGGAGAGCGTGAGTGGACACAGAATGAGCTTCTTGTAATCTAGCCCCTATGGCAGGCCTGTTGAGACCCGTCGCTCGTTCCCAGGCCACGTGCGAGACCTTGAACACCCACGCGTTGCGTCCTGCTTTGTGCAACGCTCTCACCCGCCACAATGGTGTACACCTCCCCGTCCAACCCCCACTCCGCACTGTCTCCATCCTCCAACCCAAGCAATCGCACCGTATCCCCCAGCAACACCGGCTCCAGCGCCCGCACCTCCAGCTTCCCGCCTTCGGGCTCCACAAGATCGTAATGTACAGCGTCGTCCGTTTCTTAGGGATGGTGGGTAGGCGGTGGGCTGGAGCATGTTCACTGGGGGACAGTAGTCAGGGGATGCGGCGGAGCGGTTCCATACCTTTCTCGCATGGAAGAGAAGTTCATTCGTAGAGTACCGTAGATAGACGCGCAGGCCCGTCCGCCCAACTACATCAAACCACGTACTCGACCTTGACGACCCAAGCATGTTTCCCGCGCCGGACCAGAGCATCGCCGAGCACGACCCTGAAGACGTCGCCATCAAAGCTCCACTCGAGCGCTTCCCCGTCCTCCACCCCAAGCAAACTGACCTGATCCCCCTCCAGTATGGGAACCGGAGCCCGTACCTCGAGCACCCCGCCCACGGGCTCCTCCAGACTCGTAACATACAGCGCGTCGTCCGTCTGCGTGAACCTCACATTGACCTTCTCATCCCTGACCTCGGCCTTCTGGAACCAGTACGTCGTGTTGAACACGGCTTCCTCGTGCGCGGCAATCCAGACACCCGCCTCGCGCAGGGCATCGATTTCAGGCTGCGGGATCGTCCCGTCGGCACGCGGTCCAATGTTCAGCAGCAGGTTGCCGTTCTTGCTGACCATGTCGACGAGCGTGGTGACCAGCGTCGTGGCATTCATGTACTCGTCGTCTGGCGTCGCGCGGTTGTACCCGTAGCTGAACGGATCCATGCCCATGTTGCTCTCCCACTTCCTGCGCTGCGCGGTGCTGAACGTCGCGTACTCGGGCGTGTCGAAGTCGTTCACGAGGGCCGTGCCGCAGCGCGAGTTGATCGCCACATCGCGGCCCTGCGCCTCGCGCGCCCAGTTCCACCACTGGCGCGCAAAGGCCGCGGTCCCGTTGGCGGCGCCCGCGTCGCACCACAGCATCTCGGTGTCGTAGGCGTAGGCCAGCATCTCCATCTGGGGCGTCATCACATCCTGTACGAAGTCGTCCACGGGGATGAAGCCCGTGTACGGCTCGGTGGCGTTGGTGAAGGGGTTGCGTGCGATGATGCCCGGGTGCGTGGTCCCGCCGGGGTTCTCGGGCCCGTACTGCGCAAAGCCGTACGGGCCCCAGGCGGGGTTGAACCACTCTGGCAGACTGAAGTAGGTCCCGCGCTTGAGCGATGGCTGGTACGTTTTCGCGGCGTCGAAGAGCTCGCGGACGACGTCCCGCCGCGGACCGTAGTGCAAGCTCGTGCGGTTTGTGGTGTTGCCTGCGTCGAACATGGCAAAGCCATCGTGGTGCTTGGTTGTGATGACGAAGTATTTAGCTCCTGCGTCGGCAATCATGTCGACCCAGTCCTTGGGGTCGTACTGCGCGGCAGTGAAGTTGGCGAAGAAGTCGTCGTAGTTGAGATCCGGGCCGTACGTGCGCAGGCGGTAGTCCCTAAAGCCGCTCTTGTCGCCCAACGGGTGTGTGGTGTACCACCAAAACCACTCAGCGTACGACTCGTAGGGCGTAGAGTTGCCCCAGGCGGGGACGGCGTAGGGGCCCCAGTGGATGAAGATGCCGAACTTTGCGTCATCGAACCACTGCGGGGACTCGTGGGCCGCGAGATTGGCGTCGGTCCAGTTTGTGAGACCGAAGGTGAGGTCGGAGAATGTGTGGGTTGTGGTGGTATTCTGGTAGAGGAGGGATACGTCGACGGCACAGGCTCCGGAGCCGGTCACAGAAACCTGTACGCTTTTCTGGTCCCCGGGACAGAGCCTCCTGATGCGTCCGGGCTCTATCGTTTTGACGTCGTTCCCTTTGATAGACACTGTCAGTCCCTCTCCATGCACGCATTCCATTCCACCATTATTCACAATCACCTCGACGACCTGACTCCTCGCGTCCCCATCTCCAATCCACTTCTGCGTCGGCTTTACGCTTTGCACGCCCACGCTCGGCCCGTCGCTCTCCCAGAGCGATGCAGCAAACACATGGATCCTTCCGGTTGTTGCATTCGTGGTATTCGGCAGCGTAATCGCCGCCAACTCCTTGCCCGGCGCCAAGGCAGCCTCGAGCTCGAAGATATGACTGCTGTTGAAATTCGTCGTATTGTGAGTGTAGAACTTGTCATATACTATGTCGCCCCTGTTGATGGCGAGGAAGGCCCACCACGGCTCGCTGCGCAGCTCTGCCGTAGACGTCGAATTGTCACTATATGTAAACGTAATGTTCCCCAAGATCGTCTTCTTCCTCACATCGCTCGAATGCAGTATTGAAAATGCAAATGCCCTCCTGGGCTTCTCCAGAGCAATCCTTTGGCCAGCGCAGATGATGTTGTCCGGTGTCGAAGCTCCGCGGTAACCAGGCGCAACGTACTGAATGCCGGAGCCCGAGACGAACGTCTCGTTGCCGTGCTGATACGATGTGAAGGCCGGGTACGACTCGTTCAGCGCATTGAACGCGGACTCTCCAGGATAGGTGCCAAAGCCCTGGTTATTAAAGTGGGCGTCCAGATCCAAAGGAATTGAGCGTGCGACAGCGCCATAGCTAGCGGACGTTGCAACTGCAAGAAACCACGTGCGCATGGTGTCCTCTTTCCTGCCGCCGTGAGGTCCTCGCCATGGCTGTTGTAGGGCGACGATCGCTTTTTGAAGCTTGAATCCCACTCCTCAGGAAGAATTGGCCCTTCGGTAGAAGATTGCCGACGCGTCCGATAGCTGATCTTCGTCACATCGTTGGCAAACTAGATTACAGAAAGCAGGGTGAGCGTGCGGTCAGGTTACATTCATACCGTGACGTCGCGGCTGGGCGGTGAGGTGCGGGTCAGTGTTCCTCATCCGGGATGCCGTATGGGGGCGCTTCTCCGGTTTTTAGCGTCCCTAGGTGAGGGGGATCGTCGGGTGAGTAGGCTCGGTGTAGACATGGGGTAAGGCAGATAAGAGCCGCACGAAAGATCCCTGCTACTTGTACGAGCAATATTGCCGAAAGGGGAATTTCTTCTGGCAAGGTTCGCTTGTCAAGCGCTGGTACTCGAGTCGCAAGTCGTGATTAGTGTGGATGGAAGAGTGGTGGAGTTTTGGGGTGGGGCGGGACACCTTTCATCGCTAGTGCACACCTTCTGTTTCTTTCCTTGTCTCTAGCGGCAACTGCCCTCTCTAACACCAAAGTCGAAGTCGATGCCGCCACAATGCATCTACACCACATGCCCACAAATATTTTTTGTTGCCGAGCAGATCTACCATCAAGGACTTGCTTCCACCGAAGCTGACACACAACATTGGGCCCTACCTAGAGTACACCACATCCTGTACTATCCTGTATACACTCGCTGCATAGTATGGTTACAAAACTTGTACTCCGTTACATATCCTAAGATTTCACAGCCATGAAAGTCTATTGATAACTGCTAGCCACTGCATTCCGGTCGTCCTATACCAGACGAGCCTAACTTCAAGACCCACAGCATCACATACTAGTCCCGTCTTCTGATGTTATTAGCACCTTTGAGCACACTTCCCAGATCCATGAATACCATCAAAATGCTTTCCCCGAGTTCCTAAAAATAAGCTTTGCAAGGTGAAAGTACCACATCACACGGGAATGCAGCATATTTCTCTCGAGAATATTCACATTCGAGCGGCCCTAGAGCCAGTGCATATATACATGTATTTACCGCTCTATCCATGCGAATTCAAAAGCAAGATTGGAAACGCCAAGCAAATGAGTGTAACAGTGGGAATGACAATGGAAAGGAAAAACAGGTGGATAGTAAGGAAATACCGGGTGCTGAAGTAGCAGAACTAGAGTGCAACCTGAATACTGCTCTCACGTCTCTGATGGATGCTTGATGCCGCTGGCTGCGCTCCACGCTTAATCGAATCCTTCCAACGGCTGTTGGAGAGCGCGGTCGCGAGATCCATCGACTATCTAGCCGCGGATGCTAGTTACAAAGCCCGAAGGCGCAGCAGGCAAGTCGGTGGGAATAGGACCCGTAGGTGCCGGTCCAGATGGGAAGGCGGTCGGAGCTCCTGAGGGTGGTGGACCAGAGCTGTATCTTGTCAGCACTGAAGACTTTAATCATAAGGGAGAGCCACTTACGGACGAGCACCAGAAGGCTTGGATGGAGGCGATCCTGACGGCAGCGAGGGGGCAGAGGCGTCCTGGCGGCGGGCATTGTTGTTTGCTGCATTCGATGGCGCGGGAGGAGATCCTGACGGAGGGGGACCAGTGGGCTTCACACCTGAGATGATAGCAGATGGTGGAGGGCTGATACTGCGTTAGGGCGAAGTGTATAACGTTGCATTCATTGGAGTCACTTACAGAGGAGTTCCCGAAGGAGGCGGTCCGGTGGGGCGCTCAGTTCCGCTGGGCGGCGGGGGAAGGTCAGATGCCTGACGGCGCGCATTCTGCGCAGCATCAGACGGAGCTGGAGGCGCACCCGATGGAGGAGGGCCTGTGGGCCTGCCAGTTCCAGAAGG